GGAAGTGAGAGAGGAGTATATCTTGAAGAGTGGAGAAGAGAGAAAATGTAAGATGAGAGGTGAGGAAATAAGGGATTTAGAAGTGAGAGAAAAGAGAAGAACAACCGATCAACGCATGAACTTCATATACAAATGTATTTGAAGCTTAACCTCACGTGAAGTTCACCTAAACAACAATTGAGTACGAAGAACAAGTCAAAGTATTTGCATATTGAGTACGAGCTTGTTAATCTTGAGAAAAGAAATTGTTTGACATCCCTCATATTCTCTCTCTTACTATCTCTCTCTCTACCTCTCTCTCTTTATCTGAATTGTTGGCACATCTCCAACAGAAAATAAAAGAAACGGATGAAAAGTATTTTTTATAAAAGGCATGGAATGATTAGCATAATAGTTGGTCTAATCGTCTGCTGACGTCAGTTCATATAATCTGAATGTATGGAGAAATGAGAGAAACACGTTAATAAAACTGATCTTTGAAGGTTAACAATACCATATGATTAAACGAAAATATAAAAAAAAGGAACCTCAAACTTCACATCGGCTAGAAAGTGTTTGCTGTCCCATCGACGACGTCGAAAGACATCGATAGCATCGACTTTTGATTTTGTGATGATTTTGACGTTCAATGATGTTAGATTTCTTTTCTTTTTCTTCTTTTTTTTTTAATGTTCGCTTTATACTCAGAGAAAGGGAAGACGTAAGGGAGGAGTGAATTAAGTTTTATGTCATATTAAAGAACAAGCTTACAACTAGATGAATACGGAGATATAAGCTTTGAACGCCTATACTGAACGAACCAATGCAACATAGATTCGTTCTATTTGTTTCTTTTCTTGTTTTTCTTCTCATTTCGTTGAACGAACATGAAGCATTCAAATATGAAATTGACCTTAAAAGCCAACGAAATTATATGAACAAGAAAAAAGAATTTTTCAGTCTCTCGTTGCGATAGAAAAGATATGATAGGAAGCTCTTGATGTATCTCAATAGCTCCAAGAACCGGCTAGAAGCCTCAGTCTCCACCCCAACAAAATCTTTTTTTTTTGTTCTCGTTTGATTAATCAAGTTCAAATAAGTTTAAAGAAGACAACAGAAGAACACAACATACGATAGCTATCAAACAAAAATTTATATAGAATAGTGAGATGAATAAGAGTAACTGAGCAAAGTAGGGATCGAAGATAAATATTTACAAATCAAAAAACACATTGGTGTGAATGTACATGTGGATTGTCGGGGATTGAGAATTGCCTTTCATATATAATATAATTTAAGCTTCAAGTGCACATATTGAGAGAGGTCTGGGCTATGAGTGAACTCGACGTTTCCATGGAAATGAGTAAAAACTCCTTGACAAACTATGAGAAGTCTTCCTTATTTCAATGATTTTTCTTCTCATTCATAACTCTTTTCAAATACAAAGTGATACAAACGCAATGTAGACTAGATACATACAACCGCTCTATTGCAATTTTCAGATGAAAATGAAAAAAAATGAAAAGTGATCGTTGCGTATGACGTCTTCTACGTTGGCCGATGCGAAGGTGGGTAGTGGGAAGGATAAAACGGAGAAAAAGTTAAAGTTTTATACAAATAAATAAAGTTTATGTACATTTAAGGAACTGAATCATACTCAAATGATTTCTCGTATGGTCTGTACGGCATGGGTTTGATGTGTTGAAACACAAAAGAGAAGAAATAATCAGAAAAGTGTTATGAAAAGCAGATTTCATAATTTCTTTATCACAACGATTAGTATTTTATCGTTGAGCCATTTCTCTGTAGCCGACTGACGAAACAAAGATCAATCTTCAAAAGGAAACAATCAGACTATATAATCAGCTTCTGATAAGCTGTTTCATACATATATGAAGAATTCACTTAAAAGACTTTTCTATTCTAGCATATGTGCTGATGAGGTTGATTGATTGATTACAAATCATACTGATTAACCAGCCTTTTAGCCCATTTTCCATGTGTGAAAACTTTCAGACAAACATTTCGCCATTTCAGTTTATATGTAGTTTGTTTACTCAGCTACTAAACTTCTGTTTTTCTGAACCTTTCATGACTCCACACACTCACTAATGCCAATCATTGATGTTTTTCGCAATTCATAACTTTACAACTTGATCTATGAGAGTTAGGGTTCATATCGATGTGCATAGATTGGAAAGCACACATACTTACTTCTACTAACAGTATTTGAAGTTCGTTCAAACCATATATGTAGTCGTTGCACTATGAATGCTAACACGTACAACGCCCTTTCCTAGCAGTTGTAACGGGCAGTACTCTCATATATCTATCAATACTATCAATTTGTTAATATTAGTTTCTATCATGCCTTTCTGTACTTTTAATGTATTTAAGTCTCTCATACTTCGATTCATGGGTGTTGTTCACTCAGAAGACTACTCATTCGAGCTTTTCACCTTTTAGGGCAAAATGACCACACAGATAGCATTTTCTGCCCTATCTATTATTGTTCATTCTTTAGCCTGTTTGATGTCTTCTTCCCTTATCTGGTTTTGGAAACTGAGCTGTCTTAGCTCTTCCTGACCTGATTCACACCCTTTCTTGATTCATCACAACTGTTTCCGTTTCATTAGCAGTTCTGATAATGGCTATCAGTATACTCACTGAAGAAACATAAAAGTGTTCAGTTTGATATGTTCAGAGAAGAGAAGAGAGGATTGTCAATTTCCATCTCTGATTCATCCATTTACATTATCAGCTTTGGCTTCGCCGTAGTAGATTTGAAGCTCAACCTCTGTAGTGTATAAATGATTCAACTTTACACAGCTGCAGCGTCATATTGTTTTAGAAGCTCAGATGACCTCCCCTAGGAAAATATGAAAACTGTTGATGTGTTAATCAGTTTTCTGACTCTCATTTAGTTTGAGTTTTGGAAGAGAAGCTTATGCCCATAGTTCGGCTGAAACATGCTCTCTCTATGAGTCTCCTCGTATCGGTTTTTACGACTTTCATATTACTCTGGACTGTTCTGGTAGCATCTACTTCAGATCAGTCTAATACTTGAAGCTTGCTACTTGCTGGCCTTCTACTGATCCCCCATTGTTTTCTCTCTGTCTACCACTTTCTCTCAAAGTTGGATAATAACTACACACCCACACACACACACACAAACATATTACTACCTACTTCACCTAAGTTGAAGTTGGTATCTCAAAAAACAATCATAGTTTTCTTGTCAGTTCAGTAGATTAACTGAAATACATCAATATTATACCAATTTAAACTTTGGACGCTCATCTCAGCTCTCATCTCTGCAGAGTCAGACCAGCTGTATATTCATGAAGCCACACACTTTCTTCCAAGTAACATGTTATATGACGGTGGGACGCCATCATTACATGAAATAAGATAATAGGGATTAGACTAATTCGGATTTTCCAACAATTTCTCAAGACATCGTTACTATTGAACGTATATCTTTGTGATCAGAGTCTGCTCCGCTGAAGAAGAGTTCGTTAACGTGAATGATATCGTGTATTCAAATCTGAACTTTGGTACATATCATTACATTTTCCAGAGATTTGCAAAAGAAATTTGATTCAAACTGAAATTAGGTTCATTCCGTTCCAGATTCTCTTTTAATTACAACCATATGATGTTTCCCTCCGAAAAAAAAGTCAAACACTAGTTGTAAATAGGGATAAGTGAGTTGAGTTCATGGTTATAGAGACTAAGTCCCTAATGCCCCTGTTTTTTTCAATTCTAAAAACCAAATTTCCTTATCGCACCTCTCAGATAACCATAGACATGATAGAAGGAGAGCTCATTGGGTTCTCATTCAAGCACCATCCACACATGAGAACAAGTTATGACTTACCAATTAAGGTTTTGTCCACATTTTTTTCATTCGTAATCTCTATTCATCTCTTTCAACTAAAAACAAATGTCATAATTCCTCTGTTTGTGAGATAATTCTCAGAACTCATTAAGTGTTTGTCTGGAATATAACCAAATTGGATGTTACTCTGTAGAAAGAAACCTTCAAAAGACAAAAACATCAAAATCCCATTAATGACAGATCTGATAAACTTTGAACCTTCTGGTAATTTCTCATAGCAGCACATATGATGCAATGTAATGAATGTAAACTATCAAAGTGACAACCGAGAGTCACCACCACATGCGGAAGAACAAAGAACAAACTACAGGTTAAAGAAAGCTGCAACAAATAAAATCTGATAAAGTATTTGAAATAAACATTGCACTGGGTGCATGCTCCACACAGAATGAGTGGAGGAAACGACCAACAAGACCGTAACATATGAGATGAAGCAATTGAGATTTCCAGACAGGAGTGTAAGCTCAATATTGATCCAACGCAAGCTTATTGGGAGCGTAATTGTGGAACATCCATTACGGAACAGACCGGTTTGCAATTGTCTAGTAAGAAAGACATTTCCTTTGGTATTTTCTGCGACAGCGACGCCGTTGTCTGATGTTGAAAGAAATTGTTCCGCAGTGGAACAGTGTGTAGTAGTAGTTACATGTGACATGTTCAATGTGTTTCTGTCTGTGCTCCTTATCCTCATTCACTAACTCCATGTAAGAACTCTATCTAATCTCAGTTTGAAAATGAGTCTGGAATAGTTTGGTATAGTTAACGTTATGTGCCATTATGCTTTATTGAAAATGTGCTATTTTGGAGTCAATGCAGTGCGAATGGAAAATATCTATGGCGTTATCAGCTCTTGATAAGCTAATGATACAAATAATCAGATTTCTCTTAAAATACATTGTTTTATATATGTGCTAATGAGGTCTATCGATTGATTCCACCCACTGACTGCATATCCTATTGGTTGTCCCATTTTTCATTTAACAAACATTTGGTTTTTTCAGTTGAGTTCACATTTTACAAACTGTTTACTCAATTACTTATCATCCTCGCTTACTCTCTCTATAGCACTGTCTCTCTCTCTCTCTCTTTCTTTTTCTAAACTTCTTGATCCTTATTCCAGATGTCACTCATACATGGATCCTTCTATGCAATATTTTATGGTATATACAGTGTTTTAATAGAAGTTTACAATAAATTTGTTCCCAAAAAGACTTTCACTCTTTCATTAGAAGATTTCCGAGTAGCATGTAATGCAACACCAGAGGAACAAAGCTATGAGGAAATCAATAAAAAAGTGATTTTTCTAGTTTTTTTTTTCTTGCATCAAACTCTGTTCCCTTTTAAGGAGAAATTATTCTTCGAAGTATCGAATGTTGAAGGAACAGCTCTTCAGCTTGATATCTCCTGTGAAGAGAAATACCAAACAGTTACCATACATTTCGTTTATAAGGGTGAAACATACACTGGACAGTACAGGTATGCTGCTCTTGTTTCCTACCTCTGGAATATGTTATTTGAAGTGGAAGTTATACAAGTTCAACTACAATCTCCTTCGGTCCTCTGAACATTGAAGTGCGTGAAGCTTTCCGTAGTTGGCGTTTGACTTTCAAGGGATTTTTGAAGTATTTTTGTATCTATTTTCGATTTTCTTTACAACTGTTAAAGGAATATCTCGAACGATGAAGAGAAATTTATATCCTTCTCTGGATGGTGGAAGCCCAATTCTGATGCTCGATTCTTCTTCAAGAATGCATCATTATCATCCTTCATGCCATACGTAATGAAGAACCCTGTGAATCTTTTACACAATATTGGAACTGTAGGAAAGTTAGAAACATGAATAGTTTGGAAAGTAATGGGCTGAATTACAGAATTCAGAGATCTCCAGTTATACATCAAGATGGCCAGTATCGTACAGAGATCATTGTTGACAATGAAACTCAAGTACTTACTCTTCGTGGTCTTCGAACTCGTGTTTCTTCCAACTTCAGCTCTGCTTTGGATCAATTCTACGTCTACCTAGAGGTTTCCTAATTCGAATGAGATATTTCTTCTTACCTTTCGCTAATAGGACGGAAACAGATTGAACTATTGCACTTCCACAGTGAGAGAAAATGTAAAATTAACTCATGGGTTTATCACTCGCGGAGATCGTGTCGTTAGGAGAATCGAACTTATTGATCCTGAATCATTGGACACTTCCAATCATCGATTGATGGAGTTCAAAGTTGTAGGATGTAGTTTCGGTGTTCTCGTACGGACTGTATAACGATACATTACAGATCCAAACTTCGTAATTAGAAAAGATAGTGTTATATCGGAATTCCAATATCTGAATGGAAATAATGAAACCGTCACCATCAAGAGAATAAAAGTAAGAAAGATCTCATTTGACCAAGAATATGATTTTTCTCAAAGGTTGTGAGTGGCTTAAGCAAAGGAGTAGCATTATTCCGATCAATCCGTGAATCTCTTAAACCTCTTCCAGCTCCTGAAATTGTTCATTTCGAAGGTTGAAACTGTTTTGAAAATTTTCTTTCTGAAGCTTGTTCTAGAGGTTTATTCAACAGAAGAAGAAAGATCACACAGAGTTCTCTCTTTTGACGACAGAGCTTGTCAAGACAAAACTCTTACAGGAGGAAAGGGAGCTAACTTAGCGAAACTTTCGTCAATTGAAAATAAGGTTTATAGTTGGATCATTAAGAAGCTGAAAATTTGTATTTAGTATTCTGTACCCCCCGGAGCTGTCATTACTACCACAGCTTTCGATCATCATTTGAAGCAGAACCCAGAAATTCTCGAACTCGTTTCTTCTCTTTCTGCCAATAAGAAAACACTGCCTGAACAAATCGAAATTGGAAGAAGGTTTTTGTCTAACATCTTCAAAACTGTTCTTTTTTTCCAGAGTCCAGGAAGCTTTAAAAGCTTCCACTGTTTCTTCTTCGTTATTGAATGAGTTGAAGCAAGTCGGATTGAAGTTTGACGAGAACAAGCGATATGCTGTTCGGTTTGTAAAAAAAATTGTTTCGAGCAAGTATATGTTTACTACAGAAGCTCTGCAGTTGGAGAGGATGGAGCAGATCTGTCTAGTGCAGGACAGTTAGAGAGTTGTTTGAATGTGCCTGTTCAGGATTTCAATCATACAATCATTGAATGTTGGTGTTCAAACTTCCGTTCTGAAGTCATTACTTATAGAAGGTTTTAAACATTTCATGTCCTTCTCAAACAAAATTTTTCTCAGAAATTATGGACAACTGGTTAATCCTTCAATGGCTGTAGTCATTCAGGAAATGTGTGTTGGAGGAAAAGCTGGTAGCTATTTGGATATTACCCAATGAAATTATTTTGATCGCTAATTCAGGAGTTATGTTCACATGCGATCCCGTTATGAACGACGATTCTGCTATAGTCATAAACGTAATTGATGGCATTGGCGAGGATATTGTTAGCGGTAAAGTGACACCCGATGAAGTGAAAATACTCAAGAAAGGACTTCAAATAACAAAGGTATGCGTTCCTACAAAAGACTTCTGCTGACTTCTAAATTCAGCCCGATCCATGTTGTTTAACCGACCATCAATTAGAAGATCTCGCCAGAGTCGGTTTGTTTTTGGAAAAGTCTTTCAGTAGATGCCAGGTTATAACATTATTCATAAGTTGCCTTAACATTCCTTTCTTTAAGGATGTTGAGTTTGTTGTTAAGGATTCTGATGTGTTCATTGTTCAATCAAGAGATGTCACGGGTGAGAAACACTTGTCTGTTAATCCTCTACTACCATTTCCAGGAAGAGATGCTGAAACTCAATTCGAGCTTCTGACTGAGCTTGATAGTGCTGTTCTATCCGACCATGAAGTTATAACAACAGCCAACGTTGGGTTAGTCTCCATCATGATTCTAGGAGTAACGATTATTTTGTTTCAGTGAAGTATTACCTTTTGCTTTGACACCTTTGGAATCGACAGCTGGAATGGAGTTTGATAAAACAATGACGGTAGTTCGAAAGCACAAAAATGAATAAGTAATGTGAAGCGACCTATAGAAATTCGGCATGGAACCTTTCCGATCGACAATGAGTCGTCATCCAACATGCATTTTATTAACTATAGGTGGAACACGGTTTTTCAATATTGGAGAGGTAAAATAATTCTTCACCGTTCTCTTCAAACGAGCTTTTAAGCTGTTTCTGAGAAATTGGAAAACTTATGAACAAGATCGCTTGGCTGAATTATGCGTTGGAGGAACTAACCTATTCACATCCGAAGATTTCCAATTTGTATGTTTCTTTGTGATTATAAGATGAGCACACTTCGCATCAATTCCAAATCCATGTTCCGTCATGGTCTCGAGAAAAAACCATTTTTCCATATACTTTGACTGAAGCGGTTGCATCCATCCTTTGTACTGCGTTCTTATCTAACGCTTATGATTTCAGGCGAAGCAGAGATATCCACCTCTGCCTGCTCATTTCAATATCGTAAACTTGGTCACAATGATTTACGTAAGGAAACAATTGAGTTCAAGAAAATGAGTTTAATTTAGTGCCTGCTGTTCAAAAGTAAGAAGCAGTTGGCCAAAGTTCATGCTGATGACCAAATCAACCGTGAAATTGCCCCAACTAAAGATGCTTCAGAATATACTTTTAAGGAGCTCTTGGAGCTCTGGGCAGACCAAAGTGGTCACACTAATCTTGTAAGTGTTTAAGTTCATTATCCTTATTACATTCTTTGCTAAGGTTCTCGAGTCTCATACAAATTTGTCGGCTTACTCATCCTTCACTTACATAATTGTTGGAATGTTAGTAAGAGGATCAGACTGTAAACCATTCTCATATTTTCCTTTCCTCATGACAATTTTCAGCCGGAGGAATGACACCGGAAATGCTCTCTGATTTCGCTGAAATATTTTCCAACTGCTCAAATGTTATCAGTGCTGATATTCCTTTCTCATTCAAAGTTTGCATTTCTAAATTCAGTCTTTAATTCTCTGCTCTATAGAAAATAGCTGTCGGAGTACATCAGGATGGGTTGAGTGAAGAGTTTTTGAAATTGGATGAAGAAGAAGCAATCGAGCTCATTAAGACTAAAGGTGTGAAATCAAAGGCTGAATTGGATGATTTCGTAGAGCTTCACGGACATCGGTATTACCTCAGAGATGTTCTTAACCAATTTACCCATTATTCAGTGGTGTTGGAGAGCTCTACATCAGTAAGAGAAGTTGGGGAGACGAGCTGTCTACTATTGTTCCAAACCTCAAGGTTTACAACCATAATTGCAATCATTTCAACTCTTTTTTTTCAGTCTATTATTATTTCAAATGATTTCAATATCGAGGCAAAAGTCAGCAAACCAATTGATGAACTCATTGATAGTCTCATGTGTAAACCTGCAGGTTTCAGAAGGTAATTGACACTGTTTTTACTGTTGTTCAACATTTGTTTGTTCTAGAACTTTAATGAAATATATGGTGAAGCAAACTCATAAGGGTGTCATCAACAGAGAAGCAGCTAAAACATGCTTGGTTCGGGGTGTGTACTACATGAGAAAGACAACCAGGTTGATAGCGAAAAAATTGACCGAAGAGGTACTGTGACCATTGAAATCAGAATGTCATCTGATTATTAGGGCTATTTACCTGATGAAGATCTCTTCTATTATCTTCACTATCAAGAAATTGAAGAACTGTTGAGAACACGGAGTGCCAAGATAATCTCGAGGTAAAGAAAAACAAGTTCAAGAGATCAAAAACCATTTTTTCTATTTTCAGGGCTCATCGCCGCAGAAAAGTGTACCCCATACTGAAAGAGTGGAAATTTGAGCATGTGTCTCATGGTATTCCTCAGCCGGTAGCTTTACCACTTCAATTCATGGTCACTTCTGAAGTTCACAGATCGAGCAGGCTGATAAACGAAAATTTGAGACTTTGGAGTCTCTTAATGGCACTGTTGTTTGCCGAGGCAAAGTGATTGGAAAAGCTCGTGTTGCTCATTCGTTAGAAGAAGCTAGGGAAACACAGGTGACTCCTATTAGAGTTTCTAAAAATATCCAAAAAGAAAAGATAAAACTTGTATACAACCGTTCATATTATATTATCATGAGAAAAATAAGAACCACGAGCTTGTATACTCACGTGGTTCAGCGTGAATCAAAAATTAGCATTTTTACAGCCCGGTGAAATTCTGATAACTCACTGTACTGACGTGTGCTGGTCACCTTACTTTCCCATAATCAAAGGTATTGTAACGGAAATCGGTGGATTACTAAGTCACGGTATGCAGAGGTAGCATTCTGATAATGACGTTGTTGTATATTGTAGGTGCTGTTGTTGCTCGTGAATACGGTTTACCATGTTTGATTGCAGTAGAACATGCTGTTTCAGTTTTCGAAACAGGTGCGTACCCTTTGAATTGACAATCACTTTTGTTGTTTTTTTGCTTCTTACAGGTGAAACTGTTGAACTGAACACTGACACTGGCACCATTTCGAAGGTTAAACAATTGGATTAAAAAAAATTTTTTTTTTCTTGTTTGCCACGCCCATTCCTAGCAGATGACGTCATGTTGAAATCATATTTAATGATAAAATATGATTTTTGAATAGATTGAATAATATTTTGTTTTAACCATTTCTTAGATTTTCTATTCCCTTATTTTCCAAAAGATATTCCTTTCACAGCTTCCTCAACATTCACGACTTGATTTTGTACATTATTTTTCAGCACCATCTTCAACTGAAACACAATGATTCATTTTGAAAAAAGATTGGTGCAAAGTATAAAATGATAAGGAACGTTGCGAAAAAATAAAAGAAACACCACTATACGGCTGAATTTGCATTGGAAAATATTGTTTTTCACTCTTTAAAAATGACTTCATACCTCCTTTTTGGTTATTAGAACAGAGTCGCGTTCATTCAAGACATGCATGATTAACGCAAGTCCTTCTGTATGAGTCAAGGATGCTTCGGCTGCAAACTTCTATAAAACACATCACTCTCGGCTCTGTCTCATCTGAAAAGCACGTGACTATTCGGAAAGAGTTCTTCTTTCAACGCCGTCATTCTCACCCGTCTCCGCTATCTTTCGCTCATTGTGTGCCAATGATCGTTTGTTTGCGATTATGTAAAAATCAAAATCTTCCATGTCTACGACAAGTGTTATTTGGAAGTCGATGGACTTTTAAGCTTATCAGCAAGTTCGTTCGTCTGAAACCATTGAGATAATGTTATCATCCTTATGTTGCCGTTGGCGAATCGCTTCAGAAAACACATCTGTTTTCGTACTCCTACACTTTGCCTTTTACAATCTATGATCTCAAAAGAAAATAGCTGAAAACAATGAGTTCAGAAGTAGATGATGCTGTCTTCCTGATCACATAGCTAATATGAGACTATCCGTCCTATGATGCTAGAGGTAGCAACTCACATCTCAACTTGCAAATAGAGCCTAATGTTAATACTGCTAACATATTGTTGATCAAAATCTTATCTGACCAGTTGACTATTTCACAAATATTTCCAATTTCAATGTTTTGCTAACCAATTATGATAGTATCAAACACAATATGTTATTTATCAACAAGAATAATTTTCTTTTTACAACATCTTTCACTCAGTCCATAGAGCAGCCATTGTCTATTACTTTGGTTTCTTTGTCCTGGAGACATTAATCCGTCTTTCTACTATTCTTTTTTTTTATTTCATTTTTTGCAAGAAAGCTCTTATCACTGAATGAGTTTTGTTAAGAAAAAACCTTTCTGACATGACACATTCCTGACCAGTACGGTTTTGGAGCCAAGTAATATCAATCTTGGACAGGACTGTACGTTTAGCTCATTATCACCTACTGGAATATATAATTTAGTGTATTCAGTAGCCGTTGATGTCCATAAAATTCACAGAAATTACAATTTTTCAATGATATTCATAGCATTTTATGATTTTTATAACATCTCATTTGTTGATAAGAAGCGCGTTCCGAAAAGCTCATAAACGTCTGAAGTTCCAAACAGAAACAGTACTTTCATCAAACGTCTCCGTTAGTACATTTCATCATTTACATTCTAATAATCTTTTTTCCTTAATTGGTCTTCATTTGCGAGATTTACTGCTTCATGTTCAGCTTTTATCTCTCAAATCTGTGGAATCAGCGGAAGCCGTCTTACATTTGAAATTTTCAAATTGCTATCAACTTTCATTTTGTACTTAATGTACACATGAATGTATAAAAGGACATTTCACTAAGGAATTCTTCTCATCAGAATACTTGAAGGAAACTTACTCGCTGCTCTTCTTCTCTCTATTTCTTCTGCGTGTACCCTTTTTCTTTTCTTCCACTTTGCCTCTCCTTAGCTACCTCTTGCTGTGTTTGGTTTGAACTCTTATTTGACTTCCCGCTAAAATACATTTTCACAAATTATGAAAACACTTTGATTTTTGTTTTTTAGTCATTAAATTTCTTATCAGAACTATGGCAAACACATAAATTTTCAGTTAAAATCAAATGATGAACAAACATACTTTGTTTACGAAATTTGCTTCCTTCCTATATGCTTCTGATAATTGCTCATCATAAGCCACTCATACATTGACCGAGTTAATCTTGATTTCGTAAGCACGAACCTATTCTGAACGTCCGCTTCCTTAATCGAAACGTATTAATAATATTTTGAAAACATGAGTTCGAATGCTGAAATGTCAAGGCACTCACTGATCCGGTCAGAAAACGTTTCTGACAGGTTCCTACTAAATGTCGTTCTCTTTCTCCATCCATAACTTTCTGTTCCTCTCTTCTTCTACACTACTCTCTCTCTATCTTTCGCTTTATTCAAAAAATAAATAAAAATTATTTTTCAATCTGAATGTAAATGAATTCTGGCCCAAACGACCACCATGAGGTATTCGAGAACAACCGCTCCTTCTGTTTTTTTTTCCAAAAATGAAATGTTAATTCCCTTATCGTTTTGTCATTGCCCGACCACCCAGCCAGAATATAGTCGTTTTTGGTTAAAATTATAAGTTTAATCTCTAAAAAGCCGATTTCGTTTCATGAGCCTTTTCTTCTATAAAATGCGAAGTTGGAACAAGTTGAACAGTAAGTTTGCTATGAGCTGCCTGAAACTTCCATTAAACTTGTTTGAAACTTCTATCCTCAATGATATTAATGTTATGTATATTGTCTCATAACGAACTTTAGTACGAATAATAATTGAAAAAGATAAAAACATTTTCAGCTTTAACCTCATCATCATGAGCTCATTACCACCCCGAATGCTGTTTGTAACTATCGTACATGCCATATTCTCCCAATATGGTGATATCATGGGAGCTTGTTTCAATTTGATGAATGTTCCAATCAGAAGGTTTTTCATTGTTTTCTTCTTAATGGGACATTGTTTTTACTTCAGAATGTTTAATGAGAGCATGCAAGAACAGTATGGACCTCTTACAGACTCATCGTTCGTTTTCCTACTTCCTCATCACATTTCATCTTCTTTTTCAGATTTGAACTTTTATTCTCTGCTTGTGCTTCATCTATGTATCTAGGACTGATGATTGGTTTCGGTTTAATGGGCTATATGATGGACAAGATAGGAAGAAAAGAAACGGCCGTAACTATAAGGTACACCCTAATCGTATCTATCAGCTTATCGCGAATGGCTTTCAGAGGACTTCTTGGAATAACCGGATCGATCTGCATGATCCTTTCTATGTTATTCGGAAGACATGAGCTCTTCGTTGTTGGTCATATAATCGCGGGAATTTGTACGGGGTTGAAGGTTGTTCTCATCATTTACGTAGCAGAATGTAGTCCAGATAGCAAAAGAGGTATCAAAGATAGAAAACTTCAACAGAAACAAACTGTTTGTTTGCAGGTTTAACAAGTATGGCTATTAACTCTGGAGGTGTCTTGACTGTTATGGTTATTACTCCCCTTTGTTTGCCAGCTATTTTTGGTAATGAACATGCCTGGTAAGTTATCTTTATTGTTTTATGAGTTTCTAATTGTTTTAGGGCTGCTTTACCGTTTATCTCCGTTATCATGGCTATCATTCATCTGTGTGTAGCTGGTAAATTCCCTCAGAGTCCCAAACAGCTTTATATGAAGGTTAGGAAACACTTGAATACCATCACTAAATCACATGATTCAGAAAAATGACGAAGTAGCCGCCAGAGCAGCTATACTATTCTACTCAGGAGCTAATGCTGATATCGGTAAGTGATAATCAAAATAACTTTTTAAAGTAAGGGCAATGAAAAATATTGAATCAAAATGCAAAGATTGAGCTTCAGTAATTATAATCACCATTGTATTGTATTATCTAGCAGTATGACGGGGAATATATTTCATCATTCGCTCGTTAGAGGAACTGATCGTTCAACTATTTCTCATGACCTGCTACTATCTTCTTACACTAAGTACGCGTATGTTCAGATCACAGCATATTGTTAATGGACGAGGAGAAAGACAAAGAACCTGAACAAGCTGCTTCCATTGTTGATATTTTACAAAATAGAAAATATAGGTTTGATATAAACATTTAATAACTTAATTTTAATAACTTTCTTCAGATTCTCGTTCTTCTTGGTTCTTTTAGTCGCCTTCATACCTGTGTTCTCTGCTTTAAATGTCAAAAGCCAGTTCCTAATCAGTATGTTGATGACATATGGACTGAGTCAGAGTGAAGTGAATATATTTATTTAATTATGTATATTATGACCTTTCTTTAACAGGCCACAACAGCTATGCTAGTGATCAGTGCTATATCTCTTCCAATTTGTTTCATCTCCCCATTCTTAATTCACAAATTTGGAAGGTAATTCTTTCTATTAATCATATCAAAAGTTTTTGAACTCATTTACAGACGACCAATCTTTGCCACAGTCACAATCTTATGTGCCTTGGAATGGGTTGGGTTCGGTTTCGCCCAAATCTTTGTTGACCTTCATGCTGCTGTAAGTTTTCATTTCACTCTTAACTGCCATCTAGATTGTAATCGCGAAAAAAATATTAAAATAAGTGATAATATCTTATGGTACGAGCTTTCTCCAGATAAGATTATTATACTTATTGATCAAGAGAATCAAAATCTCTCATAGTTGTCAATTCCTTTTTTCGATATTAGGGGTTCAAATAGTTCTCTAGACACTTTTACTTATCCAGGAAAACATCCTGTGGGATATAAAAACCTCATACTCCCTCCCATTTCTTTGATTATACATTTCTTTAAAGGATTTGACGGTGTCGTGGATCAGTGCTTGCTTAGCCTCTATATTAGGCCAATCTGCTATTAATATGGGTTTGCTCATCATGTCTCCTATTCTTATATCAGAAATATGCCCTCATCATACAAGAGCAGCCATATCACAGGTACTAGATAAACTAAGTATTAGCTTGACCAGAATATTTTAGCTGACTCAAGTCTTCCCAATAGGATTCGCTATTGGAGAAGTCACCTTATTTCCCGAAGTGCGTGAGATGTTCGGATCATTTTTATTCTTCTTCCTCGGCGCTACATGTGCCGCTTTGGCATTCTTACTCTTCATTCTTGTAAGTATCTTAATATGTAACTGTTTAATCGTTTTGCCTTACTAGATGGGAGAGCCTTCCGCTAATGGTCATGGAGAAAGAAAGAAGCATAAGAGGTTAGCTTTATCATATGGGAATATTGATAACTTAAATATATTCAGACATCATCACCTTCATCATAGCGATCATTCTTCACTCAAAAGAGATGATACATGGACAAGAACATATGGAACTCTTCTGGATACTCCAGAAGACACAGAATCTTCAGGAGAATCTATAAATGCTTCCGATTTAGTATATAAGCAACAAGAAAAATTTTTTTAACCTAAGCTAAGAGGAAACAAAAATCTGTTGCACTTAGACGAAAACAGTAGGAAATCATTTTCTGCAACTTTTTGTTTTGGATTTTGTTTTGTCTTTCATTGCAAATCATAATCTTCTTTATTTCTAAGACTAATTCATATTGTACGGGTACTAATATTTGATTTATAAAGTAGAAATTCTCTTTTTTATTTTCTTATTGTTCACAAATCATGACCATACAACTATGCATCAAATACTATCGACATGATCTTTCATTCTCGGTGCCAATGTGAGGTTGATCGTTTTGCATATGAGGAAGCAATAGAGTACACATACATGTAATTCTCATTTTATTCATTTGAAGTCATTACATTCACATCTTGAACATTCTGCAGTCTTTCATCGGTTGCATCAAAAACAAAAAGAAAATAATCTGTATGATAACAGAGAAAGAGAGAGAGAGAGATAGTTGGAGAACATAACGACCTAACTTTTAGAAGAAAACTAACACCGCCTAGATAGTCCATTCGCCTCATAATCATCAAATCTCATGATCAATAGTTTCCAAATTATCTTTCCCATGCTTCTTTGCAATAACAGGTCATTTCAACAAATACAACATTTTTTCTATCCCATCTTGTGAAGCCTCACAGAACGCTCGAAACACAATGAGCTCCAACAGAAAAAAGTCATGCGGATTTCAGCACACGTCGAGATCCCGTCAAAAATCGGATAGACATAGATTCAGAACGAATTTCGTCGACAACTTAAATTCTTGAAGCTCTCGTTCACCACCCAAAGAATGTGTGCAGTTTGATTTTCCGGATATTACGAAATCAACTACCAAAGTAAAGGTTATCACAAACTCGGAGAACGACACCAAGTAGGACTATGAACTTCTACTCAACTCATTAAACCTGGTAACGAACCTTAAAGTTACCTTAGAGCGAAATGAGAACGAGAACATTCCAAAAAGAAAAAGACTCATCTACATATGTGTTAAAGGCATTCCTGTCTGCTCAGAAAAAGATTGCCCCCCCCCCTCCCCTGGAACAAAAACTAACACAAGATCAGAATAGGAGCGTTTAGCATATTGGGGGGCAAAAAAGTACCTAATCACTTTATTCTCATCTTGAACGTTCTGCAGCCTTTTAAAGGTTGCATAAAAAACAAGAAGAGAATAATCTGTTTGATAACAGAGAGAGAGAGAGAGAAAAAGGCTCAACGACCCGGAGCATGCAATAGTTTGAGGACATAATGACCTTACTTTTAAAAGAAAAAACACTTATTTTATTTTTCCACTGAATGCTTCTAGTGAACAACAAGAAGAATGTGCGAAAAGAAAATCTCATGTTATTCATAAAAAGTTTTTATTTTCTTGATATTTCAAATCCATATCTTCTGTCATTTGTAAATCGTGTGAGACTTGCCTCATTTCCCAAATTGTTAAATAGCCAAATAAAGAAATGAAAGTTATAAACAAAACTTGAGATGGATTAACAGAAATGTGACTGAACTTTGCACCAAAGTCAGCTACTTTTATAAACTTCCCGCTTATTTAAAATACGATTGTGGACAACAGTAAGTGTGAGAGGGAGGAGAAGGAGAGAGCTATGAGGTACAGCCGTCTTCAGCTGCTCTCCATTGCTTATTCTTCAACCTTAGATACGCCGATCTCATGTTTTCATTTTTTTTTTCGTTGTGACATCAGATGCTTCTTTTTTTTTTTTGATCTCAAATTCATTTGTGTTAAAGATGGATAAGAAGAAGAATGAAAGATCATTCTTCGTTCTCCATTTCAATGCTCGCATTTCCCTCGTTTCCAATCTGTTCTCAAAGTTGTTTGATTTACGCGATCTTCAGATTTTTCATAACTTTGCTCTAATTTCGTTATCGAAAAATGTTTAAACCAAGATACTATATATCTGCTTTTCTATTTATCTCTTCTTCTCCGTATTCCTGGTTCATTTGCTCTAAAACAAATGAATGTGTGTCGTCCTAAGCACATATATCCATTCCTCCTTATATCAACTAGCATCGTTTTCAAGAAGTCGTCAAAGATGAAGAACATAGTACCTAAGTCCCTCAAAACTTAAGTCTCTAGCATAACTTATATTATGTCTAATAATACTTTGCTACCATATAAGTAACTGAATTGTTCATTTTCAAATTTAGACAATGTCAGCATTACCTACATCAGATCCATCTATGGGATGTCACTGCCAATATCCCATAGGATTGGTTATCTTTCTTGTATTCACCATCATTTCTCTACTTCTCTGCATTTGTGTATGCTGCTTTGATGTAACAAAAGTAAGCTAGTTACGAAGATTAAAGAATATTTTTGGTGTTTATGAGCAATTTTCCTTTCCTGAAGAAGGAACAAGGAAGTTCTATACTACTCTCTCGTTTCTAAAACATTATACGTGATGACTCGTCATCATATACGAAAGATTAAAACATTCTTTTTGAATTAGTCACATCTCAAATCCAGTTGCTTCCTCAAGCTGAATGGTTTGACTGTCTGAAACAGCAGTGATACCATTCTTGGAGCTTGTTTGAAGACACTGAATAACGTATCATGTTTAAGTGTCCAATATTCAAGAGGAAGGAAACGCAGTGTGTCAGCAGAAAATGCTCTTCCTTCGATCCACGTCTGTTCGATACTTCCAAGTTCATTGTAGATCGAAAAGTAAGTTCTTTGTAATGTATTTGAACTTCTGAACAGATCCCAAAAAACTTTTTTTTTCATCAATCGACCTTTGCAATTACTTATTTGTTTTTATCTCTGAATTGTTAGCTAACAGGGAGTTTTACAAAGATTAGAACTGTCTTCAATCGGATACAACACAAGGGAGTGTATGAATTACGATATCAAACAAAAGATAAATAGATATGTAATCATATGTTAAATAAATCCACCCGATATCTTATTAAGCACACAAATGTGGGTGCTAATTAGCATACGTCATCCAGCACATTCACGTGACTGAGTCATACTTGCTTACCATTGGCGCACAGAATGACTGATAGCATTTTAATTATTTAAAATCTTTTTAATCTATATATATAAATACTTTCAGATATCTTTGGATCCTCGATTATTGGAATATAGCCAACTTGTCAACAGCAGCACCTCATCTTCAACACAATCTCGCTCAGTTGATATACCCTACTATGGAATGGACAGTGCTTATGTCACTACTGTATAAAGACGAACAAAATCATTTTTAAACTATTTCATCTCCTACACTAATAGTTCACCATTACGTCTATCTTGCCTTAACTCGGAACCTCATTGATATCTAGATTTATGCAGTCCGATCTCGCACTAGGTGAACTCCAAGACCTAATATGTAGAAAGTTTAACTTCATGTTTTCTTATATGATTACATAACTATAATAAATATAAAAAAAAACATTATTGAAACCCGTAATGTAGAAAGGTATAAGAAAGACAGAGGACAAACGCATCCAAACATGAAGAACAAAACGATAATCTTAGCCATGGGGATAGATCATCTAATCGCTGTCAAAACAAGAAGTTATGGAGTAACAAAAGCAAAACAGGTTAGAGGCGATTTGCGTAGTTCGCAGTAAATAGGTGACGTCACTACTATATAAGAGAAGGAGTGACAGGAACATATCACGTTTAATGTCTGATTAGGGAACAAACGAGTTGCTGCTCCGAATATTGCTTGTTTCGAAATTGAAGCTGATCTAGACATTTTCTGGAAAAAAAATAGCCAATGGTATGACAAATAGTCAGATGGACACTCACTCTAGTCATGACCTCTTTCAGTTTATCGTTATTGCATTTTCCCAGCGTTCCTGCTTGAGTCGCTTCGCGCTTTGTTGTGAATGTGCTCTTCAACGAAATAGCATAACTTTGGATTTCAGAACAAGAGTGCTACCAAATCTCTTGCTTTCTTAAACAAAAAAGAAACTCCAGTTGTCGTGGTTGCTTCTGTCGTTGTCGTAGTTGTAGTTGTTGTTGTGGTTGTTGTAGATGGAGTCGTAAGCGGAGTCTCTTTGGTTACAGAGTGAGGTGTACTTTCTGGTGTTAATTCCTCGAAGAAGTCTTCATCATCATTCACTCCTAGGGCTTGTACCTAAAGAAGACTGTTTTATATCTCAAAATATTGATTCACTTGAGTGTCGTCGACATTTCTGCCTTTCTTATTCTCATAATTACTATCCGATTCGAAGTATTCAACATTTTTATGTTCTGATCCTTTTTCTGAAACGATGCCTCATAGTCTATGTATGTTACGAAACACGTACGGCTCTCTTGTTGAATGTTATCAATAGTGTCATAATCATCCCTCACGTAATCAGTACTCTCTGTTTCTTTCACGTTCACTGAAGTAAATTAGAAAGATTGACGAAGTTTATTCTTCAAACTCACTTGATGGATGTATCTGTTCTTCACCAAAAAGGACTGGTGCCTCAGTGTTCGAACTTGTATAAACAGCAGCCACAGTGCTGGGCGTACTGGAACGAAAATGAACGGTCAATTTCATTTGAAAATTGTTACAATAGATCCGCTCTTTCAGTTGGTAAAGCATATTCGAATGTCTTTCCTGCATGAAGAGTATCGGCAGGGGCAAAATTGGAGAGACCTGCATTTGTCTCTTCAAAGCTCAATGAAACAGGTGATTCCTATAATTAAAATTGGTTTGAAAAGTAATAAACGCTCAATGTGTCTGATGCATCACCACTTTCATTGTAAGAATGGCATTGATCAATCTTACAGTTGAAAATGAGGCACGACTATCTGAGAACTCTGCCACTTGTCCTCCCGCCTGCCAAGTTTGACTATTGTCTTGCCACTCCTCGGATCCTGTAGACGCTACCGGTTGTATCTAAAACAGTATAATTATATAATATAATATGATGTTTCCATACATTCAGAGAAGTTGTTTTTACTTCGGCAACCGCAGATATAGGATATTCTCCAAGGTCAGTATCATGAACCACGTTAGCCTGTGTACAACGCATATGAACGATAAATGAAATGTCTTTCTTACTTCTCTGTTGTTAGCATTGCTTGAAGCATAGGAATCCGATTTAACAGATTGTATAACTTGAGGGTTTTCGTCGAAAGTTTCAAAAGGTCTCCGATTGGAACGGCCCCCGAGAGTAGGTTCAACTCTCTGAGGAGATGTAGGTGCGTTCTGTGGATATACAACGTTCAACGCGTTATAGTCTGTTTAATTATGCTAGTTTTGTATATGTATAGCTGAACGTTTTTTTGAGTTAAAACGAAAACTTAGTGGTTTCATATGAAAAGCCCGGGAAAATGAGTTAAACGAAGTCTTCTCATTCTCTTTCCGATTCATAAATATACGAGATTAATACCGTTCGAAACTACGAAGGCTAGTTTCGCTAGAAAAGGTTAATGAGATTTTCGACTGTCAATTGAATGAACGAAGTGGTACAGAGAAAAGAAGTGAAGGTGAATAACTGGACGGAAAAGAAAGTGTTCGAGACATTCTCACATTATAAATATAAAACTATCGTCGAACTATGGAGGAAAGTTTCCGAACTTTTAGTGAGAGAAGCTTCAATTATACCTGATATGCTTGTCCCAATCCCACTGAGTCAGAATTAACGTTACCATCAACTTGGAATGAGTTAGGAGGTTGTAAACTGGAAAAAGCGCTTCATTACAAATGAAACTAATTAATTAAAACCTCAAGTGTTGAGTCTGCGATGTGGAATATTGGTCTTTATCTCCGAACGAGTAACCATTGTTGCCGCTTTTTTGACCGTAAGTTGACTGATATAAATGTTCAGAGTATCACTTTATGTATAAAGTTTTTTTTACCGATTGATCATACTGACCGAGATCTGAAATCTGAGACTGTTGTGCCCCAAATGAGTTTGTTGGTCTAGAAATCAGAGAATGAGACTTTTCGAGAGAGTGTTGTGAAAAACCAACGCTATTTCATATGCATTTGAAGGTATCTGAGGAGCTGGCTGTAGAACTTGGTAATTCGATGGTATAGATACACGTTGAGGCATGGGTGGTGGAGGAGGGGGAGGTTGTGGTTGGGTTTGAGGGTACGAAGATGGATTGTATGATAAACTTTGTTGTTGATACCCAGTTGGAGTAGCATATTGGTTATACATTTGAGGGTATCCTAAAATGAAAACTGTTTAACACAAACCATACCAATGATCTTAACCATATGATTGTTGGGATTGCTGTTGAGTTGGCTGTTGAATATTCTGATTACAACCAGCAGGGCTCGGTGTAGGTGGACATAACAACTGACAACCCATCCTAGGAGCTGAATTGCATGATTGGCGACATGAGCAGCCTAAATGGAAAAGTAAGTTGATGCACAGATCACTGTTTACCTCCAAGTGCTCCCAAATCGAAGAAAAATGCAACTGTTCCACAAAAAGTTGCGAAAAGGAAAAACGAAGATTTTCCGATTTTCATCTTAAGCAGACATATTAAGACAGGAATGAAGCTAACATTACTTCTACGAGGGAGGCTTCAGTTAGAAACACTATTACTTCTGGGAGGTTGGAACTGGACGCAACGTCGCGCTCACGTTGGCTGTTTTCTAGAAGCAATAAGTAGTACAATAAGGGAGAGTAAGCACAAGCTGAAGTGGCGCTGATAACAACATGGGAAGATTTTAAAAGAGATTACAGCACAGGCTTTACCCGGATAGCTATTGTGTTAAAATATTTTAATCACAAGCTTATCGCGGACATGCAACTAGTAGATAATCACAGTGGGAAGTCAAAAGAAAATTAGAAGCAACAGATGACGATTCACAATGTCTCAAATCCTTATTGAACTGAACGAGAAAGAATCAGCAAAAGCTACAATGGCCGAGAGCATTTTCTTGACCAACCAGTTACAGACATCCGGATTATAGCCTTGACGCCACATATGGCGGGGAGGGATGTTTCCACTACTGGTCCGCAATAATTACTCAGATCTCGACACATCCCGTAATTCATCCAAGTACGAGAAGAGGACAAAACCTCTGACTAATGTCATTTCAATTACAAACTGGTGTTTGTACCATCTTCCTCAGACAAGAGGTCCACAAACGAATTAACAAAAAGTACCCAACATTTCCGTCTTTGACCTATGAATCTTGAAGAAGATTAATGAGTGCCAGAGCTCTACCAATAAAGGCGACCGGTTTCTTCAGGAGGCGAATTGAAAATGAAATTGAACCTTCTTGTGTGTAAGAAAGTAAAAACAAAAATTCATTCTAAACAAGTTTCAACATAATCAACGTTTCTATATTTACACAACAACTTAATTATTTCACTTAGTAGACAGCAACTCCCTGAAACATACTTAGTTCATTGAAGTTTTTAACTCATGAGCTCACCAGAGGTTGACAACTGTAGCAGTTGATTGTCGGATCAAACGTTTTTTATGACCAAGCGCATTAGCAGTAGATTCCACAACGAGCGATATGAAAGGATAAAGATTTTGAGGCTTTGCTCTTCTAGCTATCAACTCTAAGCATTTCAGAGCGTCCAAGCATGAAGCCTATAATATGAAAATATTATCTATTCAACTGAAATTGCTCTAAACCATCGGACTAGTCTGAACTTCATTGCACAATTTCTTTATGATTTTATGTGCTGAAGATTGATCCAACAGTTCTGGAGGAACACCAGAGAGGAAAGACACTAAAGACTTTAGAACAGGCGAAGCAAGCTTTTCATCCGACTCTGCGGCTGCCAAGAAAACAGGCAAGAACTTAAAGCGAGGATTTTTACATTACAGTGATAGACAAACCTGTTGAATCTGTGAATTGCAAGATTGTCCTAATTCAGCAACGCTCTCCAAAACAGACGGTAGTAATTCCAATAGAACTGTTTCTAAAAGGCATAATGGTTAACGGAGTGAGATATAATCAACTCACTATCTTGCGCATTCACTACGGCATTGATATAGAAAGGAACAGATTGACAAACGATGCTGAAAATTTATAAATAAATGCTGATTAAGGAAATCAGTAAACCGTTGTTTCCACAGCACAGTTCGCACTGTGTTGGATCTTTCAGGATTGAACCAATTGGACTTGAAATCGAAAAGATCAATGTTTTTTGGTATATCTATATTCTTCTGTATAGACATTTGATGGAATATCTGCAACAAGGAGTCCGTCTAATAAACATGAACAAGAATATACTTCTTTCAAGTTGCTCAATCCATCTGGTACTCCACTGACCAGTAGAGCTTTAGTTTGAACAAAGTTGAACCTAGAAATGATTAAGCTGAATCTTAAATCTCTCTATCTGACCATTTTTGATTTTTAAGTTCGTCTGATAATTCAGAAACGGTCCCTGTTCGATTGATATACGCATAGACTAAAGGAATGACGAAGTCATCGACCCTTACTCCAATAGCTTCTAATATGATTAAAGGATCCTAAGAAAAAAAAAGATAAAAAAAGACACATTGATAATCATACTGTCGATTGAGCTGAGAACAATCTGAAGTTTTCATTTTGTGAGAACTTCTTAGAAATTTCTTGATGAGTCTCCTCACTGAGTAGAAGTCCTATGCTTTGCAAGGTCTCTTCGATAAGAGAACTTTGAGTGGAAATCTTCAAGTAACTACCTATTTTTCATAATTCTTATCATTTACCTTGTCAACATAATTGATAAACTCTAAAGCTACAATCTCCATGGCATCACCCTCCCGCAATCTTTCCAGAGTTGAGATAAAGTAACGCAAGCATGCTTCATCGTTGAGAACTGAAATAAACCAGTTCATCTCCTATTCAATCCATTCATATATACCGTCAGCCAATATGGTTCGGAACTTTTCTATCAGTTTCTCCCAAACTTTTTTGTTGACAATACATGCACAAAAAACTTGGAAAAATTTCTGTTCTGACTCGTAGCTGCTGGCCAGAAGAAATTCGACCACTTCATCATTGAGAACCTCGGCATATACTGTGATGAATCGCAGAAGATATGCTCTGTTGGGAGGTTAGATGATTGTTTGGTAAATTTGTTTTTACCTCTCTTCAACACTTTCTGTGGTTTTGAAGCAGTTTTCCAAAACATTTTTTCCCCTGCTTTTGACAATATCATTCAGACAATCAGCTCGGAAATACTCCTGTAAGGCCAAGAATTATTCTCTTTCAAATAATTGATCTCTACCATAAGGCAATGATAAAGACATTGGATAGAAAGAGAAGGTAAATATTCTCTCGCTTTATCAATTGATGCAAATATGGTATCACAGTAAACATCTAGTGTTTTCTCTAAAATAAAGCGTAGGTGAAGTTGAAACAGAATTCCAAACCTTCTTTCAACTCTCTGGCCAAAGAAATCCATTCTCTCAAAAACTGTAATCCTTCTTTACAGATATCAATACGATTACCAGCGGCGTTGACAGTTGTCCCTGAAGAACAATAGATCAAACAATCAACGTTTCCCCTCTCCCCTCCCAAAAGTTGATTTTTTAATATTTTCCGATTAAACAATGAAGGAAAAAAACAAAATGTATTATTGTTCTCAAAAGAACTATACACTTACCTTGAACAAGAGATGATATCCATGGAAGCACCTGATCGAATACTGCGGATTTCTGACTAGGTGCTGATTCTGCGATGACACGAAGTAGCAGAAGAGCTTTCTCTGACAAGCCCATCTCAGCTTGGAGAACGAACATTTCAGAATCTGAGTGAAACTTTCGTACATTATATTATAATAGTCTCACTTTCAAGGGAGCCTGTGACGGCATCAGTGAGTTTACTACTATTTTTCTTCTCCAAAGAACTGAATATGGACTTCAGAGCGGCCAATACAGGAAGTTCAACCGGACCTTACAATAACATGATAGTGACCCTGCCACATTATTTCTCGAAATACCTTTGTTCCTAGGATCCATTCCAACAGATCTGATACAACCAAGCAGTTTAGGAACAAAAGGTAACAAAGATGATAAAGAAAACGTATTAACAGCGAGTTCCTGAAAAGTCCAGTAGTTCAAACAAAAAACCCGAGAAACGTACAATTAAGTTACATAGTTCAACTTTCTGGTCATAAGTAGTATCATCTTCCTCGAACTTTTCTTCGATGAGAAGGAAGCAATATGGAGCGAACGAGTTGTGAGCTACAAGAGTAGTTCTACAAGCATGAGCCAGCATCTCCTTTGTTATAGAATCTTGTCCAGGGAGCTATAAGCAGAGATCATTCAAATATATGTGCCCAAACGTACAGGCTTGAATTCGACTGGATAGTAACAAGCCATAACTTCGAACAGATCTTCAGAGAAAGGTTCGACGACAAAGCTCTTAGTGACTGTAAAAAATGAATTCTCTTCAAGAGTCTTGATTCAATAACCTAGAAGTTGTAATTTGAAAACAATTAGAAGACATCTGGGATCCCTCTCTCCACCGACAGTTTTGATGAACGATAGCAGGACATCAGCTCCCAATAACTTCAGCTCTATATAAGCGTTAAATTGAAAAATCAAAAACAATTTCCCCTGATTTACTTGTTTCTTTATTCGTTAACAACCATTCAAGAATGATATAATGCTTCATTCTTTCTTTCTGAGGCCATGCTTGAACATTCCCATCACTTGAAATAGATAAAGACTAAGACAAAAGAATCTACTGTCATATGACTAACCGAAAGAGGGAGAGAAAAAGGGGAATTTCGAAGCCATCCGGTAGGTTCCTGTTAGTCAATACCTTCAAATATATTTAATGATTACACCAAAGCGGTAGGAAAAACCAAATGTTTGATCCCCTCGATTACTGAACCACCAGCAAGAGCAGAGTCCTCTAATCGTCCTATCAGGAAATCGAGCAAAAGTCCAGCTGCAAATCATTCGAGAACGAAAAAAAAAAGAAGGATACCTTGAGTTTCATTTAAAAAATTGTCTGGTAATTTGGTTATAACACCCACAATATTGGATAAAGATTCTTCTCTTTGATCCGGCTCGTCAGATAGAAGTTGAGATCTGAACCAAGGAACTTTAATGAATAAACGTACTTTCCCCTTTAAGTTATAATTTTTTGCATTTGAGAAAGCGAACCGTAATTCATTCAGATACTCAGACATTGTGAACGTTCGATCTTCAACCAATCGCTTGACTATAGAATCCACATTGTTAGTATTCGTACTCATTGTTTCTTTTCGATCTGTAAACATGTTCACATAAAACAAATAAACTTCTTGTTCTTCAGCTCGTAAAGCTTGATTTTTGTTTTTGTTTGTAACTCAGTAATGATACAGTAATCTGAAGAAACGAGCAACGAATCAGAAGAACCTGAGGCTAATACGTGAAACCCAATCATATAAATTTTCCCATAAAATCAATAAAACACGAGTCATTTAAGATATATGGAAAACCACACATTTGTCTTGATTTTTAGTTTTATCTCGACTTTTTCTCTTCCGATTGAACAAGGCAAGACTGCTCAGATTGATGCAATGCAGCCAGGAAGCAAGACGTTCCGCCCCGTTTTCTTGAGCCTTGTGACCGTTCTCTCGTTTTGGTACAGTTTTATCATCTCGGTCGCACGTGATGTCTTTCTAAGTAATGTTATCAGCAGTGTATATAAGGTCCATTCCGTACATCCTCCTCATAATTTCACATTTCAACCGAAGTGTTCGTGCTTTTCTAAAGGAGCAGAAGGCTCTCGTATCAAAAACAAAGCTGGCCGCTATTTGGAGTCATGATGCGCCAAATATTATTAATCGCTGTCATAGCCTGTGGAATAACTGTCCAGGTAGAGCAGGTCTTCTTATTCTCCAACAACTATATTATTGCAGAAAGAGTCGTCGTCGAAAAAAGAACCGTCTATAGCAGTCATCGGCGCCGGTACCGCAGGTCTATCCGCCGCGCGTCGACTGACTGAGTTAGGATTGACTGACGTTGACATATATGAAGGATCTACACGAATCGGAGGAAGGATTCATCCAATTCCATATTGTAAGTTCTAATTCAGGTCATTTTTTCTCCCAAACACTTAGCAAGCCATTAGTAATGAGAATGTGACAGAGATCCTGTATTATCACAACTGACCTTTGCACAAATGACATAATATGTTAGTGTTATACATTTTTTTAGATAATGGTTATCTTCAAATGGGTGCCCAATTTATAAATGGAAACGACAACCCAATCTATGATATCGCCAAAGAGGCAGGAGTTGTGGAGCAAAACCTACTTCCAGATACTGCTCAATTCACCAATGCTGAATTTTTGACAGGAAATCAAGAAATCAACAGGTAAATTATAAGGGAAAAGAAAAATTATAACTTATGACTATAGAGAGGATATTGAGCTTTTCAAAGAATTCGTAACCCCTTTATACACGAAATACAGGAATTTGGCTAAGAATCATGACTTACTTTCAAGAGTATATACATTCAAAACAATATTCATGGAAGATTACAATTGGTTCTTGAAAGTAAGTTTCAATTTCATTCCATCATAACATATGACCTAAGCGATAGTTTTCTTATGAACTTCAGTATGGTTCATGGATACAACCGCGTCATCGTTAGCTATATTTCAAAATAAACTTGTTTCCCTTATTTTCACGTGGATGTATGACGCCACGTGAAACTGCTAGTCATGAATCGTTGTAATCAATCGATCATTTATAGAAAAACAACATTGATGGCGAAAGAAAGAAGCTCATGGAAGCCTTGATTAGGCCTTACAGAACTTTTTGGGAATTTGAATGGGGAGGAAACTGGGAAGATGTATGTTAAATAGACAGACAATCAAATAAACAACTGTATTTAGTTGAGTGCTCGTGTTTTAGCTGAGTTCAATCAGGTCAGTTCGGAAGGAGATTCCTACACGACTGACCACATTGGATTCAAAGCTATCATCGACAAAATCGCAGAAGGAATTCCAGAAGAATTTTTCAAGTTCAACAGAACTGTTCTCAACATCAACTATGGAAAAGACGGAGTTTACATCAAGACGAAAGAGGTTTGATGATAGAAAGGAAAGAAACATAACAATACGCTTCAGCTTGGGGAAATTGAAAAAAGATACGACTACGTGATTGTAACATCATCATTAGGACATCTTAAGAAGTTCCATAAAACTCTCTTCACTCCTTCTCTTCCAAGACAGAAAGTTGAAGCTATTGAGAAAATCGGTAAGTAGTTCTTAGCTCAAAACGGTTTCTATTTTCTTCCTTCAAGGTTTCGGTGGAAATTGTAAAATCTTCTTCCGATGGGATAAACCTTTCTGGAAAAATGGCACCAATTACATATCCCTACTACCAATCGAGGGAGCATCTCGACCCACAGTTGACCCATTCGAGAAAGAGATGAACACCTTAGAAGTATGTTTTCGGAAGAGTATTCTATAATCGAATCCTGTTAGGTTTTGTCATGGCAACCAAACACCCTCATGGCCTTCATAGCTGGGGCCGGACATCCTCTTATGGATTCAATGACAGATGAAGAGATATCTATGAGAATTACTAAATTGGTTCGAGACATGACTTCTGACCAAACGATTGAACCACCCAGCGAGATCATAAGGTATCGAACTGACTCAACAAATGGGTACAAATTTGTTTTCAGAACGAAATTGACTAAAAATGATCTTCTCTTGGGTTCTTATTCGTACTTCAGTGCCGCCCAAGCAAAAGCAGGAATAAGTCACTCTCGCCTAGCTATCCCCATCAAAGTCAACAGAAGACCCCGTGTGTTATTCGCCGGTGAGGCAACACATCACAGGTTTCACGCAATCAGAAATGAAGCTTATTTGGCTCTTTTAAGGCTTTTCCAAACAACTGTGGGGGCATATCTTAGTGGAAGACGAGAGGCTGATCGCATTTCAACTGATATTGAGAAGAAAGACGAAAAGATCAAAGCAGTAATTGATATGGATAATTGCTTATATTGCAAAAGCTCTATCAGTATAGATAATGTGAACAAGTCGTTCGTAACTCTTACATGAATGAATACAAAATGTTTAAAAATATTTAATATTCAATAAACTTTGTTGAACGAAAACGTTGATATATCATAATCTATTTCAATCATCACAACTAAAAATATGCTTTGAAACCCGATCAAGCAAACTGAATGATTAAAGAGAAGATCGATTAACAAGGCAAGGAGTACTTGGACATAAAAATTTCGATAGAAGAGTCTAATCACAATATGCGAAAGAGGTAGTGAAACATAATTACATTTTTGTACAATATTTACTCTGTGCAATACCCAGTTCCTCCACCGTTCATGGAGGAAGCTGTCGATGTTGAAGGGCGAATGCCCAACGCTGTTTCTCGAACCAACGAGTTGATGGAGAAAAGGTTTAACATATCTATCATTTGAAGTGATTCGTTTTTTTTTGCAGCTACTTTCTAAATTTTGAAATACTCATAGTTAAATGATTTTTCTCATACCCTAACAGATGGAATCCTCAATAGGATATTCGCAAACCGTTCGTCAGCCGATTGAGTGTCATAAGACCGAAGCAAATGGCGATGCAATGCAGTCAGCAATCGTTTCTGCTCGGCTGCTATATTTCTCTGTGAAGCGGCGTCTATCCCATTAGTGTCTTGATAATTGAAAGTTAGTTGAATGAAGTGCTTACATGTATTCACCTGGATCAAAGAACATTATCGCTTGTAGAGTGGCAAACTCTGTAGTAGAAACATTCAGCTGCCGAAATGGTTTCAAAATGTAATCTATCATAGCAGCCATTACTGATGTCAATCTGTTTTTCAATGAAAGTTAATCAACACATGACCTTATAACTAACACTCCAGCGTTTTTGTTATGATGTATACATGCTTTATCGAAAGATTCGCCGTTTTTATTCTTACATGAGCCTTTACAAGCTTCGTACGCAGATTGCAGTTCCGATTTCCCATTCATACTCAAAGTGTGCCCGTAATCCTGAAAGCGTATTAGCTCAGGATAACGAACCATAGATTGATATACCGGTGGTATCCAAGTTCCATAGTCTGCAGGTAAGCTACCATATTCCGTCGGTAAGCGAATCATGTTGTTTGAAGGTTCTTTCTTCACTTTAGTCTTTCTGAAATTTCAAAACTATCCAAATATAGAAACAATATGCCTTACAATTCCAATGTGTTTGCAAATGAACGAGCAACAGAATCGTTCAGAACTACACTAAGTAAACCACTGGCACTCATGGGATTAGAACTAGCCATATTTATACAGTTTTCTATCTTTCCCTGCAATGAGATATTCAAATGTGTCTTCTGTTTCTCAATGCACTTCGTCTATGTGTTCGGGAGTACGAAAAGCTTCACATAATATCATGTAAGAACTAGCATGATTTGTTATTAACGCCACCTGCAAAACAAAACCATTTTCAATCAATTCATTAGTGAAAGAGTAGTAAAATATGAAAAATTGAAAAGCTGTGAAATTTCATAAACAAAAGGGAATACCTTATCAGCATATGGTAGATTCCGGAAAGCAGAGAAGGTCTTAGCCCAATCAATATAAAGAGCTATTATGCGCGATCGCCAGTATGGTTGTTGGTCACTATCTATTTTAAGCTTAATCTGCTCAACATCACCCTGACAAGAATGATTAGGCTAACTATGCGAGTGAAGAAAACCTTTATTTTCAGAGGTCCGTTCAACTTGCTAGGCGCAGCCAAAGCCTCATCCAATGAACTGTAAGGTTCAACTTCGCCTCTACTCAATAATAGAGTGAAATTATTTTCTATCATAGTTAATCTTTCCAGCATAGGATCATAAGAAGTCTGTTGTTTCAATTATATTTTGAACTTATATTGATTAACTTACGAAATCAAGTTTTAAGTCTTTGATTTCCGGCGGACTATTCCTATCATAATCGATTCTGGACGGAGAACAAGATCCAGAAGCACTACTGCAACAACAATTTAATTTTCACATGAATGTCAATTCTGCATTCAGAGATTATGTAGGGTATTTCTGAGTTGTTCGGCAGCAATAAAGCTCAGAAATAATCCCCCACCTTTCTTTAATAATCGAACAACATTAATCGGATATGTAATTCCGAGATTTGCTCGATATATAAAAGAAATTCTTTCTTCTAGATGCTACAGAAGAAAGGAGGTTTCGATAAACAGACAGACTTACGACTCATTTTGACGAATATCGTCATCAATAAGGCTTTTCTGATTTTTTCTAGTTCTTTTCGTGTATCCTATTCTATCTCTGCCTCCTTGTATAGCTAAAAGCAAAATGAAAAATTCGATACAGAACGGAAACGCACAGTTCTTATCCATTCCAACTAATAAACACTTTTGTAGGCGACAATATCGGCAAGCACATCGAACTCCTGAGACGGGAATATACTCAGGATAATAACAAATCAATACCTTTATTAACAGGGCAATTCTTTTTCCCCAAGCATACAAATTCTTTCTTATTCTGAACATGAGAACTGTGAGCAAACGGAAATGAATAACGAGCAAACCACTAAAGCACGTCTAAAAAACGTTTTACAGCCATTACAAGAAGGTACAGAGTAATGATTTCCAGTAGCTAAATCTTCACAAACAGCGCATAATGTACCTTGAAAGTCATTAAGTTACAAAAACTGTAAAATACTTTATGTTACCTGGTAAAAGTTTTTCACTCATTGTATAAAAATCTTCTTCAATATAATTATTCCATCTGAAAATTAGGTGAATGAGCAACTAGAAACTGATAGCAACACGATTTCTATGCAAGCAGAGCAACAAAAAGAATGAAAAGCATGAAGCTTAGCCGCAATCAGATATATTCCCTCAAGATACACCGCACTCACGCCAGATTCGTGAATGGCGCAATGTTCGCGCACACAAATGGGCCGCAAATCAGTCCAGAATGTTCTACAATGGTTAATCGAAATATTCTTCGTTCTCTATATTTCAATTTTTCGTGCTGTTGTCGTCTTTTTTTTTCATTTTAATTGGAAAATTCTTGTTAAGCATGCTAATATATTCACTCATTCAGTTTACCTAATTTTTTTTTGTTCAGGGATGTTCTTCCAGAGCTTCGGAGGTTCTAGGGGTCGTGATGGGCCAGTTGAAACGAAGCTTTATGACATACTTGGGGTATCACCATCAGCATCTGATGATGAACTGAAAAAGGTTTTTTTACCAACTGAGCAAAATTTTTATATTGTTTTCGCAGAGTTATCGTAAATTAGCCAAAGAGTATCATCCTGACAAAAATCCCGATGCAGGAGAGAGGGTTTGTTATTTTTTCACTTGTGCTGACTAATTATTTTCTTTTAGTTCAAGGAAATCAGTTATGCTTATGAAGTTCTGTCTGATCCCGAGAAGAGACAGTTGTACGATATGCGTGGTTTAGACGGTCTTAAGGGGGGTGGAGGAGAAAGTGGGCTAATAGTTTTTAAGTGTTGCTCATCGTGAGTTTTCAGATTTCGAAGACGTATTCCAAATGTTCGATGGTGATATGGGAGGTATTGGAGATTTCTTAGGAAGAGGGTATGATAAGCGTTCTATCGATTCTTACATAATTGAGCTCCTTATAGACGGCGGAGGCAACAGAAAGTCAATAGGGATATTGTTCATTCTCTAAGTGTTTCTTTGGAAGAGGCTTACTCTGGAAAAACATCTAAACTGGCCATCACTCGCAAACTTTGTTGCTCAGTCTGTGACGGGTTTGTGGTATCTATGAGATGTTTCATAACGTATACTCTTAAGAACTGGCTCAAAATCGAAAAGCACTACCACATGTGTATCTTGCAAGGGAAAGGGTAAAAGGATACAGATGCAAAAAATCGGAGCTAATATGATCTCTCAATCAGTTGTTGAATGTCCTGCGTGCTCCGGAACCGGTATGATTTTTTTTCACCACGACAATAATAATATTTCAAAATAGGTAAATCCATTAAAGAGGGAGATGTATGCGAGCCATGCACTGGACAGAAATACATCACCACATCTTCTAAAGTAGACGTTGTTATTCCTGCTGGAGTTGAAGATGAAGAGCGAGTGCGTTTGGCTCAACAAGGAGATCAGATCGATGTGAGTTTCATCAGCTCTCGGCTTGCGATGAAAGTATGATTTCAGCCCCGCACCGCACCTGGTGATGTCATTGTTGTTATTCGAATCAATCCTCACGACGAGTTCAAGAGAGAAGGATATGATTTGTACTTGAAAAAGTAAGTCTGGTGTTTTATAAGTTTATAAGTTGATGATTTTAAGAGACTTATCTTTGAATGAAGCCTTGTGCGGTTTCAACATTGTATTGACACATCTCGATAAGCGTGTCATCAATCTTAACTACAATAACAATCGCCCAATCAAGCCTGAAATGGTCTTGGGAGTTCCAGGAGAGGGTATGCCTATTCCCAGCCAACCAGGCATGCGTGGTAACCTGATTATTTCTTTCGATGTCAAATTCCCTAAATCACATTTCCTTGATAATGAAGAGCTTTATTCGGTAAGTACTAATCGTACTTCCTTCCGCAATTCATATTTGTTCAGAAAATCGCAGCTTATTTACCACCTGGAAAGAACTTCACTCACGGTCCTAATGCTAAAGAAGCTTCACTCATGGACTTTGAGCCTGAGAGATATCAACGTAATGAAATGCAAGAAGATGATGATGAAGAATACGAGAGTCATGCTCACGGCCCAAGCGTACAATGTGCCCAAAGTTAAAAATGATTTTTTAATAAGATTTTTTTCTTTTTTTCTGTGATTATCCATTACATAACAAAAACCATTCTTTTTTTTTCGATAACAACCTTCATACTATTTGTTCCATGTGGGATGCAAACAGAGCTGTAGCTAAGATAACGAGACCTCCTAAAGTTGTTCATGGATACTCAGACACCATTGTCGCTGATTGTTTTCTTTTTCTCATGTTAAATTTTCTTAGATTAACTGCTTTTTGTTGAGAGGAAGGAGAGAAAGAAAATCTGAAGAGAATGATATTCAGAAATGTTTGTTGGACTCCATTCAGACTTGGCACTTGAAACATCGTGTCGCCAGTTTCGTTTGCCTTGGAAGGAAGCATAAAACAGTTTCCGGTTCTCAAATTGCTTACTTTGTAGATATTCTTTGTTGCACTGTTTGATTCACGCACAGCCCAACATTCTGGAAAGTGTCATCTGCCCTTAACTGTGCGGGTACAACTGTCTACTCGAAGCTATTCCTTCAAGCAACCTGAAGTTGTAGGATTATGTTATGTCAATCAATGAAAAACCATTTACCACACTACCTAATTGGAAATGACTCAACAGCCTCCTATTCGTTTCTATTATGTGTTAGCAGCTCATTTGATATTATTTGAAAATAGCGAAACAGCACTGCAGCTCAACTCCAACTCACTTTGTTCTAATTTCCGTGTATTAAATTATTTCACGTGCCACGTCATGCCAAGTTCCGACCATTTTCATTTTATGTAGAGTTTGTTTTGTCACGGTTGTCTCGGTTGTCTAGAAACAATTTCTAATTTCAACAATTTGAAAAAAAAAGAAAAACAAGTTCGATTCTCGGGGAAATTTTCGTTAGCAGTTCTGCATTTTATTTATTTGCCGGTCACTTCACTTATTTTGATGAAGTACGAAAACAATCATTTGTGAATGTCCCCCTTTATGGAACATGTTAAAACTTTTTCTTTAATTTCCTTACAGAAACTTTCATTACATAGTTCAGCTGTTCTAGGAGGATGTGTGGAGTTCATTCAGTAATGGATAATGTGAAATTACGTATAATTAATATGAAATGAACAAATAATGTATTTTCTCATTAATCCCAACGGCACTCATTATCCATTGGGTTTCATTTGTTATGTTGCTCCAAGTTGATTTCAACTTCTTCATAATCTAACAAACTATGGATATTTTGAACAAAAAATTAGAAATAACTAATCATCGGAGTAGTACTTCTTGCTTTCCGTCACAACATTCTTCTTTTTTCTCTCGTAATGTTAAAGATTGACGAAATAGTCGTTCAGTATTCGAAGTTTATTCTTTCACATGTGGGTTCTGAAACCTCATCGTAAAATGATGACACTTGTTTTCCTGAAATGAGACTTTTCTAAACTTTCAAAAATCTGAAACAACTGTAATAGAGGCAGGTGTAGTGTTTTAAGTGAAGTAGGAGGAGTTTCGTTTCAAATTCACAGGTTTCTCTCAGACGTATATCTCGTATCACATACGTATCCGTATCTTGTTTCCATGAGCAAGTTAATGTTGTTTTATTTTTCAAAATAATGCAACTGTTGAAGTCCTTCCACTTTTATTATAGTCTTTATGGTTTTGCACACTTCTCATAATTAACGTCTGTCTTATGTCTGCTCATCTTCTCATTCGATGATCATTGTTTGCCACCCTAATTAAGCTTCATCACTTAGTTACTGAAATAGAATTTAAACTTAATAGCGAGTTTGGAAATGTGATCGCCAGCTTGAGCGATTGGAAACATTTTACTTTCTTACTCCTTCGCTTCATCTACTCCCGTCCCGTATCCTACGCATTCATGAGACTGAAAATCGAGACGATTTATAAACAAAAAGCTGAGACGGAAAACGTCTGAACTTTACACAACCCCCGAATAAAAGATTGCTCAGCTTTATCTCATTTGCCACGGAATACCCGACTGTCGGTAATTGCAAACGAAATTTTAGGTTGAACATGTGAACTGTTTGGAAGTTTGTGGAGTTCCTGGACAAAGGAAGTAACCATCAACTGCCAGGCCCGCCTCCCTCCACTCTTTTTTTGGCTACACTCATTTACCAAATAGGACTCGTTCTATATAACCTCTGGCAGAACTTTCCATTAGCTTAACTCCTCTTCTTTCATTTTCAATAATCAAAGCAAAAAAAAGTTTTATTCTAAAAAAGAATCTTATTGATTTCTTCTGTGTTTTCCATAATTCTCGTTGACCTTTTTACGAGGCTGTATACTATGGATGTGTTGTCATCAGTTGAAATGAAACACCAATTATGTTGCGCAGATTCAACACTATAAGACGTATGTTACCCGACTGATACTCGTTCACTTCCACCATAATTGTTGTTCTTTGATTTTTTCTTCCACAAACTCCTTGAAGATACTTTTGACAGCCATTAAAAGAATGACTCACCTTTATTCTCTCTTTATTGCGGGAAATTATTTTTCACTCGTAACCTTATTTCGTATTTGGGATTTTTTTCTTTTTTCCATTCTCTTTAACAGCATACCTGCCGGCTTTCTGCTCTATACTATGTATCGTGGGTGAGATTACAAATTATTTGCAAAAAATATAATATTCGAGATATGAGTCATATGGATTTGTGCTGTTAAATGCCCATTTTATTTCTTGAACTTTTGAAACATGTCCGCCTACATAAAATATTCAGCTTTCTATTTCCTTATGAAGTAACGATAAATCATTTGTTGAATGCTGTAGAGGTGATGCCATCTCAGGCTAGTATGATCACAGACTAGTTACGTTTTATGTTGACATCATAACGCTCACGGAGTTTCCACAATACCATTACAGAATTAATAATAACCATCTAATCGTTCTATCTGTAAATCCCCTTCATGGTGTTGGTGAAAAGTGCGCATGAGTAACTACTAATTGTTCTCATACGCAGTAGAAGTTTTCACTCAAATCTTTTTTTTTTCACAGCGTATGCATATCTTTTGAATCAAAGTCAAGATTGCCAATTGAAATTAGCATAATGCTATTCATGAATTAACGTTTTGCGTGAATATGAAAAAAGCCTTCATTCTAAATTATGTGAGACGCATGAGTCGGTTGCTTTGTTCCAACACATGTGATGCCTTAATCATATCATACGAGGAAGTTTCAAGCTGTTTTGCTATTTTTCGCCTCGATGTAATGAATAAGAATGCATCGATATGTTGTCATCAAAATAAAAACAATACGTTTCGTACTTTTATTATATTATAGTCATCATAACAAATATCAGATACATACTAAGTTTAGTTTTTCCTCATGTTGAAGATTGATATTGTCTTTGTTTATCCCTTACTTGAAGAATATAGTTGACAGACCTGGCACTTTGTTTCGAGTTAGTTTGGGAAAATTGAGTTTCGTTGAGCTTAAGCTCAGCTCTTCCAACATTTTCTTATGTGCTTGTTCTGGTTTTCGTTCTTCACAATAGTTCGTCCATTTGCAGGCTCATGTTCAAAAAGGATATTAGATAGACTGAAGATTCTTTATTTGGAATGATTTTCAAAACAAAATGATAGTCTTAATTCTGGTTGTGCTTTACTCTAATTACGCTGCTGCCAATAATGGCATTACTCGTATTGAGGAGCGTTTAACCACTGACCGCGACTTCTATGACCGATGGATGAAATTAGTTCAAACTCAGGTACCATTTTCCTAAGGTTTTCTAATCATTCCCATTATTGAAGGCTTCCCAATACTCGGAACAAATGTTAGATTATCCAGTGGGTTATGTAATGAGTGACATTCAGAAATGTCATAGAGCTGCCGGTAACTCACAAGAGGATGCTAACCGTTTGAGACCCGCTGATATAGGTGAGTTGAAGCATTGAAAACGGCAAGGAATTTTTTCATTATCCAGCTATTTACGCCGATATGGGTCATTTATCAACTTATTGCAATTCGAACTTCTCAATGTTACAACATGGTGAGTTTCTTGTTACAAGTACAAATATCGTTCATGGCTTATCTTCTCTTCACAGGCCTTCTCGATTCTTGCACGCACAGATCGAGTAGTACAGGACTGCCAACTCTGGAAAAACTTCTACGAGTATTCAACCCGAACTTGACAGTAGTAGAAGACAATGAAAGAGATGATCTACTGACTGAGCAAGCTAGGTTATACTTGAACTTCCTAAAACCCTGACTAATTGGATTTTTTGAAGGAACTTAGCAGAGGCAATTCGCAAAATCAAGAACTACAACGACATTTGGAAAATGATCGCTATTATTCCTTCAATACAGGTAATGGGGGATGTATAGTGAAGTTCAAATAATGCAAACAAGCAAAAAACGGAAATTCAGTTAATTTAATGTGCATTAGCCATTCAGCATTGCTAGCCTGAAGATGCTAAAGGTCCATCGAACGCTTAATTAAATTGTCCGTTTCTATGAAAATCCTTCAGAATAAGTAGAACATGCATTTTCTGCAGAGGAAGTTAGAGAAACGTGGATCTCTTTCATTAAAACTCCAAATTCTGCACGGAGATAGAAAAAAACCTCTAAAACACAATGAGCTACGCTGGAATAGAACGGCGTTTTGACTAGAATTTTGGAGAAATGGAATTTGAACTTTGCTTCGAAATCATACTGCTCGAAAATGCTCTGAATATGCTTTTTGAAATACGAAGCTGAGAAAAACAAAACCTGCAAAATTGCATTCGAAACAAAACTTCAGTTTTCTTTTTCATGTTCTTCATACTGAAACCATCTACTTTACTGTTTCTATATCAGTTTTCCACTCAGAGCCGATAGAACACTACATATCGTTTCATTGTAATGAATTCCAGGATGGCGAGGCCTCAGAAACTGGACAGACTGCTGTTGAAGTTTTAGCAGCTATTGAGGAATTTCATAAACTTTTGCCGGAAAGGACAATTATCGTTGTTTTGAGGTCATCTGGCACTGGCATTTGGAGTGATGCAAGCCATTCTCAGCAGGTATTCTATAAAAGGTGATAAGCAGAACGTATTGCTCTTAGGCTTGCAAAGATATGCTAAGCCAATGGAAGGCATACAGTCAATTCAACTCTAACTCTGTTTGGACACAGGTTTGCATAAAGTGAAAGCTTCCGTTTTCATCCATTTTCAGGTAGAAGATATTGTTAAGGTGAACTTCGAGAAGGATAACTTCACAGTTGAGTTTTTGCCGCTTCTGAAAAACGCAGCTCTCCAAAACCTCCCAGAGGGGTGAGTTTATCTAGAATTGATTCATTAACTTCGAGAAAACGACCAAAAATCGTTCTGTTCTGTGTGCTTTGGAAATATGATAGAATGACTCAGAGGCTCTCTCTTCTGATCAAAACTTAACATTCGCCAAGAAATAAGATTCAGTTTAATATTTGAAAGCGACAATGAGTATTAAATGAAAGTTTAAAGTCGTCATGTGGCTGAGAAGATAAAAAAAATTGTTATATAAATGTAATAATCTTTGCAGAATTGATCTCTCAGTTTTGGGGTATGATTGTGCACATTTTTCTGACAGGGGCCTCTCTCTGCTTCATTTGAGTATATGGAACTCACTGATGACTAGAACTCCGGATAGGTACAAAATAGAAATGAACTGAGTATTAATGAAAACAAGTCGCTTATAGAACAAGTGAATATCGTCCGATCCCTTCCGCAGTTGTCTGTCCGGATCCTAAATGCCCATTTATCCGCACTGGTGCTAACAGTGCTTACTGTATTTGGGTGGAAGATAGCGTACGTTCTGATATTTTTGAATAAAATACATGTGACAGTGTTATTTTTCAGCCTGACGAGCAATCACTCGCTCCCCATTTGATTGTTGTTTCGATTCTAGCATTAGCCCTGTTATTGACAATTCTACTTTTGGTTTGTGTTTGTAGACAACCTTCGCGAACACAGGACTATAAAAGTACAGCAAAACCTTTCGGAGCAAACTTCAGCTCTATCAAATTCATTGACGAAGATGTGATCTGAGGAACTTTCATTCTTTCTTTTTAACAAACAAAATGTTTTTCTTTGCAATTAACAGCGTGGAATACGGGAATATAACTCATGTATGTTATAAAAATAAATTTATTAAATTAAATAAGAACAACCGCTAACGATCACATGAATGCATTAGAATGATAGTTCGTTTACTTGGCCTTTTCATAGACGCGGATGCACTTGACTCCGTTGGATTCGCATTCCTTCAACATCGAATTGAAAATTTGAATTCAAATCAGACAACTCACAACAGTCAGTTTTCCGTCAGTTACGTATCTCAAAAATTTGGAATCTTTTCCTCCGTCCAATGATTTTTCGATTTGAACGAGTTTGTCATCTTCGATAGTGAAAGTTTGGTTGACCTATGAGAAATTTGAAACTAGCTATTGTTGTTTTCAATCTCACTTCACGTCCATCACCGGTCTTATCATCGGCAGAAACTCCGAGTTTCCATTTTTGGAGGATAGTCTTGAAAGTGGATACAGTGTTCATGGACCACTCATCTCCATTGATGGCGAACTCAACAGTTGGCTTCAGTTTGGTAACAACAGCCCGAGTCATCATACCAATACCGACCTTCAAACAAATTAAATGCTTCAGATCAACAATGAAATGAAAACCTCTTTGAGGTAGGCATCGAAGTTCTCAGAGGAAACAAGGTTCCACTTTCCAACAATTTCGTCTTGGATAGGCATAGTTTTCTGAAAGGATCATCTTCTTAAGAAAATCAACAGAAAAAACTTGAAAAGTCACAACATAGAAAGAAAAATCGGAACAGCGCTGAAATTCATGCTGGCAATGTGAAGACTCAAGGACAAAAAAGGCGTGGCAATGAGAGAAGAGAGGTTAGCAGAACAAAAAAATTGAGAAGAGACTGTCCAAAGCAGACAAAATTCACACTGTGAAAACAGAAAAAATAGCAAAAAAGGAGACGGATAGTTGGAAAACAATAGCAAATCATCATGATTCGTGTAGACGGCAATAGGATGAACAATCTATCGTCACTCTTCATAATCTAGTCTTGCGCACATGTGCCAGAATAAATTATAACGGTATAATTAATATAGTAAAAAAAATTGACAAAAAAAAACGGGAGAAATCGAGAAATAATTGCAGACCAAGATGTTCTTGGAGCAGTGGTGTGGTACCATTGCCACCCCGTCACCACAACAAGGGATGTTTACAACAATGATTCATCTTGTGTCATGTTGGATGGTACACAAAGTAATTTTCGAGTGAATCGTTCCAAGAACCATTTTTCCTCACACGAAATAGCCCTTTAACACTGTAGTTTAAGTACATAATTGAATGAGAAAACTTCATTTACAGAGAGCACGAACGATCTATGAGTCTAAATTTAACAATGAATGAACACTTTGATGACATCAGCTTTTTGTGCGCGTTGGAAAGCTTCAACTGTTTGTTCTAACGAATAGTGAGCTCTAGTTAACCCTGAAAGATCCATACGCCCAGTGGCGATCAATTCTAGCGCAGTGGGATAGCTTAAAAGAGGAATAAGCCTCGAAAACAAAAGACAACTAACCAATTCACATAACGAAATATTCCACGTATATCAACTTCTCTAGTAGCTGATTCTATGATGGGAAGTTCAGCTTTCGGAGCTCCTAAGCCTACTAAGACTATTACTCCCCCAGAAACAGTCGTCTGAAATCTCTCAAAAATATTAGAAGTATCAATTTCCTTGTTTACAATAATCGCAGTCTCAATAGATGCTTGAGCACCCGAGCATTCTATAGTAACGGCTGGTTCTTCTCCTAACAAGCTGATTATTTCGTCTCTAATTTGTGCAGTTGATTTCCCACTACAACACAATCGATTTCATGAAAATCGTTGTTGTTTTCACAGCACTAACCGTACATTAATCGTATAGTCTGCACCTTGAGTTTTGGCCAATGCTAGTCTGCCATCATCCAAATCAGCAATAATAACTCTTCCAGCCCCTTGTGCTTTGGCGGTAAGTAAGCACAGGAGACCAATTGGTCCTGTCGAAGCAAAAACTATACATGAGGGAGATGTTCAGTTACCAGATCCCATAATAAGAACTTTCTGACCCATCTGCAGATTTGCTCTGCGACATGAGTGGACAGCAACTGACAACGGCTCAATGAGGGCTCCTTCTTCGAAAGAAACATTATCTGGTAGCCTATAAGAATATATTATTAGAAATACAAAATATTAGGACAATATAAAATTCTGTCGACGACAGAACGATTATACATTTTTAATTATTGAACATTCGTTCTAATCGAAAAATATGAAAATACGAACAGATATTTGGAGTACCATCTGTAAAAGTTCTAAATCTCTCTTTTCTCTATTCACATCTCCGTCTTTCTCTACCCTCCATTTCAGTTAAGAGTTTCTCAGGACAAATGTACTTTTTGAAACATTTTTAAACAAATAAAACTTTCTTGAAACAGAAATCTGCATCGTGCACAACAAAACGAGTCAGTGTCCCGTCGACTGGAGGTGTAGCGAAAAACTTCATGGAAGGGCACAAGTTATAACGTCCAATCTGATAAAAACTTGATTAGTTATTGGTTAAAATCACCCACCTTGCATTGATGACATCCTTTGCATGGAAGCCCTGGTTCCAGAGCAACACGATCACCTATCTTAAAGTTCTCAACGCCTTCACCGACTTGCTCTACTGTACCAGACGTTTCATGACCTACTATCTGTAAAACTTGTATGATAAAGACTGGTTTTGAAAAAAAAAACCATGGGTTGTTTAACCACAAAATTGCCAATAGCACCATGAGTCCAGTAATGAACATCAGAACCACAAATACCTACAGTATGAACTCTACGATACTGCTGGTTAGTTTCTCATATCAATATGGTGCTTGCCTAATCAAAAGTTGTCCTTTTGTTGGTGTGGGAACTTTGACTTGTTCAAGTCTCAAATCATTCACACCGTGTAGAACAGCAGCTAAGTTATCAACAGACATACTATAATTATAAGAATGAAAAGTATATATAGTAGGAATGCGGATAATAAAGACAGAGCGTTTATATACTACTTCTCACTAAATCACTAATGACCCCGTGTATTCGGCTGTCATCTGACCAACAGGCTGTAATATCGATAGGTCAAAGAATAGATGTTTTGCAACTATTTTATAACTTCAGATGTTTTCTTCTCTACCATATAGGAAAGGAACTCTTTTTTGCAGCTGTTACTTCACAGATAATATGTGTCAAGATAATCAAAAGGTCGAGCTTAAAATGTGGTAACCAAAAGTACTTCAAAACTTTACAATTTCTTTACAATATCAATCACCCCTATCCTTTTTTAATTCCGGTTAACGTTCTCTCGAAAAAGAGTAATAAACACCTCACATGGTTAGCAGCATGGCATTCTCCTTGTAAAACAATGTTGCACTCTGTTTACAAGAGCGTCTGCGTTGTCTGCACCATGCCTTCGAAAATCATTTTTGAATTTGCATATCAACGGATCGGTCACATTCTTATTGCTTACAAAGTGATAAGATTTTTTGTAATAGAAATTTATGAAACTGAAGTTTTGTTTTACAGACAAGCAGTTCAATTAGTTATGGGTGAAAACTTTGGATCGGATCCCACTCCAGGTATTTCTCTATCTGCATCGACCAATATTAGATTGTTAGGGACTGCATCGCAAGTCCAGTCACAGGTTGCTGGACCTGCACCTCCCGAAGTTTTCGTAGCTATGCCCCTGCTTCAACAAGCTGGAGAGGTATTATTTGTTCTGATATAATGCGTTTTATTGTTTTCTCAGGTTTACGTCGGACCAGGCGCAAAGAAGGAAGCTGAACTTCTCGGATTGGGTTTAACCAAGTTGAGCTCCAGAAGAAAAGATGATTTACACCTTGCAAAACGATATGCTATGGACATTTCAATCAAACAGATTATGCTCAGACAGCAGAAAGCTCATCAGGAGAATGTAAGTAGATATTTTCACAGTTCACTCAATTCTGTCGAATATTCTAGCAACAAAAACAGTCAATGTATGCCCAGGCTCTATCACTGATGGCGAGAGTTTATATAGGTTCTATTTCCTTCGAAGTCAGAGAAGATAATATCAAGAAGGCTTTTGAAGTCTTTGGCCCAATTAAAACAATAAATATGAGTTTTGATCCTACTACTGGGGTAAACTTTGAGATATACTGTTTCTGTTAACGATTTGTTTCAGCATCATAAAGGATTTGCGTTCTTAGAGTTCGACGTTCCAGAAGCTGCTTTATTAGCCCAAGACTCTATGAACGGTCAATTGATGGGAGGCAGAAATCTTAAGGTTTTATTCAACTTATGTCTGAAACAAATTTATGTGTTAGGTTGGAAGACCGTCTAATATGCCTCAGGCTCAGCCGATTATTGAAATGGTACAGCAGGATGCAAAGAAATATCACAGGTTTGCGAAGAAAACTTTTTTTTTATACTTCGTTCTCCTTACCCAGAGTATATGTCGCTTCTGTACATCCTGATCTCTCGGAATCCGATCTCAAGAGTGTGTTCGAAGCTTTTGGCGAAGTTGTGAAATGTCAACTAGCTAGACAAAACGCCAGCGGAAGAGGAACTCATAGGTAAGAATTTTAATATACTTGCTTGGATTCGTGTCTTCAGAGGGTTCGGCTATATTGAATTCAACAACGCTGCAGCTATGAATGAAGCTATTGCTGGTATGAACATGTTCGATCTTGGAGGACAATACTTACGAGTTAGTTTGTATTATTATTCGTCCCCAGAGTAGGCAATATTCAGGTCGGACGATGCATTACCCCTCCAGAAGCGTTGCAATATCTTACACCTTCAACCCAAGTTGCTATTCCCGCAGCAGCCGCAGTTGCTGCCGCTGCCGTCACTGCCAAAGTCATGGCTGCTGAAGCTGCAGGGGTACCTCGATATTAATAAATTTATACATATACGGGTTTCTATTGTAATTCTATATAAAGTTTTACTTTCTAAATCAACATTCACCTCTTAACTAATGTTGTGCATTTTTGTGCGAAAAATAAAATATTATGCACGAAAAACGTAATGGAACGAGCAATAATTGTGCGCTTTGCAGTCGTCCAAGTCTGGCAGCCCTGCACAAGATTCACGATCATCTCGGGGGAATAGTCCTGCTCTTGCTCTCCCACCTGCCCGAAACAGTCCTGCGTACTCTGAAACAGCAACTCCTCCCCATTTTGCACACAGTCCGAATGTTAGAAATAGCTTGGCATCACAGGTAATTCGACTTAATGACCATGATAATACTCCCATTTAGTCGCAACCCAGAGCTATTGAAGCTCCACCAAGCACAGACTCAGCTCCTGCAACACCTCCAATTGTCTCATCACCCCTAGCATTTGATCAAGTTGGGTATCAAGCTTCACCTCCCCAAGGAAGAGTGAGAATTTTTTTAGTTCTTTTGCATAATACGGAAATTATAGACTTCTGGTAGAGGGTTTGGCGGATTTGCTCAAGATATTCCTCCTCTGGCTGGAACTCCTCCAGCGTTCATGCCTCCTCCTGGAGTAATGGGTTTCCCTCCCGGTACTGTTGCTCCGCCTGGTTTGGTTCCTCCACCAGGACTTATGCCCCCACCGGGGCTTGTACCTCCTCCTGGATTGTTGCCTCCTCCAGGAGCTTTTACACCTACTGGAATCGCTCCTCCACCACCCCCACAGCCTACAGTCGCTGCCCCTCCACCTCCTCCACCTACTCAAGTCGCCGCTGCAGATGAAAAGAAGAACAAGGGAGATCGATCGTTCAATGAGAAAGTAAGATGAAGAGAATTGCGAATAATGAAACCTTCGTTATTTTCAGCTCAATCGTCTTCTAGATCGTCAAAAAGCTAAGCAGAATGCCACACTTGCTCAGCCTATATCTTTCGGAGAATTGGATCCTATGATTGCTCCACGAGATGCATTAGAACCAAGAGATGAAGACGCTCAAAGTGAATATATCTTGAATTTCTTCGAATAGTAATTTATTTCAGCTCAACTTGCAATCACTGGAAGTGTTGAAAGTATGGCTCTGGCCATTCTGGGCGATGGACAGTTAGTAGCTGCCGGAAAACTGAAAGAACATGATCCAACTAAACCCAAAGAAGACGGAAAGAAAAAGAAGCAACACTATCGTGGTCCATATGAACCGAAGAAGATTCAGCCGAAAGTATCTTGCTATATATCTTTCACATAATTTGATTGATGATTCCAGTTGAATTCTCTTCAAGCTTTAGCAGCTGCCGAAAAGGCTGGAGCTTTATCAGATGCCGTAATCGCAGACACTATGAATAGTGAAGATGCCACTTTAGCAAGTCAGGAAGGAGTTTTCAATATTCGGTAAGGGATATACATGGGGTCGTTGTAATATGAGATTTTAAGTGGAAATGACGCACGACACTTGTTGATGGCCAAATTGATGCGAACTAACAGATCTTGTGTTTTGGTTTTGAGGAATATGGTTAGGAAGAGATGAATCATAGTTTAATTACGCTCGTTATAGGTAACACCCGAACAGATTGATGAGTTTTTGGAAGAAGAAATTAAAGGAGAATGTTCTAAATATGGAACAGTGATTGAGGTAGTTGCTAGACCCATTTTCTCTCTAATTATCCCAATCAAGGTTGTCATCGCCAATGACGAAGCCAACGGTGCAGTGAAGATCTTCGTTCGTTTCTCTGATCCAACAGAGGTGATAAATTGATTTCGAGTAGCGTATTTGACTTTATCATCTATAGGTCGATTCCGCTAGGGCAGGATTGGACAACAGATTCTTTGATGGACGAACAGTGAAAGCGGAAGTATATGATCAAGCGTTGTTTGATCATAATGATCTCACGGGATGAACAAAACTGAATAGTACTGTTATGTATTTTTAATTATACGTGTAAAGTTGGTTTGTTTTATAAAATCTTGATAAACGGTTGAATTTGAATGGTTTTTTTCGTTCGCCAAGTAGCATTTTGAATTCCACCCTATTGACATTTAACATGAATAGGACGTTTTGCTCTTTTTACTCATTCATAACTTCTTAAGAAAACATCGGAATCGATAGGTTTTCATGTGATGTAGCAGATTTTGCAAGAGGCGTTGCTTAGTTTTATTACATTCGCTCAGAAAGACTACTTGAAGGATGATGAGTCTTCTGGGCTCAGAATTATCGACGATTTGTGTTCACCACAAATCCCGCAATCTCCGAACTTAATCCTCTGTGTTTACCAATATTTTCGTTTCGCTCAACGTAGCAATTATATTCTCGAAACTTCGTTGGCAAGGTCCAGTTTCCCAAATGTGCCTTTTCTTTCTTTACATCGAAATACCCATTCCATTGCCACAGCGTTGCTTGTCCACAATTGAGTTTTAAATTCGACAGAACAACGCCTATGTCAGAAGGAATTACTTTTATTTGTTTTGTTTTATTCTACTAATCTCCTTTTTTTGTTTCTCTTTTAACACATCGACACACTTTAATTGTACTCTAACATCCGAACGACAAACATCATCCTCTCCTTCTGGTTGTTGTTCTAGTTGTGCTGACCGAACTTTGTCACTCTCTTGACATTGTTAAGCATATGTCCCAAAAACCCATATCATATCATTGATTTTTCGCCCGCCACCATTACTTTTCGTTACCATTTTATTTTTATTTTTTCATTAATTCTGAGTGGTCGTTTTTTTTGTGAGTTTTTCGCTATTCATTGAAATATCATGTGACGTTTTTTGAATCAATACCATTCTCTCCCTTTTCAGATTTTTTAAAAATGACTACTGTGCATGGATGTAAGTTTTGTGACATTATCACAGAGAAGAATGAAATCCATTTAAAAGACACGGAAAGAGCAAGTTCATATATGAGTTTTCAATCTATTTCCACCCTTTGCAGGTGATTATAATCAAAGATATCAAACCAAAGGCTTCTCATCATTTTTTGGCTCTCAGTAAATGCCACATAAGTAAACCAACTGATCTTACGGCTGCTGATATACCTCTATGTTTATTTTATTTTTTGTCCTTGTGTTTACAAAACGATTTATAGTAGAAGAAATGGAAATGGCAGGAAGAGAGTATTTGAGGCAGGAGTTGAAGAAGAAGGGAGAAGCTGACACTGTTGAAGACATGCTTAGGTATCCGAATGAATTAGAAGTTTTGAGAATTGTGTTTTGCAGAATCGGTTTCCATTGGCCACCTTTGATAACTGTGAAGCATCTTCATATGCATTTCATATACCCCATAAGAGAAGTAACAATACACCAATTGTCTCTTAAACGAATTCTTCTTTTCAGCTAGGAATTCTTTCGCGTATTTTGACATTCAGACCAGGAAAAGTTTTCAAAGAGCTTTCTGACGTTATAGCCGATCTCAAACAAAAAGCAGGAGAAACAGAGCCATCAAGTATGACTTGAACTGTTTGTTTGACATCATTGTTTTCTTTTTAGCCAACGCCGAACCCAGTGGTCCTGAAGATCTTTCAGCTCATGCCATATGTAATTAGCAGTACACAAGTAGATATACATTACCGGGTGCTTTTGAATTCCTTCTTTCTCTGTACATTTGAAATTTGATTTTTATTGACAAAGAATTTTCTTCATTCCTTTTGGAAGACTTTATTCTTTAATATCACATTTTCATTTAATTGCACGGCGAAAGAACGTGAGTACTTACAAATTCCTTTCTGGGAATACAGCACACTGAAACAAGGAATTTACTTTGTCTTTGAAATTCTAATCACCAAATATCTAACTAATCTATTTTCTCCATTAATAACCCATAAGCAGTTGTGCGAATCTATTGAAATAGCTCTGAAAAAAATTCCAATTGAAACTTCACGTGGTACTCATTCACCTGATATTTGAGCTCACAAGTTTCCATGTATTCCCTGCTGGGTTACCAGCTGCTAGTCCTTGTAAACGTAGAAGATTATATTCCTCATCTAAAGCCCACACAACGAAGTCACCTGCGGCTATACATGAAATCCCCTTTGTATGATGAGTCTGCATAAATATTTATTCTGTTTACTTCTTCGCTTCATACCTGCGACCACCGTTTCCCAGTAGGATTCAAGGAATCAACGTTTGTTCTAGCCCAGGCCGAAATCCCATCGCACACCCAAACATAACGGCCGTTGGGGGAACAGGTGATCTGAAAAATATTCTTCACAGTCGTGGTTTGAACTCAGTGATCTGTTATCCGTTCATCGGGTCACCTGTTCCAAGCTCGATTAAAAAAACGAAGCATGGCCGCTTGATAATCCACATACTACTTTTAGTCTACATGACCAACCTGAATGGGTTTCCGTTCCTCGGCTGAGACTATGTTAATTGAATGAGTAGTCCAGAAGCCCTCTTCGTTCTCGCGATTCCTAATAGAACCATCGCTTGTAATCAACCAAGTCCCCAAAGCGGACTTGCAAAAAGAAATAACACCACCTGGAATCCGGAAAAAAATTTAGATTACTCAATGTATTTCAAACTGGGAGGCAAATCATCATGTTCTATCCACTCTCCATCCGATCCTCTGCTGTAAACATTTCCCAGTGAATCCACAATAGTTAGCTCAGCGTCATAAGACGTTATTGATGTTATCGAAAATGTCAATCATAAAGCTTGCACCGGTTATCCACATATACTAACTGTTAGAACTTTTGCTGGCAGAGATAAGTTTGTTAAAACTTTTCGCTTCGGCCGGAACAAGAAGATATCAGAGTTTGGACGACAGACAAAAACAGCATCTGTGATTAATACTCTAAGACAATTTCATTAAGATAGAAAGCTACCGTTCTCTAATGAGGAACCATCGTATGTGAAAGTTGTCGCGGAAAGTAAAGAGAAGTTGTCTAAGCTGCTGTACTTATCCGGAATTTCCATTGGGAAGCTGAAAAAGAGATGGTGAATATAAGTTCATTTCCTCCCATTGAAAACACTTTTCTAAGTCTACCGATGCAAGATCAGTTTTTCGAACTACATTTTTTCGAAATCTTATAGCAATAAGACATACCCATGAGCACAGACTCCAGATAAGGACGAATAAATTGATTTCTGCGTAGAAACAAATATTCCTAAGGAAGTTGCTCTGGAAGATCATTTTGGTTATGCAAGTCTAAATGTTCTTACATGAGCTTGTACTCGGAATATTTTGTTTTGCTGCATCCGGTAACCCAAGGCACTTGAATCTATAAGTAGAAACAGCTCAGTGTTTTTTGTCTTCATTATGATCGAAAGTATAGACCTCTAAGAAGCGAGAGCAACGACCGAATGGATGCTGTTGATCCACACCGGTTGCCATCCAGAGTCTACCTTCATCATCCAAAATGAAACCGTAAATATCAAAAAGTGAAGCACATACGATCGATTTAACTCCTTCTGGCCTGTAAAACCTTTGAAAATGCTTTTAATATTATGGAAAACAAACATTATTTCAACCCAATCACTTCCCATTCGGCATTTAGTTAGTCCAACTCTAGCCATCAACGACCCCAACCCTTTCCTTCAAAATGTTTTACAAACTGGTGATTCTGTATAATCTCACCTGACAGCCCATATGGCATAGTTAGAAACTGTCAGTGAAGTAAGGGGCCATTCGCAAACCAATCTCGAGAAAGATCTATGATCTTCATGTTTCAGCAGAACACATGGCTTAAGAAATGACAATATATTGCAGATGTTCGGTAATTCGTCTGTACTCCTAACTCCTCCGTGTTGTACCAGATATTATCATTGTGTAAAATTACATTCGATACATTTCCTCCAACTACAGGTATTTCCTCGGATGGTACTTTGGCTAACCCGTTTTCAGATAGGTAGCAACATCCATTGTTCAACCGTATGACATCTAGTCCCTGGTCTGAACAGTCTTTCAATCACAGCTTGTCCATCAAACCAAATCACTAACTAGAGAACGATAACTCCGTAGAGCTCCAATCCAACTTGTTCCATTGAGCTTCATTCATACCGAGTTGATCTGCTTCAATGTACCTCGGTTTTTGACGTCGTCCACATACCAAAAGTTTGGACTCGAACGAAGCCAAGGATGTCACGCTATAAGGAGTTGCGACCTAAACCTCTCTTCGTCTCTCATATGCAGAATACTCATGATACCTTCTTCCACAAATCGCACGATTCAGGTATAACGAAAGAGTTTTTGATATGGTTTACCCGTGCTTGCTCGTAGCTTCGTTCTTCGCGATTCTCCACCTAAAATTTTCAATGAGGAATTGAAACTGATAATGACCGAACCGGTAGAGCATCGTTCTGTTCCATATTCAGCAGCATGTCGAAAACTGCTGAAACATTCGCTTTCGGTTCAGGATGATCGATAGGATGATCAACAACAATCTGCTCAACAGTGGATGACACATCGTCATGTTTAGCACTGTTCACATCTGTGAGACAACTAACAAACTGAAACGATTATAGCTCTTGAATAGAGGATAAGAAGTGACTAACTGAAGCACTGAACTTGTCAGAGACAGATGAAGGTTCTGATTCAACATTTTCTTGAAAAACGGATAATGCTGCAGGAGATTGGAAACCTGATCCAAATGAATTGTTGAATACATCATCTCCCTCATTCTGAGTCGAAACAGAGCCAGTTGTTTTTGGTACAAGGCTCGATTCGGTGGGATCATGGCCTAGCACTAGAAAAATCATTAAGTTATTCAGTATCACAACTAATATGAGAACCATGTTTCCGCAACCCATGAATGAGTTCATCAATATGTTCCACCGAATGTACAATGTCTACTTCCGGGCATTCACGATCTGGAGACTTCATTCTCTCACTTTCTCTTCGCTTATATCCTCTGGCTTTCACTGTTCTTTCGACATTGATCGTACAGTCGAAAGCAGATTCCTCGAAGCCTAAACTAGATAAGTGTTTGACCGTACTGCAAATAACTCAACTTTTACTGGTTTTCGTTGGTGGACGATAAGGTACTCCTTCAACGATATCATTAGCGCTCTGAGAGTCAACGAAATTTTGAACTTTTTCTGCAACGATGGAAGAGATATTCGAAGTTCGGATGGCATTTATTCCATTTTCTATGAATTTCGGAACTGCAAATCACCAAAAATAAGCTTCATAATGAAAACTTACAAACCTTCGGAGGTTACTTCAATATCACTTGCAGAGGCTACCACATTAAGTACGTTTGTAGCAGTTTTCAATAAACTAGCCCCTATTTTTCTAGGAGATCCTAACATAGCCGTAATATCCACATTGTCATCTGAAAGCAATATTCTTGAAGCATGCTAGGTTTTGGAAACCTGTAGTTTCAGAAAATACATTCGTCAAAGGTAACAATGATGCTCTGAATAATCTATTGGAAAGTATAATGTACAGTATACTTCCATCCAAATCAACTTTGCATAGCTTTCCTCTCTTAAATTTCAACGGAAATCAAATTTCTTCCGACAAAATTAAACTCACAGCTACTTCTGAAGACTCATACCTGTATACTAAGCTCATATCATGAACTGAATGAACACGAACCTCTTCTGGTGAAACCAGGCAAATAAAATTTTCATTCACACTCGCGAAACATAACTCTTCATCTAACGCCATCTGAAAATCAGAGAGCATTACCTTGTCACATGGAAAATAAACTGACAACTACTCTAGAAGACCAACTTTTAAAGTGCTCATCACAGTCTATCGAGTAAATGACTCGCTTACAAATTACCAAAATGCTACTTCCCACACCGTTACACGATAGTACATTTTCGAATCTTCAATAAGACATTTTCTGAATTTTTCACAAAGGAACTTACTTCTCAATTGAAAAATCTAAGGGGACTATTTCCGCTGTATCAACTGTCAAAAACTGATAACATCCGTTTATCAGAATAAAAAAAAGAAACTCCGGGCGATAAATAACATGCTGAACTGTTTGACCGCTCATGGAGTGAAACGAATGCTCAAACGCATTCTGGAAAATATTTCGAAGTATCTAAGGATTCTGGGAAACCTACGTTTTGGAAATCAATTGACGATGAAACCGTCAAACCACTACTGTCAACAGAAAAAAGCTTCAAAAGGATGAATTGAAAAACTATAGTAGGTATGTACCTTGGAGCAATCCTCAGACCAGCAAACGCCAACAATTGAGGAGTGTTTATGATAATCTCGTTCTACGTGAGTATAAAACTTAAATTTAAATAATTATAGGAAAAAACCATACTTAGCCATGATAACTCACTTTACGAACATCTTTAACAGCTATAGATATGTAACTAACAGCACCGGAATCAAAACCCATTGATATATACATATAATCCTCATATTTCTTAACATCTGTACAACATACGGCTCCAAGTAAACCGCAAAAACTGAAATGAAAGCTAAGTTCAGGAATTCGGAAAGAGGATTCATACGGTTCTGTGACTGTAAACGTCTCTCTATCAACTACTACAAGTGTCCCATTCGAGCAAGATAAGAATATGAATTCTGATGTTAAGTCTAAGCAAGATACTTCTTGTTTTGCTAACTACAACGAACAATGAATGATCTGAATTTAAAATGAAAACAAACATTTTTGATAAAAGTGCTTAAATCGTCATTATAAATGGTGAGAGAAGCATCGGAATTGTCCATGTTCACTAAATGACATCTTACGCTGAACTAACTGGATCAGCTATCATAAAGGCCGTTTGCAGAAAGATTCCAATCGCTTCAACGCTATACGTGAAAATAGAAAATGTTGTACGTGATTCATCTATTTCAAAAAAACAATCTACAACTTCGTAGAACACAAAACAGGAGAACCTAACAAAATGCAAACAAACAGTAGAATATGAGCGATGAATGATCATTTGACAGGTTTAACAGATAGGCTATATAACTTCTTTCAACAACTGTGCCATTCACTTCGATTTCCTAATCCTAATCGTAAACAAAAACAAAATATGTCATTTCCCTTTTTGCTTACTGAACATCAGAGGATTAGATGCTCAGAGATGGAAGTTCAAAATTACAACCGCGCCATACTAGGTTTGTGCCAAAATGATTTTTTGTTTCTGCCTCATATATAATCATTTTGTAATTTGAGTTTTGATGAGAGCGGTTGTTTTTGAAAACTCCTTTGTCACAATCCCAATCTTCATACTTCATAACTATTTTCGAATAGTATTGATCTTATATCTAAATTTAATAAAAGAATAACAATTTATGGCCATGAGGGCTGTTTTTGAATTGTGTTTTCTTTCACTTTCTTTTTCACTGTGTCATTTCTGTATTCTGTCTGATAAGTTGTTATCGATTGAGCTCATCGATCTTGTGGACGAAAAGTAAGTGTGAGAGAATGTCATTTTCGGACAATTATTTTTATAAATATATCAGAAAGAATATGGTGAAATAAATCAGTTTTTAATTAAATTTCTACTCATACATGTGTTTCGTCAGTAACAAAGTGCGCTCACGAGAGCTGCTGTGTTCTATTCGTTCTCTCATGTTGCCCTCATGCGTTATGTGTTTTTTGTCCTTGACGTATCATTATGCCGTATAAAGACTGTTTACACGCTGTAAATACCGATTCGATATGTTTATGTGGAGTATTCAGATGGCTTCACCTGAAACAGTTGACAAAATAATGAATGGGATTGGGTGGAAAGTTAGAGGAGACTATGTTGCTCCGGAGGCTCATAAAAGAAAATCATTTATTCCTAACTTTCAACAACTTGTGAAGATGATCCCTCTAATATTTCGGTAAGAAATGAATCAGTTAATCGAATGAAACTTGGGTTGTTTTTCGTATGGTGATACATTGTGCAAAGGAATGGTGGAATGGTCGAGGTTGTTTCATAGATATCTTCCGGATCTTATTGCTCGATCCATGCACAGGTTGGTGTTTGTTTTGGAAAATTTAGCCCATAATATTTACAACCAATCAATGCTTCATGCAGTAGCGAAATAATTTGAACGCTGGTAAACACCCAGTTTTTATGCAAAATTTCCAGGAGTTCCGTTGGGTGGCTTAGGCTCCGGGTCCATTGGAACAGACTTCCGTGGGGCGTTCAACAAGTTCTCTATCATTCCAGGAATAAAAGAGCAAAATCAGCTGAATATCAAAGCCAATCAAGTGAGATATCTTTTAATTGATAACTCTCATATTTTTCAAGTTTATATTAACTGTTCGAAACTCCGTAAACTGTGTTGTTTTCCAATCGATACTGTCAGCGGCAGATTTTTCAAAAACAACTTTATCATCTTGGTCGTCATGCTTTATAAAAAATGAGATTAGGTAAACCCTTCAGGCTCAATGTGATACGCTTATTATGATTCCAGATACCGTGGTCTCTTTCCCAGAGCTTGGAGAGAGTTCAAAGTTCCTGATTTGGATCTAACTATCCTTCAACATCAACTATCTCCTGTCATTCCTCACAATTATGAAGTATTTACATAGTCAATGTAGCATCAGTTTATTTCTCTTTCAGGACTCATCTTTACCTCTTTCTTTGTTTGATTTTCTTGTCTTCAACAACTCTGATGAAAATTACAAAGTCTCGATAACTTTCACATTTCGAAACGGTACTGGTAACACTCAATGGAACAAAGAAGGCTGCTGCAGGTATAATTACATTGACGTTCATAGTAATACAGATAAAATGTTCGCAGATCAGAATATTTAGAGAGCACTAATGGAAACGGGATCGCCATCCATCATACTGTAAAGCAAATGCCTGTCACTTATGTATTGGCTACAGAAAAAGTAATACTTAGTTCTCCCCCCGTTAATATCGTTCTTCTGGATTTAGTCAGAGAATCATTCCATCTCCAGAACCCAGTTCAATGTGAATGGAAATGGTGCTGAGATTTGGGAACATCTTAAAGATTATGGAGCGTTATACGGTTAATCCAAAAATATGATCTTATTTGGCAGATTCTTATAGAGAATAAGCAAACAGTGGAGCGCGAACTGGGAATCGCTATCTGTAACTCTTTTGAAGTACAAGCAAAGAGTAGTGAAACTGTCACTTTCTCGCTGATATGGTATATGCCGGAAGTAACATTTGGATTGAAAGCACGCACTTACCGCAGGTATTAAATCTTGACCTGTTTCCTATTAAAACATGCGTTGTAGGAGATATACTAGCTTTTACAAAGACAGAAATGTCCTCTTGGAAATAATGGAGACGGGCTTCAATAAGAAAAATGATTGGGTAAAGCAGATTGAGAATTGGCAGAACCCAATTATTGATGATGAAAAACTGCCTGAGTGGTTAGATTATCATAATGAATGAAAATTATATGATTACGTGTTCAGGTACAGAAGTGCTCTGTTCAATGAATTATACTTTGTAGTGGATGGGTCTACCGTTTGGTTCGCTTATGACAGCAAATGGTCAGATGGCGAACCAGATATGGGATTGGCTACGATTGAGCATTTCAAGAAATATGGAAGATATGCCTACATGGAATGTGAGACATTTTTTTTCTGATGATCAATGATCTAATTACGTGTGCAGCTTGGGAATATTTTATGTTCACAACTTACGACGTACATTTCTATGCTTCCTGGGCTCTGCTGAAAAATTGGCCTGCACTTGAAATGGGAATTCAGCTGGACTATGGTAATACTTTTTGTTTCTTATACGATTAAGTTTCGAATATTAATTAATTCCAGGTGATCAAATTTACAGATCGAGTGATAAAACCGAAAAATCAATGTGCGAAGGACAAGCTATGAAAGCCAAAAAATATGGTAGAACACCTCACGACTTGGGACATCCATGTTAGTCAAACTTCTAGAATACTTGTAATGTATTCGAGTTCTTTCAGTAGGAGAACCTTTCATAGCAACCAATGCATATCTTCTGCATGATACAGCCGAATGGAGAGATTTGAACCTGAAGTTTGTAGCTCTCTGTTGGAGAGATTGGGATAGCATTTATGAGAAGATGGGTTACCCCAAGGAGAAGGTAACTGAGATCGTGTTCCTCGAAATAAAATCCTCTCCAGTCGATTGAAGTTTTGAAATTTTTCTATGAACGTTCTAAGTTCATTGTGGAGTCGGCTTTGGTGGAGTGGGATTTGGATAAAGATGGAATGATCGAAAACAGTGGGACCGCTGATCAAACTTACGATGTCTGGACTATGACTGGAACTAGGTGAGTATCCCAATATAGAATATAGTTTTGTTCTTAGAAGCTATTTGAAATTCTTTGAAGGTGTCAGGGCATTCTAGAGTAGTTAATGATATGCAATGACATTTGAGACAAAATCGAAATTTCACGAATTTATAACGTTTAGCTCCTACTGTGGTTCTCTCTTCTTGTGTTCACTTTGGTGTTTAATCCGAATGGCCGATAAATTGGAACGGAGAGAAGATTTAAGTAAATACATGGATTATTTAGAGAGAGCTAAGGCTGTTTTTATTAAGAAGTTGTGGAACGGAAGGTAGACAGTCCATTAATTTTGTTTCAAATTCATCCAAAATAGGTATTTCAAATTCGATGAGAATCCTGATAACTCGCGCTGTGTCATGGCTGATCAGCTTTGTGGCTTTTGGTTCCACCGAATGCTAGCTGTTGACGATTTGGTGGAAGATCAAATGGCAATGAGAATGTAAACATGTAATCATAAATAATGTTTTTTTCAGATTTCATCGGCTCTTGACACCATTTTCAAATTGAATGTTATGTCCTTCGATAATGGACGCATGGGTCCTGTGAACGGCATAAGGTAACTTTTGAACTGGGGTCAGATGTTATTTTATTTGTTCCAGAGATGACGGTGTTGATGATACTTCATCCATTCAATCAGTCGAAGTCTGGACAGGTACTGCGTATGCATTGGCATCTTTCATGATCGCTTCGGTTAGTTTCGGAAGGATGTTCACTCCTTATCCTTACTTAATTCAACAGAACAAGTTGGACCAAGGATTTAAAACAGCGGAAGGTGTATATCAGTCGTGTTGGTATAGATTTGGTTTACAATACCAAACCCCTGAGGCTATATATAGAAACAATTATTACAGGTTCTTTTTTATTCTCCGATCTATTAATAATTGAAAATAATTTGCAGAGCAATTGGCTACATGAGGCCATTAAGTATATGGAGTATGCAAGAGAGTTTGGAAAAAAAGTTGTAAAATTGGTGTCATTAGATGAATCCTAAGAAGTTTTTTCAAATTTTTCAAATAGTTTTGTATTTGTGCATGTAAATAGCTTGAAGTTATATTGTGCGAGCCTTATGAGGCTCTTTGAAAATAAATTTTCCCTCATCGAACTGTATGTTCTGTTATCTATCTAGCTCTGACAACGTATTGAGAATTGTTTTATACATAAGCCTTCTCTACAAATAAAAGTACAAATATAGATGCATGTTAGATAAGGTAAGCATATGTTGGTAGGAAGATATTATGGAAAATCTTTGTTTGAGAGATCGAATGCGAGCTTTGATGGGTCATTGTTTAGACGAGATCTTGTTTGATTGGGTATGATTGATTCTTGTGGTCATTGTTATACTAGATGGCCTGAGGTTATTGTAAATTCACGACGACGACGGTTCGCTCTGACGTCAGGGCAGCTTTAACGAAATAGAGTTCCGATTGCTCGCACCTGGCACTGGCAAGAAATCGGAATCTGAAATATATAGAAATAGCTTTTGAATAAGTGTGCAGGGAACGAAAGAGAAACATCTGCTCACGACATTTCCCAGTTCTTTTTAAAGATTATTAAAGATTGAATTATAAATTAGTGAAGATATACTGACCCTAACAGTAGCTTTAACATATGGAGAAAGAGAACCAAAGAGGCGAACACTAGCCGGACGATAATCGAACACGGTAAAACATTCAGAAGTGAATCTGAAGAGATTACTCATATATTTTGAAAAGTCTGTTAACGATTACCGTTTTCTATCAATTCCATAGCAAGGTGGCCGATCTTCGCTCAAACACTCTACGTAAGTTGCTTTTAGATTGAACTCTTGATCTTGCTGAATTTCCACCCAGCTCCCATTAGACACTGCAGATAGAGTTTAGAGAGAGACTAATCAAAATAAACGAACTATGTCCATGACTTGGCTCATGATTATAGATCATTCTCATGGTACATACGTCTTCTGGAGCACTCAATCCAGTAAGCACACTCTTTCCCCTTTTTGACATCTGAAAATCTCGTAAAGCATTTGGTGATAAAGATATCGTACTGTTGTAAGCAGTGAAATATCCAAGTCGCTTGGGTTCTCCGGATGATATGGGTTAACGTAAACAACTGAAGGGTTTGTATTGAAGAGCTTGTGTTACTATATTATAACTCACGGTATGAACAGGAGCATGAATAACCAATTAGTAGAAAAAATAAAATTTGTAAACTTCTTGAACGGGAGTACGCCATCAACGCCATTACTTATCTGAAAGGGAGGTACATCAAATATCGAAGTACAAGCACAAATGGAATTAAGAAATTCGGCGGAGAAACAAATAAATAGAAAGTATAACATAGTTTATCCTTTGAAAGGCAACAAAGTATTTTTATAGAAAGATTTCATTATATACTTCAAATGCCAACTTATGTTTCATTTATCGTTCGTCTTAGGAATAGGCACGACCACAAATATGTTGGCAAGAGGATATGTAGTGTAAAGAAAAAAACCACACATGGAAGTATCTGACATTTTCAAAAAGTTCCAATCGCTGATTTTCAGAATACTTAACCAGCAGCAAAGATTTGGAAGCAATGAGCAGAAATGTAAAGGAGATATCGAGATAGCATGAACAGCTAACATAGAAAAGGGATAGAAGCAAGCTTATAAGTATTTAAATACAAACTTTTTCTTCTATATTCTCGGAATTCCCGCCTATTACATCTTTAATAGATGGTAAGCAAGCAGTATACTGAGAAGGCTGAACCATGACCTCTGGAATTCTAATTAGTATTCCAGAGAAAAAGATCAGCAGATCGACATAGTTACGTAACATTATGTTCTGCTTCAGAGTATTTAAAAGTTCAGAGTAACAAACTTTTGAATTAGAGCGTTTATAGCATTTATGAAAATATAATGCCTTAGGGCATGTCGATGCAAGCAGATAGAAATATGAACGAAAACATCTTATGCGTTCATTTATAAGGCAGATGTAAAAAAATTTATTTTTGTTAATTTGTAACTGATTAGACGTCACTGTCTTTTTTCAGTGAAACATCAACACACACACACACACACACGTCTTAACAGTAAACAAAAATATAACTAATTTCTACTTTTAGAAATTCGCTAATAATATTCTTGCGTTCAGTAAATCAAAATAATCTGAACTGATCTTATGATTTCATCTTTGAGAATTAAGATGATTGTGATATTACTTATTCGCTCAACCGTCTCAGCGCCATCAAATATTCAAAATGACGTGACTCACGTTTAGATGAACCCACGCGTCCATTCTAATGCTTTCACGTTAAATTTGAGGATAAGCGCAAAAATTTGAATACCACTATTAATGAGTCTAATTAGTACAAAAGAATACATGAGCATAATTGAATTCAGGAGCAGAAAAAAAAGAGAAGAATGTTGGAGGATGTTCATATGATTCTTAACGAAGAGCTGACAGGACCGATTGCGACATGCATGCTCAAGAATAAATGAAGAAATAAACGATTCAGCTTTCCTTCCAGCCTTAATCTACGTAGGTATCACCTGCTGTTATGACTGAGAATATGGAAAAGCACATTTCATCAGCTAGTTAAGATGATTCGAAGAGTTAGGAAAGTATCTAATCCTACATTTACAGAGAGCAAACGTCTACTCCAAATTGGAGTGTGTTGATGTCATTGTTATTAATATTTTTTTGTCATTCAATGTTGAATAGATATCTATAAATGGAAAACATCTCAGATGAGTGGATACAACTGAAATAGTATTCTAACGTTTGATTTTGTAAAATGTATTTTAGTAATCTCAAGTGGAAATTTTGATTATGAAGTTTTGCTAAAATAAGAATTTCTAAAGTATGGCGTTTGCACAAAATTCATTTCGGGAATAGCTGAGCTGTATTGAGATATCAAAAAGTTATTGGAAGTTCGTCATTTAAAATTGTAAAATTGACGATTTAATTATATGAATAGAATGACGAGATGATGTGTGACAAATGTGAAGAGATCACAGTAAGCTTAGGAATTCTTAAGAACTCAGAAATGAAATTGAAAAACTAAAAACTTCTTCTTCTTCTTCTTCTCATACTCTCGTCATTCATTCTCTCACTCACACTCGAACTCGCACACGTTCAAAAAGAGAAGAAAAATGAATTTTCGTTAACTTTATACTCTGTTATATCAGTGAAAATTCAGTGAAATTATGTATTTAAATGTTGTGCGACTAGAGAAACATCTGTTTGCCTACGCTTACTGACATCAGAAATTTTGAAGAAATACAATATAATAAGTGAACTGAAGAGATATATACGTATATAGATGTGTATTCGTTACATAACATGCATGATAAACTAATTACATTTTATTTTTGTTTCTCACACATAGTGGAGGGTGGTGATGGCGCATTCTGAGTATCAGAATCAGTAATTGAAGATCATGGAAAGCTATGTGAGTCTTCAATGATGCCGTACGTAATGGCTATTGCTTGCATATTGTTTATTTAAATCATTTGTTTATTAAAATAAAATTAAAATATTTCATTCAGTACATAATGATGGAGGAAGTAGTAACACATCTGAAAATATTTCTTTTCCATTCTATTTCAGAATCATGGAGCTCTCCAGTTCTGAAAAAAAAGGAAAAAGAAAACAATGCTTCACACATTCAATAGAGCACATAAAAAAACTATTTTTAAGTTATTTTCTTTACAAGTTATCAGTGCCATATGCTTATATCCATTCCCATATTTAGATTTTAGACAGTGAAAATAGGAGATCGTGAATTGTGCAAAGAATCAGAACTAAATTAGTTCCTATATCTTATCGAAAAGCGAAGCATGTCACGTTTCCACTCGTTACTTCACAATACTTCCTCGAATGAATACTATAGCTGAATTCTCCAGTAGCACAAAAGACGTCAAACCTAAAAGTTCATTCATAATTATGCGATAATGATGTTATCGTCTTAATCCTACCGAGCTCCATCAAACGCTAATTCAGTGGCTCTCATAACCATCCTCTTAGCTACCGACACATCCTCTACTATGGCCTGCAGGAATAAATAATGATTGAAGGGAAAGAGGAGGGATGAATACCTTTGCCATCACATTAGCTAAACTATGTGAATTGCAAGTTGAATTAGTATGAGGAACAGCTGTTTTTGAGTTCTAATTATATAACTTTTATTAATAAAACCTTCAATAATGAAAAAGTTATTTTACCCTCATTCTCTTTAACAGCGAATGTCGTTTGTCCAAAGCATCGAAAGGAGTTAAGCCTGAAATAGATTTTTATTATTTTTCTTTTTTTTTTTGCAAAACAAAACCATCTGGTGCCGTCTTTCTAGACATGGGAAGTGTTGGCCATTCGAGTGTAGTTTCTCCAGAATGTAAGAAGACGGACGAGTCGGTATCACCATCGAAAGCGTTAGCGTTGTCTGAAAAATCTTAAAACCTGTATTCCCTACTTTCTTACTATTATAGAATGCGGGTGGATTATCGTTCAATCCATCCATATATTGTACAGTGTCTGTTGTTCTAAAATGTGTCGAAACGAATTAGCACAGATTTCATTAAAAACCTATAAGTGTTTGTTGATAGTGGTGGAACAGGTGGAGGTAAAGCAGGAGCAGTATCATCATAGTCGTTTAATGATCTGCCTTTATCAGATGTATCAACATACGCTTGATTATCGGTCTATGTTCTGCATTATTGATACATTTCAAACTTCCTTCTTACCAGTGATGGCATCAGCGTCGGCATAATGGTTTCCCTTGGCTTTTGTCTACAAAAAAAAAGAGATAAGTTCGTTATCACTATGACTGCTCACTCTAATATATAGTTCCCTTCTGGTATGGTTGTGTATATCTGGGGTTGAACGTCAACTCCAACTCCCACTGATTTATACTGGGGCTCCGAAGAATATTGTGGCTGTACAACCTGTGGGCTGTATGGCGGAATTGTTTGAACGAAAGAAGGTGATGAATAAGGCTGAGGCACAGGTTGTGGGATAGCTGGAACTGCTGGAATCCATCCAGGCTTAAACACTAAGTTAATGTACATTATAAGTACAGTTGATATACTTGATAATTTGTGGTTGGAATCTGTATTGCTGGTGGTACAGGCAAACTCATGGTTTGAGTTGGACATGGTAAAGGAATTGCACACGTTGGAGCTGGGGGACAAGATGATGGACAATTACATGAAGAACATCCGAGAGGAGGAAAGAAAAATGAAGAGCAAAACGGAATAATTATAAGTAGAATTATATAATATATATGTAGCATTCCTGAAAGTAAACTTTTGAGTTATTGAAATCAATACAAAGCTTCTCAAGAAGCTGTCTGAAGAAGCTTGGAAACAATTTGTTGCTTTAAAGAGTAATGGTCAGTTGCAAGGATTTATAATGTGAAGGTGAAAGAGTTCTCAGGGTGAAAGTAGGCTGGCCTTAACGAGATTATGGCAAAAAGGACAGAAAAGATCAAGCGATGTTCTAGGTTCCATAAAAGGAGAAAGAGTCAACTCAACGAAAGAAAAGATGAATAGGAGAGATTAACTAGTCAGCTATTTCTGAATGAACAATTGGTGGAACGAACAGTACGATAGGGGCTAAGATGGTATTATACATTCATTTTACTCTCACTGTCAAAACTATAACATATGTCCGGGTGAAAAGTGAATTTTGCGAGGAATGGTTATTCAATTCAATAAAAAAAACATTCAGAATATCATAAAAAGTTGTAACGTCTTAAACCTGTTGTTCGAGTGATCTATTCAGTTCACCTCTATGCGAGTTCATTTAGTTAGGCACAATCGCCCCAGATAATCCTTCTAGATAGAAACGAAAAGTGCCATGAAGATGACATGCAAGTGAAACACGTGACACATGATTCAAAAAGTAATATGTTGCTTGGTTTAAGAACTCGCTTGAGCTTCGGATCTCAAGAAGGTGTTTCAAATGTGGAAGCCTTTGTCCTGGTTGAAAGAACTTATTTTTGAAATTAAATGTAGACAGTAATCCTCTTTTGGCCTACTTTGCAGAATCGAACCAAGAAAAATTGTGTTCGCATTATTATGGTGCACATACTATGTGTTTTAATAATCTTGAGTGAATAGAATTTTTTCAGTTAATATCTAATTTTCAAAAAAACATAAAGTTTTGATTCTGTTGATGAAGCTGTACCAGCAAAAGCTTGGTGAATGCATCACTCGGGAGATAGTTCTTATCGAGATGGTAGCAGAAAAAGTGAAGGGTTCGGTTACAGTATAGCTTCCAACTATGACATCAAGTCAAAAACGAATCGTTTCTTAACAGATCATATCAGTTCAAATCAAACAAATCACTTTGTTCTGTTCCGTTTTCTCTGTTCAAAATGATTTAATCTTGATTTAAACGAGAGCTGATGACGCACAGCTGATAAACTCTCGGCTAATCAGAAATGAAAAATGACGGTAAGCACTGATTTCCTTGATTGCATATCGTCTTTAATCCGATAACAGTGTTATGGTAGACTATTTAATGCAGAGAAAGACCCCTACCGGTATGAGCTGAGATGTCCAAAATCTTCCTTATTGGTTTGTTTTTGTGATTGCATTTGTCCTTAAGTTAAAAACTTTCAGTTGTCCTTGCATCGTTTGCTGCTGCTCCTACTGGAGCTGTTACCTACTGCAACACTGTAGATGTCAATGTAAGCTAGGAATATATTTCTTCAGTTGAATTCTTCTCTGGTTTAGTTAGTTCGCAAATGTTACCAGAACTATATGGATAGCTTCTACATAACCATGAATGAAACTCTGCCAGCGTATTCATATTACGCCAACGTCCGTTCGAACTTAATTAAAAGTAAAGGACTATACGAACAAAATCTTGTTTGCCAGTGAGGATGCAACAACCCTCTGAAAACAAAAGTTTTCTTTTCCAGATACGTACTTACTCTGTTGAATTGTCTCGACCCATCTTTCGAATGTATTGGTCAATACACTTTCCTAGCTATTGGTGCTTCGAATAATACAGATGCCGTCGATTATTGGGCTGATTTACTAACCAACCAGTACCAATGCACTGTCGGAAAACCATGTTGGTTCAGCAGTTCAAATTATGTAAACTGCTTATATTCATTACAGTGAAAACCAGCAATTTTTACTGTTATGAGAGTTGTCGGGACTCTCGTAAGGATGACATCAAAACTTGTCATGCAAATTTGGGAAAGAACATCGCAAAAGGAATGGACGTTTGCACGTGAGCAGTAACACAATATTTTCTTGATTAAAACGTTGTTTCAGTGCCTTGGAAGAGAATGCACTTTGCCAAACGGACATCCAGAACCAATGTTGTGGACGAAATGCTGGCGTATTAGCATGTAACAGTGAAGTTTCCGCTGTTCGTGCTTCCAATAATGTTTGCTCGGCTATGGGAAAGATGTTCTGCCCAGAACCTCAATAATCAGTGAAAATTTTCATCGGAACGTTCATTGTTACATTGAATAATAAAAAATTTTGAGATATGATTAACTAAATACAAGAGTGATGCAACCGTTCTGTGATTCTAGAAGTTTTGAAAGTGAGGCTTTCATCGGGTCTAGGGACCTTTTTCAATATAAATATATTCGTTTATACAATATTATCATAACAAATAGAATAGAAAAATAATGAAAATGAAAATTTGAGGAACGAAATTATTAGATTTTCCTTTCCGCATACACTGTTCATACCTTGGATAATCCGAAAACTCTAGCGCACATAACTGAGCATTTCTGAAAAAAGAAAATAAGCCTATTCAAAAACAATAATCTCACAGAAGATCTCCGGTTGGGGTTGTAACATTCCACTGGACTGAGTTATACTTCAAATATGTCTGCAGTGTTTCACTGTCTGTTTTCATTTTTTGAACGACTTCATCCATAGTAGTTGCATTTATCTCACTGGATAACCCATATGCAGCTTTGAAGGAGTATTCAAACTCAAAGTTGACCAATCCATTCTGATCATTGTTAAGTTGAGTCAAATTAACGTAATACGTTCTGAAAGGGGAAGGTTGAATAAATAAAATTGTCAAATTGTGTGAGTATCTCTTTGAATGAATGGCATACTTGTTGTCTGCCTCGATAGCTCAGTTGGGAGAGCGTTAGACTGAAGATCTAAAGGTCACCAGTTCGATCCTGGTTCGGGGCATCGTTTTTGCCATTTTCACAAACACATGTAAAAACAAAATAAATCTTACTCTATATCCAATATTTTTGTATAGTCATCAGAAGCTCTATATATTCTGAAAGCCGGGTTATTCGCTCCAGCTCCACGTAGATCAGAGAACCATGGTGTAACTGCTGGAGCCATTAAAGACATTTGAACAGGCTTATTGGATTCATCCTAATTATATAATTATCTTTAGTTTTGGGATATTTCAAAGATACCCTAATGATATGGAATGTATCAGTATGATGGTGACCATAAAGCATCCACTTGATGGTACTTGCATATTTAACGGTAATATTCAAAAACCTCTCGTTGTACTGAGGTCGAAACCAATTGTAATATGGAGTTCTTTCAAACGCTAGACTAATATATAAGTATTCGAAAATAATTTTGTAATTACCGCCGGGAGGTATGTGTGCAACGATATGAACAATACTGTAGCAAGTACCACCGTTAATTTGATTAGGGCACTTTGTAGCTCTTTCTAACTCTGACTCCATAAAAGCGAACATTTCCGCTGGATCATCTGGATTGGTAAAGTTGGCGTAAGCCTCATTGACGCTAAAAATTTGCATCAGAATCGGAAGTATTTTAGTTATAAACATACTTGTAATAAAGATTGGTGTTCAATACAAGAAAAACTGCGCCTTCAATATGTCTTCTGTAATAGCCACCTCTCAGAAAGTTTTCCTAGAATAAAACATTAATAGATGACTGATATACTGTTACTAAGAATTAGATAAAGAAGCGATAACGAAGTATGATAATGGGTGGTATGTTCCAGCAATAAGCTCTTTGTTTTTTGATCATAATGAACTAACTTTCTGATCAGCTGGGATGTAATTCTGCCATAAGTTAAAAGTTCTCGAATATAAGTCGCTGTAAGTGTCATATGCATTCGCAGGGGCATAGTCATGGTTACCAAAAGTCGGTATTATGTTAATACCATAAAACTCATTCTTGATTAGCGAGGTTGTTTTATCAATACATCTATAAACATCTGAAAAAAATTTAAATGTTTCAGTTATTTGAGTTTCAAACCAACAATCCCATGAATATCCTTGGATATGAGGCACATTGTCACCTGTCCACAGTACTAAGTCCGGGCTCTGCACATAAGACCGAGCTTGTTTCAGAGTATACGCAACAAGAGCCTGCAAAACAGTTGAGCATGGCCAAGTTAGTTGAGTGAACGATAAGCAATTTTTAAGAGTTGTTATCACTACTTTTAATTACCTCAGAAAAATGTATGAATCAGACATAAATATAAGGAAAACTTATTGATAATTGTTATAATCCGATTTACATTATGCAGTAGCTGGAATTATCACAGGAATGGTGATATGATTGCCACTGTTCCCAAACTAATATTATAAGCTAAAGAAATGAAACCTACTTCTGGAGAATCACACATATAATCTCCATACGATCCTAGCTTATTCGTTTTAGACTGATTTCCGACATTATGACACATCTGAGATTTCTCCCCATTAACGGAATAATCGACATCCATATGGAAGTCAGCCAAATGCAAAATTGTTTTGAAAGTATCTCCAAAAGACAATTCCGAGCATAATACCAGTATACAGAGAATGAATCTCATCCTGAAACATGACTATGACAAAAAGAAAAAAACAAGCAAGCTAAAGAAGAGGAAAGCGTTATCGCAAACAGAACTCACATACAGTATTGGTAAAAATGGATTATTATAATTCTAATTTGTGGCGATTGAACTTAACTTTTTCTCTTCATTAAGTCTTTGATTACACAAAGCGATAAAATCATCATGATAAAGGTAATGACTGATAACAAGAAAACTCATGAGGCGGAAAGAATATTCCTAGCTGCTACTTGTTGTAATTTCGCGGAACATCAATGGTTCACTTTTCCATGGTACCTCTTTCTCTTAACAATCTCCCAAACCTATTGGTTCCTCTCGATTGTCTCACCTAGACAATACTAATGAAGATTTACGATTCTTGGAACAATGGCTTCCTCTTCTATTTGCATTCCGTGTACTGTATCTGCCTGTTTTTCTGCGTACGTCCATTTGAATTTGAATTTCGCGCCGTGGTCATAGCGCGCCGTTGTTACCACTCTTAACTTTGAAAACGCCGACTTTTAAGATTATTTAGTGATATATATATCAAATTTTGTAAATCATTTAAGGGGTAAGTTGATTGAAAAATTCGCAAAGTTCAATGTTGTAAGGGTTGAAGGAAAAAACCAAAATTTTTCAGAAGAAATGTTATCGACGGTCCCAGAAGCCTTAAAGCAGAGATTTGAATATCAACCTGTTTTCAATAGTCAACTAGAACACCGAACGTATGATGAGGCTTATGAAGTAAAATATCTCACAAATAATGGTTTGACATCTATTATTCTCTATAATCTTATCTCTACTATCTCAGATGAGCTAACCGGATACTTGGCCGTTTTTTTGAAAAACGAGCTTATTGTTTATAAAACCGCAGACTATGGCTTTTTCAGTAAATTTCTTTGCCCAAAAGGGTCAAACATCCAAGATGTAGCTTTTTTACCCGATAAAGGTGTGTTAGTTTGGCTTTTCATTGTAATTTGTTATGCTCAGATAATGTATTTGGATTAGCTGTAGCTATTAATAGCGATGTGGACGGCTTATCAGAGAACTATTTAGCTCTCGTTCACCTGTATCGAGGTGATTTAGTAGTTCTCCAAAAAATAGAAATCCCTGAGGAGGTGATAAACATCTTTTTATTAACATTAATCTATTGTTATGTTCAGACTACATGTGTCAAGGTGCTACTAACAGATATTGCCACTGCTAACAGAAAAGACACCTTGAGCGCAAGAATGCAAACTTGGCCGCATGTTTTGGCCGTAGGTTTGTTAATTTCAAAGGTTTCGATTTGTTCATACTGTTATCCTTATAGGAACTAAAAGATGTCATTGTTATTTAACATTCTTCTCTGTAGAAAAAAGAGTTCCCAACGAAAAATCTGATACTGTTATTACAAAATCCTTGACTGACGCCCTAAGTACTTTTCGTTTCCCCTTAACTCACTATGTATATATTTGCAGAGCCCTTTGTTAGTGGAAACAATTTCAATTATAGGTTCGATCATCCCGGTCATGGATCCAGGAATCGTTCATTCGAAAAAGGTTTGTGAAGTTTCTTTGCGACTTTTCATGTCATTACTTAGAAACTGTTTCTGTAACTTCTATTGGGTTCATTGATAGATATAATACTATGATTATTGGATTGAGTTTTGGTGGAATAATGACAGTGTCATTTGGTAAAAGCACTGCTATGTAATCTCATTAATTTCTTGCTCTTCATTAACTTGATCTGATTACAGTGTTGGACATATTTATGCTAGTTCTTCGCCTGTTGTTCAGATTTCTTACTTGGAACCCCATGATGATCCCCACAACGATGTTTGGTTTTGTGTTGGACATGCGTATGTTTCAAGCGATTCATTCTTAACCGTTTTCATCATTCAGAAAGAGAAATGATGCCGTCCGTTCCGGACTACAGATTGCTCTCTACAGTGTAAGTAAACCGAAAACAGAGCCCGATGAAGGGGAGCTTTTTGTTGCCTTGAAACTTTCGGTTTGTCGTTTTTCTATCTTCTATTTTTAATGTTCGCTCTTAGCATCTATTCACAAAAGGTATCCGTTGGCTTTCAATGCGAACGATGGTCTGTCATAAGAAAGGAAGGGATTCTATCAATGAATCCAGCATGCACTCTTCTTCACAGTCTTCCTCTGGTACGAGTTTCTCTAAATATAAAGTTGTTTTCGGCTTTCAGATCTCGAACGTTCGTTGTTGTTTCTTTCATACTTGTCGAAGGAAAACGAGCTGATGGTGAGTCATACTTTGAAAAATGTTTCATTTTGTTCAATTTTTCAGGGAAATCTTTTTGATCTAGATGCTTATTACTATAAGAGGCTCATCGAACAAGTGTGTCCCGATAAAACTCTTGCAAGTCAGAATCCATTTTTATCTTTCATTTGGCCTTGTGAAGGGCTCACAGCTGATTTCAAGGTTAGGTCAAGTGTGAAGTTTTCCCTTATTCATAAGTTCAGGATGTCATGGTAGATGGAGAGAGCGTGTTTCGCTTGAGATCAAATATAAGTGATGCTGATCAGCTATACTATCCCTCGAACTTCGAGGTGATGTTGTTTTACTGTACTTTAAACGTCAATCTTCTTCAGATTCCTCGTGTTCATGCCGCAACATACTCAACAATTCATTATATTTCGGTTTCATCACTGAAGAGACAGGTACCTTTCTCGTTAGCATGTTGTTTGCATGTTTGCTCTATTTCCAGACAATGAGCAAGGTCGTGAGAAGTCTTAAGAAACATTTGAAAGATCCAGTAGAGGCTGCAGAATGGCTTCAAGCTCTTGGACTTCCTGGAAATAACGAGGTGGTTTAAACGATAATAACAAATTTGAATTTGAATTTTAGATGCACCCTCTTCATATGATTTTCTCATGTTTAATTCAATATCACTATACTAATGCCATCCTTAAAAATATCAAAAGCGGGAATCTACAAGATGCGGCGATGCTCATGAAGATCCGATCGTGGATGTGGACTGAAATAGAATTAGCAAAGGAAGGAATGGATGAAGCAGGTTTGTTGTACCAGAAAATACTTATGTGATGTGATCTTTACAGTCGGTCCCCTATTCCATCGACAATCGAAGCCTCTTGCTCCCGAAGGTCATCGTAGATTTAATTATGCTGTCAATGTTTTCCAAGCAGGAGTTGATATATTTGAAGAACTTATTCCTATTCTCTCTGAAAAGAAAGATATTTGTACTGGTAGGCAGTTTTTTGCAATCTTCGTTCATGTTTTTATTAACAGAATCATTAATTCGAGAACTAAAAGCGAAGCGAACCGCTTCATATAACTTATCGCAGTATGCTCTATGCATTGAAACTTTTATTTATAAAGAAATGTTGCCATTACCTCATAACAGCAAGAGTATTTGGAGGAAAATGAATGAACAGACCTTAGAAAGACGAGAAGAACTAAGAAGAGAAAGGTATGTCATAATCTTATCAATGGCCACTAATTCATTTTAGAAAATCTCTAAACATTGATAGTTTGGTTAGCAAGATGCGTGTTGTTGAACCAACTCTCGGCTTTGGTCTGAGAGAAGAAGACGAATACTACCCACCTGTCATTCTAGTTCGTAAGATTTTCCAATATTATTTACTAAGTTTTGAAATTGCAGAACCTCCTTGCACCAATTCTGGTAATGACAATTTCTAACAAATCTAAGAAAGATCTTCTTATTTATTATTTGATACATTATTTAAGTGTGGAGGACTTCTTCCACGGTATTCCAGTTTCTGTAAGTTTCGAATTCATTTCCAATTTCATTTTCTATTCCATTCGCAGAAAAAACATATCTGTGAAAGGGTCGAGGAAACTTACAGCAACATCTTTGAAATTGATGTGAACGAAGTGGAAAACGTCTTCAGTCAATGGGCTGAAGATTACGGTGTTAGTAACTCTGAAACTGTTCCTATGGAGATATCCGAGATGCCAACGACTAACGAGCTGGATTACTTGTATGATTTGCCTAGAGCTTTAACTGAAACAGAAGAGAGATCTTTGAGAGGTACTGCCGCCTCGAAAACCTAATATAAGTTTTGTTTTGCAGAAAAATTAAAGGAAGAGGAGTTTGGTTTCTTCCGTTGGCAATGCTACCTTATCAAGAATAGTAGATACAATGAAGTCGAAGTTGTAAGTGTTCGGTTTTTCTTTCTTTCTATTTCGTATTATATAGGTGGAGGAAAATATTCATTCTGAGAACGTTTATGTGAAAAAATATTTTACTGCCTTGCCGGGAGTATTGAAATTAAGAGGTGTGAACTATGGGAACAACTCTATCGAATATCCCGTGAAGTGGCCAGCTAATATCATGGACGCAATCAAAACATTCAGTAAGCCTTGGTGTTGGACTCTTTTCTGATTTTGGTTTAGACAAAGACACTGTCCCTGTCGAAAAGCCTGTACTTTTTAAATCACGGACACCCCTTCGTCTTCGTGGCAGGTTAGGTTTCTTCCTCGACTAAGGTTATATGTGATTTTCAGAGAGAACTTCAGACAAGATCCTCACAAAAAGTTTTCAGAGAATATGGATCACCCCAGTGTATTCGATAGCACAGTACGTTTTGAAAAATTCTTAGAAATATAGTGAACCATTCAGATGAAGACACCACCTCCTAAAGTTTTCAGTAATGATGAGACTCCAACTAGCCAGTACGTTGACTGTAAATTTTCCTCTCACTCTGTTACTTTTTCAGTAATATACCTGAAGAAGCGTGGAAGAAGATCAACGATGTCTTGAAAACTCCAACCTCCAGAGCGAGAACCGCTGCATTAGCTCACATTTCTATGGATGCTACCCCTGAAGAGGTCAAACAACTCAAACCTCCGACTAGTATTCTTAAGTCTGCTGTTAAAGGAAGACGTAACTGATTTTTTATTGTATATATCTATATTTTTTGTTTAGTTCCTCCCAGTCCTGCTCGCAATAGAATCCGATTCGATCTACCAGGAGATGTCTCACTTGATTCAACTAACCGTTCTATTCAACAAATTTATCAGGTACTTTTGAGAATACTTCGAATTGAATCACATTTTGAATAGGATACCATGAACAGTCATGAGGATGACGACGCCACAGATGAAGAGTCAGTAGATCATAAGAAGCAAGAAAAACCGTGTGAAGAAAAGAAGGTTGCCTGTGAAGAGCAAGAAGAGTCTTGTGAAGAACAAGAAGTTTCTTGTGAGATCCAAGAAGTGCCATGTGAGGAAAAGGAAGAGCCTTGTCAAAGTTCATCGGACGACATTTCTTCTGGCCAGGTTGACGATTGTCAAGAAATTATGGTTTACGAGGACTCTAGTGCTCCGTTAGTTTAATTCACCATGATTTTCCATGAAGACATTATAACAGATCACATTCTCCTGCCAAGATTGCGGATCACGAAAGTTCCAAGGACAATTCAGTACTTATTAGGTCGATGGTATGTGATTCACATTACTTTAGCAAAATTATTCGGTGTAAATGTGTAGGAAGAACAAGCTGAAGATGATGATCTTGATGAGCCAATTGAGGATCCCTTCGTTACCCATAATCTTATTAATGTGAGTTAACAATTCGCCAACGCTCCCTAGTTTTTTGTTTCAGAGAAGTGACGTTCTTCATGTTGAGATTCCTGTTCTTACTCTGCCTGTATCTAGAATTAATGAAGAAGTTCGAGCTCAGCCAGAGGTCGCGCAGAAAGTTGATCAAAGAACTCAGTTGGATACGTTGACCAAGTCGAAAGTTCAGGCGGAGACTGTTCCTGTAACAGTAACAAAGTCCGCAGACGAACTTTTGGAAGACGAAACTAAGTCGGACAATGCTGCGGCCACTTCATCTAAAGTTAAAGCTCTGGCTGAAGCTGAGCCTACGAAAGACAAAAAGCCCGAAGACCAAATTGTGGAAAGCAAAGCTCAGTCTGCTGATGATCTGGCCCCTAAGGTCATTGAACGAAAGTCTGAGAAAGTGGCTCCTACACCAACTCGCTCTTCTAGTCGCCTCCAAGAAGTTTAATTACGAAAGAGAGTTTGACATACAATTTACAATTATTGCAGAAAAGAGTAGAAAAAGCTACTGGTGCTTCCCGACGTTTATTCACTAACAACGACGAACTGAGAGATCTCATGGAGGTAATCTTTCAGCGCGTGATCATAGATTTACGATGTTCGGTTTAGGAACAAGTGAAGAAGAGCAAAATGGGTTACGTTAGAAAGAGAGCTTCGTCGGAAACGATACCTATCAATTCGTTCATTTCAAGGAAGCCTGATCTTGTCGACACTATACTTGAAGAGATTGATGGTAATTTTGCTCAGTTTGTTTATAGCTTCAAATACTACTTCAGCGCCCAAGAAAGATAGAAGGAGAAGTCGCAGTATGACTAGGATAATGGAGAAACCTACCTCTAAAGAAGAGCTCGAAATTGATACTCCTAAAGTGCTTGGTCGACCTCCCAAACCTCCCAGACTTTCACAAGATCTTCAAGTGAGTTGGAAGTTAAAGTTAATTTTGCATTTTTTGAAATCAGGCTAGTGCTGCAAGAAGAGGAAGGAGTACGACTAAGACAAAACCAGCTAAAGCTGATGACCTTTCCCCTGTTAACCTCAAACCCTTAGAAGAAGCTCAAGTTCTCTTTTTATCAAATTCACTCTCTCATAATGATCGTTTTCAGCCTTCTGCAACCAAAAGAAGTAGGAGCTCCACAAGAACTAAAGTATCCAAAGCAGCTGAATCTGTGCCACTGCCAAAGAAACAAGCAAGCGAACCACCATCTCCAGCAAGAAAACCAAGTTCTCGGAAGCTAGCAAGCACATCTCCAGTAAGTATTTTTTTAATTAAAAAAAACTTTTATAACGTTTGACCACTTGGTAATTTTTCTCATCTTCTCTTCTTCAGAGCGTAGAAAAACAAAAAGCACCTTCAAGCTCTAGGAAACGGGCTTCGTCAGGTAAATGTCGTCTCAGTGAAGCAGTTCAGAATAAAATTTTAGAAACGTATGTCACTGGTCCCACAAGTAAAAAGTTCGATCCAGCTGAAACGATTCCCGAAGAAGTGCAAGGTTCCTTACTGATAGCTTTTTTTTGCCTAATCGAAGCTGTTGTAGAGCCTAAGGTCAAGAGAAGAAGTCGTAGTGTGACTAGGACAACAGAAAAGGCTTCTTCTAGTAAAGAACTTGTGATTGCTCCTGCAGCTGAAGTGAAAGGTTCGTTGTCTCAACCTGAGCTTTCCATCATATTTGTTGACAGAAACAGCAAAGACACGTAGGAGTCGGAGTATATCTAGAGCAACTGAGAAAGCTTCTAGTCAAGAAGAGCTAGAGATAGCTCCAGAAGCTGAGAAAGCAAAAGGTATGTTTTTTTTTGCAAACCGTTCTTTCATATGATTATAGGAGCTATCAAACCAAGAAGAAGTCGCAGTAACAGCAGAGCTACGGAGAAAGTTTCTTCCAGCAAGGAAGAACTCGTCATAGCAGCTCCCATTGAAGAAAGTGAAGGTGAGCATATCAGTTGATTGTTTTTGATAAACTCCATTTGTTTCAGAGGAACCCGTGAAAAAGAGGAGAAGTCGAAGCGTTTTGAAATCTGCACCGGAAAAGCAAAGCAGCGACAACAAAGAAGAACTCGTTATAGAAACCCCAGGTCCAAAGGCTAAAAGAGTTCTAAAACGATCAAAAGCTCCAGAGGATAGTGAAGTAACACATTAAAATCATCGAAGAAGTTATCAAGTTCGTTAGGTAGTTCCAGTAAGCGCCAGAAAAGGAAGACCTTCTACTAAATCTAAAGCAGCAGAAGCTGCGGATGTTTGAATATTGACATAAATACGTGGATTATTTTGTGTATGTAAATATATTTGGATATTAATAATGAAAGTATCTTCCTACAACTGTTGATTGTAAATGCTGTTCAATACGGATAATTATTTGTAAAAATATTTGAATGTTAACTTTAGTGATTGCCTTCGTGCTCCACGGTTAGAAACACTACGGTACGTAGCCGACACAGCTGTCTATTTATTCATGGCCGGCGCGAGCAGACGAAACATACTTTTCCGCTGCTTATTTTGACAGAGCTTCGAGTATTGTCTCCAAACACATTAACTTATTATATTTTCTCGATCATCTTTTCTTCTCCTCATAGAATATTCTCTTCGCTTCCCTAATGTGATACGCTTAAGACTTCACTGCATTGCGAAATATCATCTTTGATCGCACTTTTCTAGGTAATTTCTTCTGTAGGAATGACGATGGAACCTACAAGGAATGCTCCTCGACTAACAGAACTTGAGTTAAAGAAACAGGTAAACTTCATAATCGTCACCTATAACCAATTGGCTTTTCAATTAGAAATTAGCCGAGCTCAGAGCCAATAGACAAAGGCAAGATGAGGAGCGAAGGGAAAAAATTATGGCCGCTGCGAATCTACCAGCAAATGGTATGGATTTTTTAATACTTTTGTTTTTAGTATTCTTACTCCTATCGTGTTCAGGTCGAGTAACAGCTTCTGCTGCTGAGTTACAAGAAATCTTGGCTAGTGTAGGAGTTGATCCTGCCCCACGTCTCGAGAGAACTCCAGAAAAAGCCAATGGAACTACCCAATCGGTTAGCTTTCATTCTTAATTTGATTTAAATTCTTTTTTATCATTCAGACCAATGTTTCTCCTGCTGGAGGAAACCAAATAGTCAGCGCCTCAAGAATCCAAAGTCTCGACTTCACTAATGTCCAAACTGTAGCCATCGCTTTAAAAGAATCGGTAAGTAGTTTCTATTAACAGTTTGTGCTTCATTAATTATTCCAGACAAATTACTCGAAAACTACACAAACTGATGATGAACGTGTTAGTGTAGGAGAATTCAGCTTAGGTAGCCAAGAATTTGATTATGACGATGATATGATGCACATGGATGGCGGGTTCCGTGGTTCGTACCTTTTCGTGTAACCCGTGATGATCTTATACATGTTCAGCAAGAACTCATTCGCATGACTTAGAATCACCCATGACGGAAGATCTCGCCAGTATCCTTCAGTTTCAGTTTGCCAACAAGCAGAGGGAAGAGGTTTGAGCTTCATGAAGAATTTAAAAGTATATGAAGTTAAAGGCTGACCAGACCAAGGAAAATCAGGAACCAACCCGGCCCCGCGATTTGAGTGATGAAGAGAAGAAACAAATCATGGCTACTCTCTCTTTCCAAGTTAGATTTTTTTTCTGATTTCGAAGTATTTTTTTTTCTCTAGAAATTCTTTAATTATTCTGTTAAAATCGTGGAGAGGGCTCTTGCTGAGGATGTAAGTATTGATTGTCAACGCCTCTGAGATTTATTTGTTCAGGATGGAATTTTCATTGATTATGAAAAAGACAGTTCTGGAGAAGTTGTTGCTAGCAGTGATCGTCTAGTTCTATCTCGCCAATTTTACGATAAAAAATGGACATCGAACAGGTGATTAAAAAGGAAAAGAATTGGATAATCCTGAATATGTTCAGAGAAGTTACTGGAATCGCTTTCGCTGATCAACATCCCGAGTTATTAGCTGTTTCGTATGACCAGAATATGGATTCCCCAACTGAACCTACCGGAGTTGTTGTTATTTGGAACACGAAGTTCAAATCCCAGACCCCCGAGTGAGTGATTTGAAGGTTATAACAAGTAGTTTCTGTTTTCAGATACGTTTTTCACTGTCAATCCAGACTTTTATCTGTGACATTCGCTCGTTTTCATCAAAATTTAATTATGGCCGGTTGCTATTCCGGTCAAATTTGCATGTGGGATAATCGTGTTGCAAATAAAAAGACTCCTATTAACAAGGTTCGTCACACCCCATTGAACTTATCTAAAAACTTACCATTTGAAGAGTCCCTTGAACGCCACAGCTCATACTCACCCTGTATGTGCCTTAACTGTTATTGGATCAAACAACGCTCATAACTTGGTATGTATTCATCATTCAAATGTGTTTATTCTACTTGATCGGCAGGTGTCTCTGGGATCAGATGGCCGTGTATGTACCTGGAATGTAGATAACCTCACACAACCTGTTGACGGGAAGGAGATAATGAACAAACAAGGAAAACAAGTAATGAACTGGCGAAAAATGTATCCCAACTTATCTTCTTCAGTTCCCTGTCACTTGCATGTCTTTCCCTGTTGCTGAGATGAATAACTTCGTCGTTGGTTGTGAAGATGGAAGAGTGTATGCTGTTAGCAGGCACGGAGGAGCAAGCTCATCTGCTATGGAATACATGGATTTCCCAGGTTTCCACTCCTTTTCCATATTCGTAATAATCTCGTTTACATTGCAGGCCACTTCGCCGTTGTTACAAGCGTTGCTTTCCACAGAGCTCTAGGTGCCATAGATTTTTCTCATCTCTTCTTAACGTCAAGTTGTGATTTTACTGTGAAATTATGGAGTACGAAGGTACTTATGCTCTGATACTGTTACCCTTAAACATATGCTTTCAGGATCCTCAGCTCAAGTTTTCATTTGAAGCTCATACTGATTACGTTTTCGACGTAGCTTGGTCTCCGGTCCACCCTGCGGTATTTACAACTGTTGATGCTGAGGGAAATGTAATGAGCTTGAGGAAATACGGGCTGAAAGAAATATTTCCAGCTTTTCTTATGGAATTTGAATGAGGACACGGAGGGACCTGTCTCAAAGATCAAAGTAGTAGAAGATGATAAGGTACGGCGTGTACAGTGGGCAGAGAACGGTAAGTTAAGTGCTTTTGTAGCTTAATGATCTACTCTATCAGGTCAACAACTTTGTGTCGGTGATTCAAAGGGCCATGTACACATTTATGATGTTCATGAGAGTATGTACGTGCTTAGAAGTGAAGAGTGGACTCGATTTGCTAGGTGGGTCATTTTCACAAAAGCCTTAATTGGGGGTTGTTCAGAGTCTTGGGGGATATTAAGCAATCCGCTGAAGTAGACGAGGGATCTGAGGTTATGGATCGTTTGTCTGCTGGAAGCAGCGTGAGTGCTGTAGCAGCTTTAGCAGGAGTCAATGTTTCGCCAAGACAGGCTGGAAGACCATGAACTCACAAACCATTGTGATTGCATCCTATCACTTTACTAAGTTTTATAATTTATTGGCTTTTCAGCATATTAAAATACGTGTTCCGGATGTTTTTTTAATATATACCAAATAAAATTCTAACGCTAATCTTTTTAAGACGCTCGGCGTTCCAAAGTTTATGGTTCCTTTTACTGTTTGTCGTTAACTGTCTTCCTTATATGAAAAGAGTTTCAAAGCCACATTCACTCACTCATCCGTCGCACCTAACTTTTATCGAGTAGTTTTAGCCTTGCGATTTTTTCCATCAGAATAATAAATATATTTATGTAAAAAAATTTTATGTCAAAGTGAAAGAGTATCTCAGTGTTTGTAGCTCAAAACCGTCTCTATGTACAATTCCTGAAGGAATGCTTTTCACTTTATCTACGCTTCATTGATGAGTTTGTGTAAGAAAGCAAGGAAACAACCAATATTGGGAACAAACAGCATGACCTTAAAAAGTAAATATGAAATTCGGTGAACGTTGTTCTCTCACTCTTTTCATCAATTGGTTGGTGATAACAAAAGTACCTGCCGTCATTGGCGTGCATTTGGCACATCGTTCTGAGAACATACGGAAAGTATGGATTATCTAGAAAGCAATGTTTTAATTGAACGATTATACTTCCCTGGTATGTACCTTCTCATCCGTTGCCAAAATAATGGTGTCATCATCGAGTAAAATACCAATTGTCTGATCGATCTAGATACTCAAAAATAGAAAGGGAATGCGATAAAAACACATACGCCTTCACGAACTTTACCAGGTGCCCCAAGCAGTTGGGCCATCAAGATCATTCCAAAAATGTTGAAAGAGAAAAGTTCAATCAGGAAAATGGGTGATACTAGCTTGATATAACTGCAAGCAAACATGATCTTTGATAGGTATTAGAGTTTTCGTTCTCTTTTCTTCCGTTTTGTAGTGCATGCAATGATGATAGATAACGCAAAATCCGACCGGTGAGCGCGGGTGCAAGTTTACTACAAATGAAAACAGAATTCGTCACATGTTGGCTTTTTGAAAGATTTGAAGTGCATAGGATGAAGCGCATTATATATTTATGAAATCTTTGATACCCGAATATTTCATCTCGTACCTTATTGTAATGAAGACAGAGTTAGCGATTGGCAAACAGAGTAATATAGACCCGAATCCGGTTAGTTTGCCTAGAAAAAATGAAAATGAAATTACTTGTTTCATACTCAGTTTCCTCACCCAAATGCATGTTTGTGTGTTTTATTAGTAGAGTAATGCTCAAATGACGTTTGGCAAAGGAAGTGAAAATTTCAGGTATCTATGCAAGAATCAAAGTAACACCGATTTGTCAGAAACAGCAAACCATCAACTGTTGAGCTCTCGAAGCTTTTTGTAATTCTTCATTGAAATAGGTGATTTCCCTCAACAGATGTAAATGCACCAAATAGTATATAGATAGCGCTACTAGACACGCTATCCCCATGTATATAGTAACAATCGGCTCAATTCCAAACATGGTGAAGAGATTCATATGGTATCTAAACTTAGATAATATTAAACACTGGATTGTGTTGGCGATGATGTTACCCTCGTGTTTTCTCTGATAACATAGTCTCATAAAAAATGTGCTTGAAAGCAGTGCAGACGAATCCGATCATGAACAATGCTCCGAAAATTACCATTCGAATGTGATCTTTACGGTAGGTATCAATGGAATCATCGCGAGCAAACTAAACGATAGATTGTTTCTTTTTTCCGTCCGAATTGTTAAAAACTGACTCTTAACGCTTTCAAACGTCCAAGTTGTTCTTCGAATGACTGTATAAAGCCGGTCTTTGTCCACAATAGAACACATATCGCTGAACATATTGAGAAGCCAAACATGCCAACTTCCATGTTTGCTGCGGCCCATTTGGCTGTTAACGGCTGCAGACTCACACGTTTTTACATTATGACAAGTAGAAACTTACTGGATATTCAGCAGTGATCGTAAAAATGAACTTTATACTGAACAATACAATCAGAAGAACGGCGAAAAGCGCTTGGATGACTGAAAAAGGCCAACTGCGAGACTTCCGTAATTTACAGTTATTCAAGTTTAATCCGGAACATTTACAAAAAATGCTGAAAGGCCCCATTACACAGGGATTCACCGCTACATAACCCTGAGGAAAATCGTACAATAGTTATATGCTATATAAAATATACATACCTGCGCAGAAGGAGACAGTTTCTCGTCGAAATCCATATCTGTCTTACCAAAGATTTTTAGAATACGCGAAGTGATGGAAGCAAAAGCTGAAAAGGACAAGACGAGTTATGTTTTTAACTAATTAAACAAAGAGTAGCAGAATGAAAAGGCGTCTACTGCCGAGCGGAACATCTTATAATCGATGAACCGTAACGGTTGGTAGACTATGGAAACAATAGAGCAATAAGTTTTTGAGCTATGAAGTAAGAATAATGGCACCCTTATCGCTTATATACGAAGTAGATGCAGGGATTCTATGTTTCATACAACATTCAGACAATGCCCGCCCCTTCTCTTCTATATAATGACTAACACCAGACTAATCCTAAGCAGGTGTTATAACTACTTCTACCTTGAAGATATTGAATACACAATGACCAAATGCAGACGGAACAAGTAAAATAAGACAAGAATATGACTCCTGCTGAGTGAGAGGAAATCTTAACAAAATCTCAAAATGACGGACGAGCATATTACAGTTCCGAAATAAGAAAGGCCCGAAAAGGAAGCTGAGGGGGGATGCTTTGACACTCAGGGAAGACATACGTCTTCTTTGACACTATCATCACATATCCTTCAATGCACAAATAGACAATTTCGCACAATTTGAATTTTTGGTAAACAAACCAGGAAGAGTGAGGAAAACTGTCTTAAACTTCAAAGCTTTATAGGCTCTCCCGCATTTGTGTAAGAAAGGTGCAAGCGCAATAAAAATAATGCGATGACTAATTTGTTCAAAGTTGTGCTCTGGGTTTTTTAAAAGTACTCGCCGTCGATGTAAGTCGAATAAATGTGAGTTCTACAAATAATGATTAAAAATCAGCCGTGAGTCAGGTGTGAGATAAAAATTTCATTTCCTGTTGCCGCATCGCACTATCTCTCGGAAATATAAATTTTAGGTTTTCGCTAAGACCGTGATTCATGGAAATCCGAATGCAACTAGAGAATTGATGGCCAAAAAAACAATATGAGCTTTTAATAAAACAACGGCTACTGAGGTGGCTGCTAATGATAATGAAATAGCCAAACGCCGCTGAAGCCCATGGGTATAATTTCACATAATCAAGGCTAGGAGCGCGCTGGTTTATGAGCTCGATCAAAGATTCGAGTGATATCTAGAGAATATAGACGAAAAATCATTCGAGCACGTGAGACACGCATGAATATCTTTGATTTATGCATTGATAAATGGTGATTACAGAAGCTTATCGCCGAGACAACATTAACATGAAAAGTATGTTTCAGATGTCTCCGATAAGAAATAAATACCAGATTTTCACTAACTGTTAATAACCGGTCTGAAGTACACCTGGAAACTTGATATTTGAAATGAAAAGAGCTTTGTAGTGTCAAAATAGACAGACCAGGAATATAGGGCATTATCTTAGAAAAGGTTTGTTATACTGAACTGACTTTCAAAAGTTGAACAGAACGAGAATCAAACATAGTGAAATTCGAGGGATTTGGATGAATTATCCGAGGGTGAAGAGAAAAGTCCCAATAACAGTAACAAGTCCGTCATCGCAAAATAACAATTACGGGTGTATGAACCACCTAAGCCGAACAAGTCTATCGGGCAAGGTCATAGTAGTATACCTAAAATGATGGCTTGTTCCCCGAATTGGCTGAAAAAATGTCTTGTCCTAATGCGGTGATGATAAAAACGATAGAAAAAGGTAGAAGAAGTTGTATGTCTTACACATGGGTTCAATAGAGTTTTGCCAAATCGGTGAATCCACAAATGTCTCAATAATTCATAATTGCCGACAAACTATTGTTAGATATGAAAGAGTCTCGTTGCGCTGGGATAGTTCAAAAGAGCACAGAACTGGCTGGTCGCGATTATTCAAGAAAAGAAAGTTGGATCAAAAGATCCTGCGTTGAATACATGCTGGAATTAGAAAATGATATGTACTCACCTCCACGAGTAGCAAGTTGCTCCTGGGAATTTCGGGTCTCATCCACGGATGTGATTGTAGTAATGGATGTCATCTCCATTGAATCGAGATGTGATGGCAACTACCAAACTGGTGAGCGAAGGAGGGAGGAGCCTTTATACCGTACAGAGGATGTATGATTTGCGACAAGGTTCTCATTGCTATCTACGTCGGTTAAATTCAAGGAACAAACAATGATTCAGATATTGCGAAGAGATTCTGCAATTAGATGCTATTACTAAGGATACCCGGTGAAATCAAACAACTCGTCGATTTGTACAGTTTATTAAAAAAGCATTAGGTTTTTTGCAAAAAAATCTGAATGCCAAATGAGAAGAAAAGAAAATATTTGAGTATTCAATAACGATTTGTATATTTATATGCAACTATGTATACTTCGAACAGATCATGCAAGCCAGCTCACACAGTTTCCGGCATTAAAATATCAGAAAAAGTGAAACATTTGAACATCCGCGTAAACCAGAGCAGCCATTAGATGGCATTTTGTTAGACAAATTTGGATTCTTTATTACTACACAACTTGAATGTTCTCCTGAAACTCATGAATGCTGTCCAATCTCATCTCTCATGCACTTACTTGGAAAGAGTTATAAAATCCTGGTAAAGCTGTTAGTCCTATGATTGTTTCTCCTATACCGAAGTTTGACCCGGTGAAGAGATCCCATTCAGGGATTTCAGAAATGTCCAAGTCTACAAAAAAATCATGAACAGTGTTCTATAGTAACTCAAAAGATGCTACCTTCTCTTATAGAAAAGTAATGGGTTAGTTCTTCTGTCAAAGCTATATTAGGAACCAACACTGAAGAATGGATTGTTTGGCTAGCTTTTTTGGTGATTAACCCACATTCAGAAAAAATTCTAGCATTTTGCTTAGGCACCAGCGGTGTCGAGGTAGTTGACACGCCTATTTCGAAGTCGAGGAACGAATTCAGATCTTAACAAAAGCTTCTACAGATTGATACTCTTCGAACTTATTACTTTTATCTGATTTTTTCCTTTCAGTCCATTTCTTGCTACTTTTTGGCGTTTCAGGAACAATATCAGGAGAAAGAAGTTCCTGAGAGAATTTTGTAGACCGTGTGCAAACTTAATGAGATGATACCTTGGGTGAGTCTTCCGAACAGTTAGATACAGTCATCGACAAACTCTTCGGAATGTCATCTGAGCAGTCGGAGACGGTAGTTGCTGAGCTCTTCATTTCAACTCCACTGTCCACAGATATCTAGGATGAGTTACAGAACTTTTCTTGAATATTTTACTACCGCTTCTACATGTTCTTCCGACACTACCGAGCTAGTTTTTATAGCTGATGCGTATGATTTAGATAGTTTCGTTGACGATGCATTTTGAGGCGATTCCTTAAAACGAATGAAGTTCCATTTATGAAGTTCACTATGAACCTGTGAGTCATAGAAGACTTCATTTCGCGAACAGTCGGACATATTATCATCGATGTCATTTGGATTGTAGGACATTACTAAACACAACAGTACTACTAAGCTACAAGGAGCTGCCTCACCTGATATCGCAGTCGAGTCTGTGTGATAAGTAACAGAATCACGGATATACTAAATCGGTAAGTTATGCACATTTCGCAAGAAATTGCCCTACCTCGTACTCATGATTGTAAAGATGGCTAACCGAGGAAACAGTTGATGATGAAACCTCTCGTCTTCTGCTTGTTTTTCTTCTGTAAAGTTGTTACTGTACTTCATGTCTAAGATACAACGCACGGTCGTCCTTTTTCTTCCAAATTTCCAGTTGTTTTCATAACTCCAAAATTGAGTTTAGGAAGCTCTTTAGTTTTCTTTTTTCTTGGATTCGTAGCAGGGGTGACGTTGACAGGAGGAGCAACGGTTTTTTTCTAGAAGCACCTTATTTTTTTGGGAGATTTCTTTTCATATACTTGGTTATATAGGATGATATCGTCCCGTCTAGTTGTTCCTAAACCACAACGGCATCGACACACCTTCAAAGTTTAATCTTGATAGTTGAATCGTGACAACTCAACCTTAGCAACTAAAGATTGTCCTTTTTTTTCCCAAAGGTTAGATCTTCGTTGTGCATCAGTCCAACCGCGAGCCGATCCTACATTCTTCATTGTTATACAAAAGAAATCAGAGAGTAAAACCTATGTTACTCATCAGCTTGACCAGATGATCCTCAAAAGCCCGGAAACATTGTAAGTGTATCTTAGTCTCAACATAAGGACAGCGAACATTCGAGCATTCCATTACCACACCCTCGTCACAATCCTCGGCAGTCATTCCTTAAACATTTCAATGTGAACTGTTGTAATGCAATGTTCTCTTCGATGTAAAAGGACTTTCCATGCACACATGTATAACTTTCATAGTTTTTAACACCAACCTACTGCACATTCAATCGGCTCCGGCACAGGACAGCCACATAAGGAAGGAGCATTTTCACGAGTTGTTCTTGGCTCAGAAGTTTCATGCTTTTCCTTGCCTCGAGATTTTTCACGTTTTTCATATTTCCTCCCCATTGTTAGTTCTATAAGCATGGAAACAGTATTATTTATGAAAGAAGTCAGGAACAAGTACACATCAATCAGTAAATGGGAAAGAGTAACAATTAACAAGAATATGGAAATGTCATCAACTGAACGGAGCTACTTGTGATGGTGGGAGAACTGATATATTGATGAATTTTTAATTGAGGTGGTATTTAACAGGGAAAGGCGACTTCTCGAGAGCACTAGTATTGAGATAACATAGGATACAAGACAGATTACGACGCATTTGGCTTATGTGTAAGCCTATCATTTAATGACCAGAACAATGCCGTGTTACAGACGGACCATCTGATTGTTCGAAAGAAGAAAAGAATTTATCTTACATTTAGGATCAGAACATTCATTCAAAATGTACAAACAAGGAAATCTGTTGTTCTTTCTGTCGAAATAATTTGTAAAAACGAAAACATGGATTTCACTGAACGCAAATTTGTAAGAACGCTGAGAAAACATGTACAAGAAGGGTAGCTAGGAGGTTGGGTATTGTTCGGGCGTAATCGAGGACTTTATATTAAAATTAAACAATTAGAAGTTAATACAAGTTAATTTGGATGTCGACATGAACAGTAAAAAGCAATAATATGATATTATTAACTTATTGCGAAATACAACGTGCCTTATCTAGCTGTCTGGGTATTACTAATGCGTGAACTCGAGATTTCAAACAAAAAACTTTCAAGCCAATTTTGAAATGTGGTGGAAGAGGCGAGAAGCAAAATTCAAATTAGCAATAGAGCCAGATATAACAGGAGGGCGCATATTCATTAATTTCAACTTCTTTTCTTACTGTAGATATGGTTGCATGCTGATCAATCGATTTTGGTTGAGAAATGAGTGACTTGAGTATACCCATGTGGTACTTTCTTGTTCAGTTTTGAGAACCCCTCTCAATCTCATCGCCTTTTGCATGGCACATGATATATATCAGTTCAACTCTTCAATGTTCTCTGACCATTTGGTTGGAATTCCATCGTAACGTCAGATTTTGGAGTTCTCTATCGGAGCGATGTTTTCCATTGTTTTAACATTTGCACTAGACCTTCTTGCGCAAATACCGCTTTCGGCTTCACGGCTCTATTTCGTTCCCTTCCCTCTCATCTTCCACGGTTGCTGGCTACTAGTCTTGCATTCTTAAAACATTCTTTACTTTACTGTATTTTTTATTTTCATTTACAAAGCTTTTCTAATCTGCGCAATCCGTGAGCGAGAGAGAGAAAGTGAACATATGGTCGCTTGGAGAGAACGAATGTTTTCGGCTGCGTGTATGTGTGTATGAGGTAGGCAAAGAACGTATTTCACTAATTTGACAGTAAAGGATTATGCAAATTCAAGGATTTCTATGACAACATATAAGAACATTTCAATGAAACTGTTGATCAGGATTTCCGTATCTGATGTCTCTCTCTCTCTCCCTCTCTCTCCAATTTCTTTCATATCAGATGGCTAAATCCGAGGTCATCAGCTCTTCCACTATCTATGCGGTGTCCAACTAACTAATAACTGTTGTTTATTTGACTATCGACCCTTCCTTTAATATTTCGCCCATTTATGATCAGTTTTCTTCTCATCATATACGTTTTCCGCAAGAAAGCCATCGAAACTAATTTGTCGAGACGCGTCAAGACCTTCAGGTTGTGATTTTGCGGAAATCTAGTATGTAAGTAAACAAAGTGTACTCTTCCCTGCTTTTTTTTCAATCTTAACTTTACTCTGTAAAAAAAGAAGTTGAAATTCTTCCGTTAACCTCTTTAGTTTCACATGATGCGAAGGAATGACAAATTCAAATATTTGAGTTAATCTCATCTCAATACAGCAAAATCTTGCTGACTAGTGGCGATTTTTTTTGGACGTGTTGTATGTGTCTCGGTGTAGAAAAATGTCTTTGAAACCTGTGAGATTGAAGATAATCGAAGTGACTTTTTGTAGAAAGTTTCTGCAGTTGTATACGGACGTCTTATACACACACATATATATGAATTCAGCTTTTTCTATTCCTCTCTTTTGCGATGAAATTGCATTCGCATTCTCTTATTTGACGATTAAAACTGAATTCCATTTGTTGCTTCTTAAACACTTTAAAGGTAGTTCAGTTTTCTTCATATTTATTTTGCATCTATCTATGAACCGGAAGATTAATATAAGTTTTTCTTCACCGCTCTCGTGCATATTTACTGAAAAAAAACATTTTATATAATATACTTGATTTATTGTTTAGAAAATCAATGTCAATTTACATAAACCACATATTTGCATATCTACCTCATTGATTGATTTTTTAATTCACGCGTGACTCTCTTCGTTTTCACGTAAATTATAGGTTCATTTACACAGATTGCAGATGAGCTGAACGGTTGTGCTTATTTATCTTCATTCATCATATTATAATATTCATTCTTTCTATTTTATATATTTTCAAATGATAGTAAAGAAGTAGCATTGACATCAAAACATTCTAGCCAGTCAACCAGCACCTCGCCCACTTACCTACTCACCCACTTCCCTTGTTTCGTCCCTCTTCTACTTTCTCTCGCAAATTTTCCCTTATTTTATTATATCTGTCTTCTCTTCTCTGTGGTGTATTCATTTGTATAAATTTATTTTGTTATTTCCAACAAAACCATATGTTCTGGTACGAGACTCTTTCAAACAGCGTTTAACGAGCTGTGAATGTTCAGAAATTAGATATTTTTATCTTAAAAGTTCTTTTTATGAGTCAGTTGTACGTTGTCTGGGTATGTGTGTGTGTGTATGTATGTATGTTGAGCTCCTGATGAAGCTCAAATATGAAATGACAAACATATCCCATTTGATGTAAAAACAGCAACCTTTCCTTAATATATTTAGTAATTTTCATGTTATTAATAGCTTTTTTACACCCACAACACCCTTCGTTCTTTAAATCAAAAAGTGTTCGAACAGCTCCTCTCATTTGTTTTTGTTTGTACATTTCGTTACCTCTCTTCTCACAATCTCATGTTCTACAAAATTTAAAAAAATCGATTCTTTTAAATCAATATTGACCAGAGAATATTGATGAATCTCATAATTAGTTGAAAGTTTGATGTGTTTGATTAAAGTTTCTTCAATTTTCTCGAGAAAAACGCGAAAACGAGTGGTTCACGTTGTAAAATTTTCATATTGAAACGAGAGTACAGATGATAGAATAAAGAGATCAGTAAGAAGAGTATAAGACAGGCTGGATTTGATATAAAACATCTCTAAAGAATGTAAATGTTTTGATTTTTGATTGTAATCTTAGTCCTTATGCATTCACCTCTAACACTCTCTAACCCCTGGTTGCACAAAAGAAAAATGATCGTAAAGCCCTCTAGTGGAGAGAGCACATCGATAACTGTCTAGTCAGACGATGCTCGTATTGTTCATGCGAACGACTTTTCCAGATTCGACCACTAAAAAAACTTTGTCTTATCTTTACCTGAAATCCATATACGGAGAGAGTTTGACAATTGGAGAAGTTTTCTTTCGTGTCATCAATTGATAGAGAAAAATCGTGAGAGAGCTGATGACAATCGATCGCAATTGTGACAAAGCCTATTTTCATTTTTTGTGTTCAAACTTTTCCTCTTCCAAGTGTAATTAAGCAATTGAAATATTTTATCGACTTTTTCTACACCATAATCAATATGTGCAACTAGTCCTTTTATGTTTTCCACCGAAATCTTTCTCTCTCTTCTGATTTTTGTTAATGTTAATTGGATTAGAACTATGTTCGTCTTTTTGCAGCCATGGAACGCGAAAAGAAGAGGACCAAAGAAGAAGAAGAAGAACTGGATCGCAAAATTGCTCAAATAAGGGAAAAAAACCAAAAAATCGTGGAAAGAACAAGGGTTTAGTTATATTTTTGTCATCCGTATTCTTTACCATCTCATTCTAGGAAGTAGAAGAGGACAAAGCCAAGTATGCCGTAGATGAGCAGAAAGGTGCATCGAAGGTATTCCATGAAAGTTTGTTTAGTTTGTTTTATGATATCATATGTTTAGCCAATTGTTGAATCACCTACTACAAGTCCTAAAAAGGGCGAATGGAGTAGAGAATGGGATCAGGGCAAAACTTCGTATGCTATATTGTGCCAGCTTATGAGAGATTTCTGATGTTTAGAGCAGACACATGGCGTGAAAATGTTCCATCTATTGAGTTAAGCAGTCGACTGGCCGGTCGCGGTGGGAGTCGTGGAAAATCAGGTGGTGGAGGTCGAGGCAATTCACACAACAATAAGCCACGAAATCAGCCTGATATAGTATTGTGATGGTTCAAGAACAGAATGATTCTTTGATTTCAGCAGAAGGGAAGCCGATTAGAGGGCCGCTTAACTATTCCATCGGAAGGTAAAGAGAAAGGAGACAATTCTGGAAATCGAAATGTTGGACGAGGAGGTAACAGAGCTCGTCCAACTAACACCGATTCAAGAGAAGTCACAAAGAAGGGTAAAGACTTAAAAGTCAAAATCACTAACGATAAGGTGGAAACAGTGTTTGTTATTGTATTATAATGTGTTGATTTTCCAGATTTCATCTCAAGCTAATCAGCAGCAGGCTCCGAGTCATCAGAAGCAACACAAGAGAGATAACAATCAGAAGGTAGATAATAGGAAGGAAAAGCCTGCTGGCGAACGCTTTAATAAGGTTATTCGTGCGAATAGTGTACTGTAAACGTTCATCATTCCATTTCAGGATAGAAGATCACAAAATGATGATCGTCATGTTATAAAACTTATAATTAAAAAAGCCATCGATAAGATCGAATATTTGGAAAGATGCGAAAAACGCCGTTTGAAACAAGAAGCTGACAACTCCATAGAAGTTTTCGAAACTTCAAAAGAAGATTATAGATCAGAAGGTCTTTCCATTGTTTTGTTGTATTTGTTGAGAACCATTTTGTAGAAGAACATTCTGAGAAATCTTTGGAGGATGCCGAGCAACAGATTGTGAAGGAAATTGAAAATGTGCCTGAAGACTTGACAGTTTGTGAAGAGAGCAAGCAAGAAGAAATAGAAAATGATGAAAGCAAAAACGAAGCCCAAGACGCCAACCAAAATGTCATCAAGTTGGTAGCAGAGAAGGTCCTTACTCTTGAAGTTTCTTCATAAATTGAAACAAAAAACTTATTTATTTTACTTACGACTCGGTTTGCATAACTCAGTTTTTCATTTTACGTTCTCCTTATGTACTTCAGCTGTGATTTTGCTTATACTTATCAAGTGTGCCTTGTAAAAATGAGATTTATAGCTTAATAATCTGAATAATTTATTCATATTTGTATAAAAGCAGTTTCTTAAAATAAAAATTTTTATTTTTCAATAGTGCTTTGCTAGTTGATAGAGACATCCGGATCGCTTGTGTCGTCACTGCCTTCCGTCCTCTTGTGTGAAGAGGGAAGTTCAATTCGAGGAAACAACATACGTCTTCATATGTTTCATGTCAGCATACATCGCAACTAATGATCATAAACAAAATTTGAATTTCTCTCACGTTTCCACGTTACACTACTAAGAAACATTCACCGTCATTTTCATTTACAACAGACTTGTTAAGCGGTTGTGCCCTTGGGAGGAAAAACAGAGCGATTGAAGTCCAAAAAAACACAGATTGCCAGAAACTTTTTGTTTTCTATTTTGAAGCTACATTCAAATGAGAATCGCTCAAAAATGGTACGTGGAAAGAGAGAGAGAGAGAGACCATATCGTCAGTGAGGAAAAGCTTATGAACGGAATAGAATATTAATAACAGCCATTCGATTAAAAAAAAACTTCAATCCATCCATATATGTAATAGTGATAGCAGAAAACAAACAATTAGTCGGTTATTGAACAAAAAAATACAATTAATTTCACAATTTTTCAAAAATCAATAATTCATATCCTCAGTTTAGCCCTTTGCTTATCGATTTATTGATTATTTAAATCATTTTCAGGATTCAATCTAGAGGAAGCGGTTGTGTGTGGATATATCAATCTAACTCTTAACTCTAATCAGTCTTTCCCGGTTATTAATGGCACATTTCCTCATTACAATCATCTCACAATTTTAAGTGATTTTTTTCAAATTAAAAATGTTGGAGATTGATCTACAAGATATATCAATATCCTCCTCTCACTCTTGCGAACAACAAGAGGAGGACGATTGGTCTTGTACTATGAACCAATTAAGGTATGCCTTCGTCTGTAATACGCAGTAAATAAACAAACATGTTTGAAGGATAGAGGATAGCGATTTCAACGCAATTTTTCGAAGTATTCAGGAAGCTATTGATGCGAATGTGTACCCCGAGCTCACTCCATTAGGCAGTTCTGGTCAGACTTGAACTTTCCTTCTCTTAATTTATGTAATTATTTGCATTTCAGGAACATATTTTGCTAAAGATATAAGTGGAACGAGTGTGGCTGTTTTCAAACCGAAAGATGAAGAACCATTTGCTGAGTTGAATCCCAAATGGCCGAAGTTTTTTCAAAAGTGCTTAACTATACAAATAGTAAATTGAATGACTTAATATTGTTCAATATGTTTTAGAATGCTTTGTTTCTGCTGTTTTGGAAGAGCCTGTCTTATTGCTAACAGCGGCTATCTATCAGAGGCTGGAGCCAGTTATGTCGACTCAATGCTTCAAGTTAGTTTTATTTTCAACTCTCCCTGAATTTCATCATCTGCTCCCTGCCTGCAGTTAGAAATTGTACCGAAGACTCGAGTGGTTAAATTGGCTTCACCGTCCTTTTACTATTCGCGATGGTACGGAAGAAACATTGTGAAACCCAAGGAAGGAAGTCTTCAGGTTTTCAACTGTTTTTTCCTTTCATTTTATTTCCTAATTGCAGCTTTTTGTTAATGGTTACGAACGAGCTGAAACTGTATTCGGGCGCTGGGATTATAATAAAGAACTTTTAAGTTCAGAGGAAGAAGTGAGGTATGGAATGTTCGCGATTGTTCAAGGTATACAGCTTGTCTTTCTAGATTCACAGAACTATTTCAAAGGATGTGCGTCTTGGATTATATAATAAGAAATACTGATAGACATCTAGATAATCTGCTCATTAGGTTTCTATGGACGAACCCTTTTTCCATTTGTTTTTTTGTTAATTCAGACATGTGCCTGGGAAAGAATTAGAAATAGCGGCGATTGATAATGGTTTGGCTTTCCCAGTCCGACATCCGGAATCAGCAAGTCGTTTTCGAACTTTTCCATTCCGTTGGGCGAATCTTAAGTGGGCTCAAAAGGTATGATCTTTGAATAAATGAATGAAATGGGCTGATTTTTAGGATTGGGATGAAAGCTTAAGAGAACATCTTCTCGAAGTTATAACGCCACATTTCACTCATGAATTATGCAAAGTATTACAAGTGAGGCTATTTATATAAAAGTCAGATGATATTTTAATACATCATTATTATTATTCAGGAGCTATTTTCTAATAATTCTATAAATAATCGAGTTCTGATTGAAAAACAGCTCAGAATTGTTCGCGGCCAGGTAATGCAGGCAGCTTTTTGTTCTTTTGTCAATAAATGCTTTCTTAAAGTTATGGAATCTGAGAAAAGCCCTGATCAACAACGATCCGCCCGCTGTCATGTCCAAGCTAGAACCTGTAACTCTAATCCGACGGTTTGTCATTTTTGAATTCTTAGCTCGTCTTTTATTCTATTTCTACTAATTCATCATATCTGAAAGATATTTTGAAAATACCAAAGAGAAGCTAAAGATTATTTTAACAGACATGGCCGTAAGCATCAAAATTCTGATGATTGGTTGGAGTGGTTTCGTTTGAAATCTGTTGATTATGGAGACCGTAGTTGTTGCTGAGATATGCAAAAAACGAAATCATCTCGCCCCCCTATCTACCATAAATGGACCACAGGCAGAAAGACAAGACAGACGTTTGAAATAAATCGCTTGTAATAATATCTTTTCACATCTAAGATTCCACGTGAACACGTAAATATATTTTTAATATGAAATTTCATTAATTCCCTTCGCTGGAGATTTTTGAAGAAACGATGCAGCAGGATGTGAATGAGCATATCCTGGAACCATTCGGAAAACGAAAGTTTCAAGGGGATTTTCTTGAATCTTTCAGAAGTAGAAGTTGAAAACAGCATTCTCCACTTGTGCATTAACTATTAGACGCTTGAACCAGCGTAGCATAGAATTTGGTTCTGGGAAACGCAGAAGCATCTGTTTTTCGTGTTCTGCTAGTTTCTGATTAAAAAAAGTGAATTTATCAAATCTCCGTATATGGTAGTTCTCATGTGGATGCATGGATGTAATGCTGGCCCGACAGAGGCACAGCGTAAATGGGAAGTTTTCAAAGCTCTCAGCTAATTTTTAGTCACAAAAAAACGAAATATAACTTAATTGTTTACAGATCTTCGTCATTATCCCTTATGCCGCCTACATGAAAGATTCTTCCTAAGAACAAAGAACAGATTATTTTAATAAAATAAACAAGCATTCGAGTAAGCTTCCCTCTTCTCCCACTTATCCAGGCTCCAGCTGGATGTATGGATGTTGACCCTCCTGCTAATTAACCACTAAATATTCCTATTTCCTCCTATTTCATAACTTCTGAAGATAAGACGGATCTCTCTCTCTGACGAATAGGCTACCATGTGATGATGTTTCCCTCATATAGACTCCTCCCTCTTCGACTCTCAAATTTCCATTCAGCTACCTCCTGCTGCTCCTTCATTTGAGGCGGCTTTCCCTCCCAATACACACATACACACACGAGTAAGATCTCTACATTTTGTTTATTAACAACGTTATTTCAGCCTATGCGCTACAAGTCAGGCACATGCGATTCATCTCATGACCGCACTTTCTGACACAAGCGAACTCTATTCGATTTCGAAAGAAACGTTAAATTAATAATACGTACATGTGATGTGGAATCATTCAAAGCAATCCTCTGTTCTTTTCTTCCTATCCTCTTATTCGACACCAGCATATCAATGCCCAAAGATTGCTCAAAAACAATTCTTCTGATAATGAAGAACATCCTCGTCACCTGACGTCCTAACTGTTTATACTTTAGAAAGATATGATGTGAAGTACACGATCTACTATACTTTTCTCTTTATAGTATGGTTCATCAGGCTTACATCTAGGCATATCCTTTTTCTCTCTCTCTTTCCTTCCCTTTCTCTCTCTCTTGTTCTCTCTCATCTCGGTCTCTTACTCTTTCTTTCTCTGTCCATCTACTCAAATACTTATCCTCTTCCATATATCTAACTATATGTGCTTCATGTGACATATAGTAGAGTTCAATCTCCATAAAAATATACCAAAAAAGAATATAATCCACATTTCATTATTTTTTAAATAATAATGTAATTTGGATGGAAATTTTTCTAATAATTCCTCACACAACATATGATTCGATGTAATATTCCCATTGAATTCTTGTGAATTCGATAATAAACATCGTCGAAGAAGCAAATAAAGTGCACGTGGATGTCTTTACGCATCAGAACTCGTGTATGCTAATGAGGAATATTCAGATAATTGAAACACGTGAAACACGTGGGCGGTTGTGGATTCATTGTTTTCCAGCTCACGCACATGCGCGCGCACACACACACACACACACACACACTCACACACAGACACAGACACACACTGTCATAGACTCACAGAACGGTTGATGGAACATCTAAAGTTCAGTTGCTTGAACGATGTCTCATCTTTGATATCGAACGAAACAAAATTTTCTTTGTTTAAGTTCAGTTTCTAGCAAAAACTACGTTGGCCCTTTCCATTATCATGTTGCCATTCCTTTCCTCTCTTTTGTATTCTTATATGAAAAAAACTGATACAAAAGAATAACTCGAAAGGTCATTAACATAATCAGATAAATGGCACGTAAACTCCACATCTTCATCCAATCTGCTTATCATGCTATCCAATCATCATTGACGGCAGTCGTGCCATAAAGAGCAATGCAACAATCTGCTATTGTCAATGTATTCTTGAATAATCAGAATAATTTCAATTTTAACAACTATTATATTTTATTTCAAGCATGCTGTTGTTCTTTTTTTGTACTCGACTCAACGAATATCTTGTTCACACCTTCTTTCTATCCATTTCACTCTCTCCGTTCTCATTTTTTTGCTGTACGCGTTCATTTCCTGCCCAGAGATAAATGGAAGCACATCTGCTTTTTAGCGGCTCGTCTTCCGCTCTACCATAAGTTGTAAAAACGGAAATGAGCTCATGTTGTAGCTTCAAGTTCAATCTGTTTTTCATCGGCTTTTTGTTGATTTATACGTTCAAACAGTTCAGAGTCATTAGTCATTCTCACTTCTTTCGTCCAAAGAGCAGTTTTCAATCTGCGAAGAGTTCTTGTCTTGAATTATCTTCTGAAAGCCGTGATGTATTACCGTTGAAAAACAGAGAGAGAGTGAGTGTGAAAGTTAAACCTGTAGAGGCAGGACCAGTGACGAAAGGCGATAGAACGATTTGAGAGGGAAATAGAAGTATGTGGGAAAATAATCGAAGCTACTTGAACTTTGTATCTTCTAGAGAGTTGATATCCAATATTTTTCCTAATGCAACCTGTGTGCCCTTTAGACGACTTCCTCATATCTTATATATTTGTAATTTACTCCTTTTCCATTCTTTTCTCATTGACGTCATTATACTATCTCTGAGTTCTCTAGTTAAACGTCTTTTTCATCCATGCCGATGGGTGGAGCTTAATCGACACCGTTTTTATACGCCGATTGTCAAGGTGAGCCATATAATCTTGAGCATCAAGACGATTTTGTGTTTGGCGAGGTTTGTGCGAATAATAATTGGCCGAGTCAGTAACATTTCTTTCGTCATTAGTCAAAGATCCTCTCCATCATATTCTTATTCATCTTATCTGCCTCATTCCCTCTTTCATCCTCTCACAGCCAAAAAACAATATAAAGAGAGAAAGAAAGAGTAAGAGAGAGAGTATATGATATAGCAGTCATCATCTCATTTCTCGGGTGTACGTGACACTCACGTGATTTTAATGGCCTTTTCTACAAGGTTCTGCTAACCATATACATACATATATAATAAGTATCTCTGCTCTATCTCACTTCTTGGGAGATTGTTTTTTTAATCGTTAAAACTTCATTTTTTATTATCTGCCTGTCTCAATACACATGAATTATTTGCTATTAAGTACCATTTTTGATTAAAAATTTAAGGAATTTTGATGTGATCTCTTGAATGTTCCAATTGTCTTTCAATTGACCACAAAAGTCCATACAAACACATCTTTCTCTCTATCTCTTTCTCTCTCTCTCTCTCTCTTCCTCCTTCTTTTCTCTCTCTCTCTCAATCCCTCCCAATCCCTCTTTATCTCTGTGAGTCGACCACAGAAAGAGCATTGTTGAAATCTCAAAAAATCTTTTATTTTTTTCCTCCTTTTCTTTCCTACATCTCATCTCATATATACCATAATAACAGTGTTGATGTCCTTTCAGCCCATATCTATTTCAACAACTACTACTACTACCGCATATGATGTTTCTCCTATCTATTTTGTAGACAAAACTACAAATAGAAACGACATTCGACTTTATAAAGATGAAAATTATGTTTTTAGAAGCCTATTGACAGCTCTGATTTACCATCTCATTCAGTAATTAACATATTTTTGACGTGTCTTACGTCTTACTTACGTGAAGTTCACGTCAATTGACGTTCATCAGTTTTGCGAGATAGACAGGAGCTGAAGCGGTTGTGAAATATTAATTGAGAAATACATTTTTTTGTTGTTTTTTTACAATAAATAATCTAAATCAAGAGGTTAAAAACAACTTTCTCTCTTTCTCACTCTCTATCTCCCTCTCTCTCCCTCTCTCTATCTCTCTTTCTCTCTCTCTGTATCATTCGTCTCAGTTATACCACTAACGTCATTTCTGGACATTTGATCATCATTGTATTCGCTTTTTTTATTTTTTAATCCTTCTTCATAGTGTTATCTTTATCTCTCTCCCTCCCACCAGTTCTGACTTTCCTCTCTCTTCCTCTTTCTCTTCTGGACAGCTTCGTCTTGTTATCTTCTACCCTTTCCTAGCCTTTTCTTTCTTTATCTCTTTCTCCCCCTATCTCTCATCAAATTCTTTAATTTTATAATAATAATAATAATAATAAGATGTAATGATCAATTCTACTTTCTATTTTGTAATCTTCTTATCCATTTTTGGATGAAAAATAATCTTTTTTCGTCTTCATCATCTTGTTTTCCTCTAACACAGTGGAATGTGCAAAGTCAATCTGCTCAGCACACTCTTCGCTCCTGATCAGCGTGTTACTCATGCAAAATCATAAGATTTCTGAAATTGCTGCTCTTGATTGACGTATTCATAAGGATCAATGAGATGAAGAGGCACAATTTTAGAAATCTGTCCTTTCACATCTCACATCTTACTCGTTTTCTCAGTGTACTTCTTTTTTAATTACTTCGTTTTGGAACAGATCTCTTCTTTTTTATTCCTCACACTCTCAGCAGTCGGCAGTTTCATTTAGTTCATTTGCAGACGTATAGGATGAAACTTCAAGTTACAATTCTTTTGTGCTTATGCCTTGCCAGTTCGTCTTCTCTCCGTCAATGGCCAAGATTTTGTGGATCTCGTCTGACTAAATTTCTTGCTGAACAATGCCCGTATGCAATTTTTATTTCAAAAAAGTTTTTTTCATACCCATGCTCATTGCAGACAAGCAACTATGGAATGCCCCGAAACAGATGATGAAGAACTTAGTCTAGTCTCACGTAAGTCCCTTTCAAGTCAATTCTTCCAAATCTTCCATTCATTTTGCTTATTTTTGTTTCCTTGCTCAGCCCAAAACAATCGTTTCTTACTTTCAGAAGTCGTTGATTGTTGTCTGAAGCCATGCAGTATCGAAGCAGTTCGCCAACTCTGTTGCACCTACGCCAAGGAGCAGATGGGAGCTGCAAAGCCCGTAAGTATTCTAGAATGATTTGTGATTATTTAAACTCTTTGTTTTTAAAGCTGAATAGCTAGACAGAAAAAGCGAATTAAAAGTTAAATATAAAACAGGCTGAAAGCAAAAAAGTTATTTTGAAGGAAATGAGAGAGGAAGACGAATCAAATTGCTGACGTCTGACTGTTTTTTCATTTTTTCAGGTAAAATTTACTGCAAGTGACATCTATATGCTGAAGGAAGGAACTAATTCTTGAATGAATTCACGTTTTTCCAATGTCAAATGTTGATAGATGACCTCTAATCTTACAAGAAAGAGTTTTCACCATCACCCACCCAGCCGTTCCTCGCTTGCCCCCCTCCCACCTTCCAGCTACCATCGTCGTCGTCGTCGTCGTTTTTGATTTCTTATAATAATATCATTGATAAAAATGTGTTTGAAAAAAGCTATTTGACAATGAAATCAATCAATCAGCATAGTTTATTGTTACTTCGATCTCATATTCTTATTTATTTATACTATTAATTTAAATAAAGAACATATGATAAGTGTTGAAACGGATAGCATACTATTCGAGTTCCTGTTCTTCTTCGAATGATATTCTTGTTTCACATCAAAGCCCGGCTGGAAGTACGGATCGAAACCAAACTTATCCTCATCATCATGATCAGCTGGGTCCATTTCGAATATTTTCACATTGAAGTCTGCATCTTCACTTTCACGCTCTCCATCAAAGACAATTGAACGTAGTTTTCTAGCTAAATGAGAAAAATATATTTTGATGAGACAAATCATTTCAAGCTTACCATAATCTGAAAGTGTGTTTATGGCCGAATCAAGTAAAGATGTTGAGTTAGTAGAGTACTCGTCGTCGTTTCTGTCCTCAGACGTCGTTGACGCCATTTCTTTTGGAGATATAGTTGTTGACTGTACAATCTATAATACAAAAACGTATTTTTAGACAAATGAGCTCTGCTACATACCCAAATAAGGAAAAACAGCGGAAGGACATGCTTGATTGAGATCATTATCAAGTTTCTTTGGGCATTATATTAAACGTCTTTTTATACCTTCGCGACTCATTTTCATCCGAATAACAACTATAAATAAACATTTTTATTTACTTTTTCATCTTCAACAATACACATTTTCAATTAAAATAATAATAAAAAATACATTTAAAGCTTTTTGTTTTTCATAAAGTTGTTGCTTCCAACGATGAATAGCATAATCCCGTGTAGTTACAGATCGGCTTCAAGTAATGATCCACTCGTGTGAATCTGATGGATATTCCGTTATATTTCTAGATAACAACCTCGATATCTGAATACCTTCCTAACATATTTGCTGGACATCCAGTTGTTCCAAATGACGTCATTGCTATGAGTGTAGCTCTTCCTTTAGGATCTCGTTGTTCCATTCCTGATCCACTATCTCCCTATAAACATCTTTGACTAAACGAGGAACTGAATATATGATAGAAATACATGACAGATTCTGGGAGTATTGTAGTCCGTTGGGTTCATGGAAGTAGCACATAACAGATCAGCTGCTTCATGTGGCAACTGTAAGCTCTATATTTAGAATCTTTCTTGTTTATCAGTTTATAAACCTTATCGCTCCATGGTCTTCGACAAAACTTATCAACCATCATTGGTACTTCATGAATCTTGGGACCGCTTTCTTTAAAAACTTAAAAACAATAAAATTGAAATATTTTAATTTTAAATTCGTTGGCATACTGTCGCTCCTTCCCCAGCCGGAGACCATCAGAGTCTTCTGAATAGTAGGACGAACAGAGGGAAGACATATAGGAGAAACTCGTTCATTAAATTTAATACTGAAAAACAGATATTTTTAAATTTCAAGAAATCATTATACCTGTGCTCCAATTCTATAATTGCGATATCGTTACCATTTTGACATTGTTGAGCCGCGAAATCTCCATTCAGCAGTACACTTCGAATCTTGAAAATGCATTAGAAGAAATGTATTTTTGATTATTTCATCAGTTCATACTTTGTTTTTGTAAACATCAGCTTTATAGCAATCTGGATGATTGGGATGATCGTCACTTTCTCCGCGAATACACTGACCTCCATAAACTACTACTCGTTGATGTAAGTCATCGATTGAACGATAAGCTGCAGCTCTATAACGATTTCATTTATGAAAAGCACATAACTACACATTTGCATAATAATAATCATCATTAGGACATTCTTATGAGCGTTTTGGCGTTAGTACGTCACGTGGATTTTTCACGTGACGTCTGATGCGTGAAGAAAGGAAGTGCATATCATGACATCATTTTTTCATTTATACTATCTTTGAAGCGGTTGCATTCAATTAAAATCAATTTCTTATCAAAAGGCAAAGAAATAGGGAAGGGACGTCACGAGTACTCTTGTTCAAAACCTACAGACAGCTTGATCCAGATCCCATTTGAAATTTCATAAATCCATGAGCTACAGTAAGAATATGATAAGGTGATATAATGGTTCCACCTAATCGATGTTGATCCTTAACTATGTATGTTATAGATGGAATTTGAAGATAGCTTTACATGTAACAGTAATGAAACAGCCCATGGATAATGAGATGAATTAGCTTTACTTGAAAATCCGCATTTGTTAGAGATCTCTTCACTCTCCTCATACGACAGAAGGGATGATTCTCGAACTGAAACACCGTAGACAAAAGTATCAGAAGACAAAGCAAAGAAGAGAAGCTTAACATGAGAAACAAACTCACATGGCTTTCCTATCCATATAGGAGTAAAAGCAGTATTAACATAGAAGAACGTTGATAATATAATATATTTATACATAAGACTAAATTATACTATGAAGTTATATGTTATATATATAGCCTTAGGGTAGTACAATTACGAGATTTGATATGAAATCTTGTTGATGGCAGGTTAAGCAACTAGTAAAAACCTGTTGAAGTCGAATACAATCAACACATATAACATAATGAAAGAAAATAAGAAACTGACAGTTTCCGTTGGGTACAGAGGGCGGATGCCTTTTGGCATATTTGCAAATCTGTTTAACCCAAATATCAGTTGACAAGGTAGACAAGGTCATGCGAATGATAGAATATGTTACAACAGCTGATTGGTTTTTATGTTTTCATTAGAATAATTCAAAACTACATGACTGATTACTCGGGAAATACTTATTCTTGAAATATAGAACGGCAAGCCAAAACGGTAAGGCGCTAAACCAGATTACGGTATAGATGCATATCAGCGATACATCACAGAAATAGTGACTCACAAATTCTCTTATCTGTCAAAAATAAATGAGACAGTTCTTATAATCGATTATGCAAATGGCATATATTTACCCTGGAGTTGTTGGGTTCAGCTTCTTCCGATAAGCCATTCAACGAGACATCCTTAAACAAAATTGACGTTATATTCAAATTCATTGTAATAAACAAAAAAATTTTTTTTCTGATTACTAAATTCACCTCTAATCTATCCTCCTCTGAAACAACTAAATATTCTGTCTGAAAATAATATTTTAATCTAAAATGCATCTTTAAACCTCCGCTTGCTGGCCATAGCGTTGAGAATTTTCCATTACAACTATAACACGATATCATAAGGAAATGATGAAGTTAAAGATTCTGTCGTCTAACGACCCACACACACACATACACACACACACACACATCACTTATATACTAAAGTAGATATACTAAGACAGAAGACAGAAAAAAATCAAAAATTTCATTCAGTTGGACGGAAGAAACATGGGAAACATACAACCGAATGGTTTATCAGTTTCTTCTCTCCACAATTGGACCGCTTTTATGATTTTATTTACTTTTGATGAAAATAAAGATGAAAAAAAAAAGATTTTTTTATAGTACTTCTCTCCTCATCTTAAGAAAACACATAGATCAGCAGTTATTTCCATTTTCTAAGAACTATTTTGAATTTCTTAAACATTTGATTGTATTGAAAATGGATTGACTATGTGATGAATGCAACCGCTCTCTCTGTTTGTTGAGGTTGAAAATGAACTTCCCGCTTGCCACCGTTTCACATTCTGTTTCCACGTGTGTGTTTTCACGTCAACTTGATGCTAATGAGATGTGGTAAAGGGAGAAGAATGAGTTAAGGAATATATTTATATATCTGAATGTAATTTATAAATAATATTTTCTAGATAACAAGCTTGTACTAGATTAGATATAATCAATGTTTTCCGGCATTGCACTATGTGTTCTAATAAAATATTCTTTTTAGGTGAGTATGTGTCCCCTCGACTCTCTCTCCCTCATGCTCTTGGTTCCCTTTGAGTGTGTTAAAGCATCTAATTCAAATTCCAATATGTAATACTATTAGAAAGATCAACATTTAAATAAACATAAACTAATCATCTCCACCCTCGTAACGGCTTATCCCATAACTTCATCCACCCTCTCACCTTCCAACTTGTCCGAGCCATTCATTGAAATGCTAATCGGTTTACATTAAAAAAAAATATTTTTTGTGCATCCTCGTTGAAACAACAATGATCAACATCTTGTTTATAAGAAATGGAGATTGAAGGAATAATTCAAACGTCTCAACTCTGCATATGGTTTGCTTGTTGACTTATCAAATAAGGCATTCATTTTGTTTTCTGCATCCGTAACCCCCCTTCATTCCCATACCACCATCACCTCACAACTCCCCTATTTTGGATTACTTTTACTTCTTTTTCAATCATCTAAAGCCTTTTTAGTGACTTCATTCACAACAACAACCATTTGCTACAAATCATATTTGGATGTTTGTCTTTGACCGTTTGATCTCTCTCTCACCCAAAGCTTCTTCATCAATGAGTTTGTATCAATTTTCATATTTTAAGTGAATAATCGACAACACAAATCATAACTGTTCTAGACCAAATATACAAAGAGAAAGAAAAAGATTGGAAAAGAGATGAAGAGAAAGAGAGAGAGAAATACTATGTGAGGTAAAGAGAATAGGGGGAGGGTGAAAAAAAAATAAAAGAAGAGAATGAGGAAATGATGAAGTTCACTCGAGGTCCACGAGGAGGGAGGGGCTCAGCAGCCAAGAAGGAACGGTGGGCGGCCCATTTCCAGCACAAACGCAGATGTCGTCCTCATCGTTGTTGGTTAGTTGTGATTTTTTTCTTCAAAAACTTTGTATTGAGAAAGTTTCGAAAACATAATTTATTATTTTATATTAGAAGACTATAATTAAAACTGTCTGTCCTTGTCTGTTTTTTACTTGTTAAGAGGTTTTGTTGTTGTCTTTAGGCAGCCGAACAATCATGAGAGGTAGAGAGAGACCCTAATAAAGGAGGTAAGGAAAAGAGAAAGAGAGAAAAAGAGAGAGAGAGGTTGAGTAAAGTTTTGGTCATTCATTCCTCGTTTATCAGCTACAATAGGTTCAGAACATCGTTTTTCCAAACAACTTTTGTATAAAATTTTTTTCTACAGTTCCATCTTAAGTCAATTGTTTTTCTTCCAAAATTCATATCTGCTAAGATCATCTGAATAATATTGATCAAACATCTGGTTATAAGACTATTCATATTTGGTTAAAATAAATTTTAAACAAGTCCTAGTTGTAGAAAACGAGAAGTAAAAAATCGGATCTTCAGATCCATCAGAAGAGGTTCCGGAGCCGTTTTGCCTATTTTCAACTCCGATGAGCAAGGTTGCAAACCTCAACAACTTGTAATCTTTTAAAAAATTTTAATCTGTATGTTTATTTATTTTATAAAGTATATATATTGAAAATGCTTTTTTGGCTCTTTTTTGCTCATCACAATGTAGACAGCGAAAAGACAGAAAACGAAAGAACGAAAAGGTCTTCCCTCGTTTTTCAACTACTTTCCTTATCCTTCTTCCTGTCTATGTGACATCATTGAACTTTGTATGAGAAAGTAAGATAGATTGATATTAATAGAAGAGAAGAGCTGCAACTTCTCTTAAAACAAGCCAGTCATGAGGTTCTCACATCATACTCTCTCAATTCATAACTCTCTTTTGACTTCGAATAATTAATTGTTTTAAGATTTTATCGCTTAGGAAAACTTTTGAAAGACGAGACCTACGATTCCTTTCTTTCAACTTCTTCCATCGTTTTTTTAATTTTTCGTGTTCTTCCTTGGACAAGCCATCAATTTCCAATGAAATTTCCCCCAAATGTTTTATTTTGGAAAAAATCACTTGAGAAATGGATTGTTCTTTCATGAACACCGTGACGGCTGTCACTGCGGAAGTCTTTCCTAGACATCCAACCCCCTACCCCTTACACCTTCACACCTTAGATATCTATCAGAGCAATAGATTTACATATGTTCTGTACTTTTGTTCATTTTCTGAGGAAAAATTCCATTTTCTATCTTGCCTCCTCCTCCTCCTCACTCCCCCATGATCGTCCAATCTTGAACTTTTAAACCAAAAACAAATAAAATGAAGAAGGGAGACCAAGAAGGGAAGAGATGAAAAAAAAATTTCGATCATCAATTCTGATTTGTTCGAACTCGATGGTCTACCGCTTTCGGTATTTTCTAGTACAAAGGAAAAAGATAGAGATAGATAGACATCTTTCATGATTTTTCTAACCTTCACACCTTTCTGGGGAATTGGTTATGAACGGAATTTATTTGATTTCAGAATGCAAGTGACGTCATTCACAATGTTCTTCGAGAAGCTTTTATTGCTGCACAGATAGACAACTTGACTCAAACAATTGTTGAAATGGAAAAACCACCTAAATGGCAAAGTGAGTTTTGTTTTACATAGAGAGAGAAAGAGTCAAAATAAGAGATAAAAAGAGGAAGGAGGGTGATCGACTAAAGTTTGTGAGTGAGGGTGGGCGCAGCACCTGTTTATGAACAGAAAAACCAAAGCTGTATCTCATTATTCTGCTTCTGTAGATCACCATGTCCTCTAAGGTGAAATTGACAAGCCACCGCAATGATGAAATGAGTGAAGAATCAACAGACGATTGGAAAACAAAAAAAAAATGAGAAAACAGCTCAAATGTACCAACTTCGCTCAGAAAATATCAATAAAATTGAATTTTTATGGTTCAAATCTTCTCTTCTGATTTATGCGAATCGTTAAGCAAAAAATATTTGGCAAATCGAGAGAGCGGCTATGAGGAAATTCGAGTAATAGAAGGAATAGGGAGAGAGTGCGAGCAGAAGTGAAAGAGTTATCAAATCTACAGCGAATTGAGAGCATTATGATACAAGGGGAATGACGAGAAGAGATAGAAGAGACTGGATACAGGGATAGATTGCATGAGGGAGAGTTTGCAAATGTAAGTAACCATGAAAGTATTATGTTTTGCACCCTCTAATCTCTTGTCCACATAATCCACAAACGAATAAAGCCTTTCGTGTCTCTACTTCGCACCAAACGATTCTTGGCACAAGAAGTTGGTAGCCTAATGTTCTAAGAAGACAAGTTTATTTGTTTTTTGTTTTCTTTTCTATCGTCATGTCTATTTGTTTTGAAATACAGAAAAAAAAAACATTTTTCAGCATGGGGAATTGGATTATCAATTGTTTCGGTGTGTTCTTATGCAGCTCCATTAGGGATTCTCGTGTTGCCATGTCTATCAGCCTCATTATATGAGCGAATTATGACATTTTTGATAGCACTAGGCATAGGAGCACTAAGTGGAAGTACAATGTTCATTATGTTGCCTCAGGTAATTCTTTTTTCAATTCATGAGAAGAAGAAATTATGATCATCTACACAATGCAATGACCATGTTTGCGTGCTCCATTCACGCAACACTCGCTTGTCATTATTACATTTTCATCCTTTTTTGGAAAAGAATGATTTGAGAAGACACTCAAAAGAAATGCTCATTAACAACGTGTCAACTATCTTAAGATTTCGAATGAAGGAGATGAACGCGAGTCGTCCTCTAACTTCAAGAGCTTTTAACTTCACTCTAATTTGTTTATATACAAACATGACATACATAAAATCTTCTAAAACAAAAGCAAAGAGGGTTTTCGAAGTCATAAAAATCTTATTTTTTGTTCATTTCGGAACAAATAAGAAATCAGCATAACAAATCAGAATACATCCACGTGGCTTTTACACGTGTTCACAGCACGAATAATGAAAACCATTTCGAAGGTATTCTAACCACATATCGGTTGTACGGTCGTTATAAACAGAGAAAAATGTGATCTTATAGTTTTCAAGCTTCATGTTTCAGGCATTCAACCTACAATCCTTAGATGATTTTCAATACCATGATAAGGCCGGTATTATACTCGCAGCTGTTTATCTGTTCTTTTCCGTTGATCGAATTCTTCAATACATTCTGGAGATACGTCGTGTACGTTTTCAATCACTGCTCATATTCTCTAGCAGCTCTTGGGCCATCTAACTATATCATATAAATTATAGAGAAAGCAAGCCAAGCGCAAAGTACATCAATCTACATTAGCTTCTATAATGAATGAAAATCCAGCTGTTAAGGTTGAACATCTTTAAGATTTCAAATGAGCTGTATGATTGTTAAGATTCGAAGTCCAACGGAAGAAACAACCATCAGTCACAATGATTCTGACATATCGAAACAATATGTTGAACATCATATTCCAAATGATCAATCAAGTTCATATTTCAAGGAGAAGAAGCATGATAAGCAAATAGAAAACATGGAGAAAGCTCAATTAGTCGTTCGTTTCCCGTTATTTCTATCTTCTATCAATGTTTTTGTTTTTTCAGGAAGATCTTGAAGTTGCAATGGTTAACAATGCTCTCGTTCGAACGGTAAAAATCAGAGAAAAAAAAATAGCTTTTAACTCGAAATTTGCAATTCCAGTTTTCACAACGTCGTCAAGTGGCTGTCATAACTACTGTAGATGATATTGAGTATGAGAATCGGGAAGAGAAAGTTGAAAAGAAGGTAACAAAATGAATAAACTTTACAGAGTAAATATTATTATTTTGAAAACAATAGAATGGGCAATTTCTTGAAGTTGTTAATAATGGCTTACAAAGAACGTTATCGTTAAGAAAATCCAATTCGTCTATTGACTCAAAGACATCAAATAAGCAACTACCGGTTAAATCTCCTTTTCATTTCCTTTTTTTATGTTTTTTTACATTTCAGAAAGATGATGATGAGATTTCTGTTTCTGTTAAGATCGTAGAGAAAAAAACAATCGCCCCAGCAAACATTGAAGTAGCTTCAGTAGCTTACATGATCATATTTGGTAGTAGTGCTAATAACTTTGTTGATGGAATGAGTATGGGTAGGCTGTTTTTATCGGTTATAGAGATTTTCATGATTTTCTATAGGTGCTGCCTTTTCTGATAACCTTATGAGAGGTATGTCTATTGGTATAGCTGTTATCTCTCAACAGTTCCCTCAAGAGCTCGGTATTTCGATTCATCCAAAAATGAACCTTTCTTACTTCCTCTTATTCAAGGTACATTGGCTATTCTGGTAAAATCAGGATTGGGATTACGTAGAACTCTGCTATTTAATCTCATTCCAATCATTCTATCATATTTGGGATTTGTAATTGGAGTTCTATTAGACAACGTTGATAGTGGATATGATGATTACATATTCGCCATCTCATCAGGAATGTACATGTATATCTTTCTTGGAACATTGGTTCGGGCAACTCCAGTATGATATCATCAACTCATCATTTGATATTCAGATACCGGAAATACGTGACTCGACAAATGAGCTGATCAAGCAAAATCTGAAAGAAAGTATATTGGTTACAGCACTACAAGTACTCGGAATTGGTTCAGGCATTACATTGATGTATGCCATGAGCATAGTTGATGTGTCTGTGGTTTGAAAATCATTTTTCTATATTCTAATTGCATATGCATAGATTGTAAATAATTTTAATTTTATTTTCAAGCTTTCATACATTCTGTGTTTCCTCTACCAATTGTGTATGCCCCATGGGCATTAAGACTTTCCATTTTGAAGCTTAAACTCATTGTTTCCCAGTGACGTCATCGCTTGACGCTTTTACAGTCAGTCTTTATCACTTAAATACGGGTAATGCTTGTTTAAAGGCCAAATAAAGTAATAAAGATTCTAGACGTCGTAATTTGAATATTTTCTTGAATGCACACGTGGCAGAGCCACGTGAGTAACTGAACTCCCTCAAATTCAAATCAATTTATTTCATCAACGAAATAGAGCGGTTGCATCCTCTGTCAGAAACAACAATATTTATTTTAGAAAAATTGGGAGAAAAGAAAAAGAGGAAAACTGGCTCATTTTAGAACTTTAGTCTTTTGACTTCCTGGACGACCAGCAAATGGGAAAGATGCTTTAGTAGAACCTACGTGCGAATCTTGGGAACTGATCTTATCATCTGTCGGAACTAAATCTTCCTCAGTCTTTCTAACGTATATTGCAAATGATAGGGGAGAATAAACAATTTTTTGATAAACAGGTGATCCTTGTGATGCGGGTCGACCGAACGAAAGTCAGAAATCTTCGCTATCCACATTGACACGAGATGGTTGCCAACTGAACGTTTGACGACGGATTTGCCCCAGTTTACCAGTGAAGTCGGAAATTGTTCTAGGGAGGAATGCTGATCCATCTCGAACCTGAACAATAAGAATGAATAGCACAAGCATATGCTTTTCTTACAACTGCAGACTTCGTGCCGAATAGGTTAGCATAACGTGGAGGTAAATAAGCTCTAGACTGAATACGAAGCATCTGAATTTGAAAATAGGGAAAACAATATACAATAAATACCTTTGGCATTTCGTCTGAATGCATGGCTTCAACAGGCTTTGAATGACGTTCCCAGCTCTGTAAATTACGGAATTGTAAACGTTTTTTTGTTTAAAAAAAAACATACGACAGCAGCGGCAGTAGTTGTAATCAGAGTGATTAACATGTACAGGCAAATCAGTTTCATTGTCATATCTTCTGAATGACAAAAAATGAAGAAGAGGTTGCTATTGACTGACAAAAACGAGATCTGATTCTTGAGCTGGAGAACTCAACAGAGCTGTGTATAAAACAAAAGGCTCTGATGAGTCTTTAAATGGAAAAAAAATAAAGAAAGAGAAAGCAGAATGCCAGCGATTGGTTTTTAGAAAAAACAAAATTTGAGAATAGCTTATGATGTCGGGTTCGAGATTGTTTTGAAAATAATACTCTCTCTCTCTTCTTGAGTGAAATCTACGGATAATTATGAAATAACTTTTCTCTGCTTAGCCATTCCTTTATGTAGACCGAAAATATAGAAGGGCAAACAGAGTTCCGAGCAAGAATAGTGACTCGAAATAGGGTTTGTTAGAATCCGCTGGATGGTGGATGTCTGATCTCTTACTCTTCACTCAAAAGGCAACAGACTTCAGAATCGAGCTTCTTCGTTAGCAAACTTTTGCACAAGAAGGAGATTTATAAAAAAAAGTTTCATCTACTAACGAGATCCGAGTAGTCAATGGCAGCATTTAGCATAAGCTGTTATAGAGTGGTATTTGATACATTCCAAATAAGCATATCGTGAGGATACTTAATTGGATTGTAAGCTCAGAAGACGGTCCTCGTCAAAGAAAAAATATTTTTTGTTTGACTAGTGAGAAAATTAAAAAAAAAGGAATTAGAAAAGCTCAAGAAGAAAAAGATTTACTCTTCATAAACTCTATACAAGTTATATACTTTGAGCTTTGGAACACAGAAACAACAGAAAAAGAAAAAAAAACAAACGATTTAGAGCAAAAAAATTATTAAACGAGGGTGAAAACAGAAAAATTGATGAAGACAACCTCTTGATACCCTTTGATTCTTGCTTGCAACACACGAGAAGTGTTGCTAACCGTTCAGAAAAGAAAACTATATACAATAATGCAATAACTTATTCGGTAATATTACACTTAGACGCACATATAAATGGTAAAACGAAAGAGGAAAGCGAAATATGAAAGATGAGATGTTTTCCCGTTATCTACGAACCTCTTTTTACGAAATATTCGTAGAGAGCTACTTGTAGAAATCAAAGAAACGATTAATGTACACGTATTGCACAACTCTAAATGAGGTATTCAGGTGTGAGATCAGATGATTCAGCGGGCGACGTTGGTGGCTTTTCCGTTTCTTCTGGGGACTCCTGAAAAGGAAATCATTACGCATTCATTTTTGGCAAAATAAACAAAGAGAGGCTCAAGCTTCTGTTTTTAAAAATTATTTTTGAAAAACTTTCAAACTGACCTTCTGTCTAGGAATAAGAGGTAGGGAAGTCAGGCTGAAGTTGAATTGCTTGTCATGCTGGCTGATTGAAGGAGTACTAGTTTTAAGATTTCCATTTCCATTTGCTAAAATACCAGTTCCTTATTGAACTTTTCAAAAAGTACTATTACTTGAATTTGATATGATTTCGGGGGGATTCGAATTTACAACACCAACAGGCATAGGACCTTGAGCATGCGGAAGTTGATTACATACATTTCCGTTTCTAAATCTTTGGTCTCTCGGTTCGCTTGGGTTCCTTGGGATATCCTACAATATTCAAGGTAAAATAACATGAATTTCAGACTATATACCTCTGCTGATGTTGATGACGCTGATGAGGGAGTAGAACCAGTACTCATCTTTGACCGTTTGAAGTATTCTTCTCTTTCAGATCGGTCCATATACCATACAGTAATAGCATATCTAAACCATGTTATACTGATTACATCATGTTTAAGGAAACTCTCACCTGTCCTTATAAACGGGCATTACTTCATGAGGAATTCTATTATCAGACCAGAAAAACAATAAACGATCAGCTCTTGGCTCAATATCAAAAGGAGTGTTTGATGAATCAGGATACAGTCTAAGTACTCCACCATCCTAAATGAATGATTATAACATTGAACAAACTAACGAAGGCAAACCTTTGAGTCCCAGCCTGGGTTACAATAATATATAACGGTTATTCTCCTACCATCCTTAGCTGGATTATCGACATGCTTCACATAGCGGGACCCGTAACCAGGGTAAATGGCTAACATAGCCTGAAGAAAACCAAGAAGATATATTGTAATTACTGATGTTTCTTACCTTAGACCTTCCAAATATGGTTTGCCCGAGTAAACGATCAGAAAACTTGTTAACAAGACTATCTAAGTAATTAATTAACATTCTAACAGTACTAGCATCTGCTGAACGTTGATCGGAACCCGAGAACCAATACGTCTATAAATCGCTTAATAAGAAGATGATAAGGAACTTATACTTACTTTATCCGATCTTATATCTTTAACATGCTGTTCATCCATATTTTTTGCTTCAACTAACTGACCAGCAGAAAATAAGCCTCGTGATTCAAGTACTTGAATTTCACTGAAAAAGAAACAGTGGTGAAAACTAATGCGGAGGAGTTGAGCTTACTTGTTCACGTTGCGACAATGATCAGCTCCGAGAAAGTTATCAACCACAGACCAGCCGTACTCACTCAAAGACTTTAAAACATGTTCTGCTATATACTGAAAAAATATTACAAATTTTACGACAGAAATTTGAAAAGCTTACGGAAAATCTTAATTCAGCAGCTTGAGTACGGTTCAAAGCTTTCTTGAGACGCAGCACATTCAACCGATGTTTCTCAGGGCTTACCTAAGACAGAAAAAACTTGATTAACACTGGAAAACTGATAACTCACATCATAGGGAACATTCAAACTATGATTTTTGTATAAGCGAATCGCTCCCTGTGGTGAAGTAGATGTTGGCCTTTTTCGTGGTCGTCCTTTTATGGAATTATTGTCATTCGCCAACTGAAAACAAAAAAGGTAATCAGAATCTTTGTACGATTACTGTTTAATTGAAAATCACAGCGAAAAATCGATAACCGTTCATACTCAAACATGAGAAATATCACGTAGAAGCGACGGCCACGTAGTCACGTGAAAGTTGCATTACGTATGTTAATCAGTCAATTTTTGGATATAGAAGTTAACAGAGTCAAGTAGAAGTTAAACAATCGAGGAAAAGATTAAAAGGATATGAGAAACAAAGATTTTAAAGGTTATTAGCCTTTGAAATGATTATAAACATACTTGTGGCTCCATATCTTCTTTTTCAGCTCTTTTTTCAATGATAATTTCCTTGGATGATGACTCTCGAGACATACATAATGGAGGAAACTTATCCACTAAAATAAAACACAATAAATAATCACGAAAAAAAGAAAAAAAGAACTGCGTACTTGTTCGCATCACATCCATACGTCGGTTAATACAATTGGTCGTAGATGGAGCAGGACATACAGAAAGAGAACTTTTGTTGGCCAAATCACTGATGTCTAAGAAAAATCAATAACTAAACAGGTATTCGACTTCATTATAATATGAAGATAGAAATTAATGAAAAGCTTACTGAGTGAAAAACTATTGTTTGATTTAGAAGGGCGTGAACATTGTGTTCGGAATGGGGGTTTAGTAAATGCAGTTGTCTCACATAAATCTTTCAATTTTTGTAAGCTATCAAGGGAAAGATCAACAGATATGCTAAGAGAAAAGTTATTAGTAAGTTAAGATGGAAAGAGTGGAAACCTTTGTGCTGACTCAGAAAGGGTCTCTGACATTCTTCCGTTGCTGCTACGTACGCTCATAAGCTTATTCTGATGGCGTTTCCAGGCGAGCTTCTATAAAATGGATGAAAGTCACGAGAAGTTTGAGAAAAAGAGATAATAAGGTGAAGAAGGCAAGAATGAATGGAGCAAGAAAAGCGTGAACTGCCTCGCAAGCAAACGAGATGAAAGCATTGACCTGCAAAGGCAAAATGAGTTTGTTGTTGAAAGGTATTAGCTTGTAGATTGTAAGTTTATAAAAAGAAAGTTTTAAATTTTAGGGTTTGTTCGTGTTAATCAACGAAGAAAGAGAAAGAGGCATAGCTTATCATAGAGAGAACGTGATAAACGAACAGTTTGTCCTGTTTTTCTTATTGTCGACTGAGGCCTACGTGCCTTTCGTTAAAAATCAAAAATGACACACAATAGCATTGAAACAAACGCTCTCATATGATGAACACAAGTTGTGATAGTCCCAAGTCTTGATTAATAAAGTACCTTTTACGTTACTAGCAAGGATAGTTTCTATAATCGAGATATCATTCTTTTCATTTGATGTTTTGTAGCCTTCAAACATTTGGAAGTGATTCAAGTGTCTAGAAAGCTTAGCGATTTGTACAATTTGTTTATAGTGAGGAGTGTGTGGCGGGTGGAGAGAGGGGAGAGGCAGTTTGGAAGAATTTAAAAAAGAAATGTTTGAAAATAAATTAGAAGACTTGGCGAGAAACAGGGAATTTCAAGCATATGTTTTGGACATAACAGATAAGACCAATAAGCCAAGAAGCTCATTAGCAGAAGAACAAACCATAATGGGAATAACTTGGTTGGGGAGAGAAAGAAGGTTTGACCGTCATGCAAACGGAATTTTTCTGTTTAGCACGTTGTTCCGATAGAAAGTGTTACGTGCCATATTTCAAATTGAAATTCGACAATCAATTTGTCCTTTTCCAAATATGAAAAAGGCTTGGAAAGTTGAATGTTTAATGAGACTAAAGGAGTATAATCATATTTCTTTTGTTTTTTGTTTGTTCAGATAATTGGATGACTTCCTCAACATCACTTTGGATATATTTTCTCAACTAAAATATGAGTTTTTTTGTTCATTTCCGTATTTCGTAGTGTGGTGTTGCAAAAACGAGGAAGGTTACACGAACTATATCAACTTGTTCTTTCTCACTTCGTCATAAGATGAACAAAAACTACAGAGAGAGAGAAGATATATAGAGAAAGAGAGAGAGAGAGGGAAGGGATGATAAGTCGAAAACATTTCCATGTACAAACTACTTATCGATCTTAACTTTCAAAAACAAATGACGAGACGAACACCTATGCCCAACCTCTATCCCATTACTTTCGAAAAAGTAAAGTTAATAAAGATTTTTAAAATGATATCAAACAGACAAGAATTGAATCAAGAAAACGACGAATATGAATCAAATTCTCCAAAAGTTGTTTTGGCTGTTGAACTGGAGACAAAGCGACAAATGATGTTCTGGCGTTTCATCCAAGTGATCTCTGTCCTTAGCTGAATTATGTCGTTCAAAATGTTTCCAAATCGATGAGGAGGTGTCAAAGGTATGTAAGTGAGAGAGATTTCAGATGTTCTACGAAATTTGAGGACAGATTTCTTAAACTTTCAGATCATTTCCTAGTCGAAGGGATGAGGCAATGTTAAAACTGCAATATAGAGAAAAAATGAGAAATGATAAACAGAGAAAATAAAAGAGAAGACGAGGAAGAGAATTTGAGGAGAGAAACAGACAGAGAGAGAGAGAGAGAGTCAATTGGCATCTGAAATCAGCACGCATCTTCTTTTTTAACTTGGCAAGCCTGCTTTGGAAGATGCTGTTGTGCACGTAGACTGAACAGCGAGGCCGAAGATGAGGCAAGGCACTGGGGCTGTTTCTCAACTTTATGTGAAGCCTTAGTCACATTGGTCATTTATTTCATTATTCATTGTCTATCTGTCCGTTCCTAATTCAAAATTTCTCTCATCTTCGAAGATATTTCGGGAAAATTTTTTCGGGAACAGCTTTTTTTTAATCATCGTTATATTGAAGAGAGAGAGAGAGGGGGAGAGTGAAGAAGAGTGTTCCAATGGATCTCTGCAAGTACGCATTCTATGGAACGAAAGTGGGGGAAGCATCACAAGGGCTTGTACATTACCATGAGCCAACCTAATTTTATTTTCTTGATTTACAAAAAGCTATGAATCTTCCATCTGCAATCGTCTCTGATATAAAAGTATATATATAATAGGTTGAAGAGATCAGTGTTAGACAAACATCAAATTTTCTCATCTTAATGATGGAAAGGACGATGATAATTATATTTTTCTTCTCACAAGAATCTTCATTGATGACACAACACGATGATGAAGACGTTATACAAAACAAACAATAGTTTCATATTCAAATTAAGTTTAAGGAAGCTTAACATTAATCTAATATATTCTCTACAACAAATATCATAATGACAATGACGTCGAACAAATTATAAATCATGTGAGAAGAAGGATTTGTGATCACGCAGATGTGGCAAACCTCAAGGATTCATTGAGTCATGCACAAATCTCTTTTATCCTATTAAATCAGCTTTAGTACACAATCAACACACTTCAAATGAAATCTTCATTTCCAAATTGGGAAGAGGAAATGAAAAAAACGGTTTTTTTAAAATATACCGCGGTTAAATGATCAACCGCTCTACACTGATTGAGAATAGAAAAATGAAAATGAAGCTTTACTGTCAGCTCACCTACTATTTCAATAATTAAGGTCATAAATATGCAAATTATGCAAATTTATTTCGTTCCGACATCTATTTCAAGTTGATTTAAGCACTGTCTATCCCTTAAGATATTTCTTTTCAAGATTCTTTCGTTGTATATTCTGTTGTACTTTGTCTTTTCTCATTTCTTCTTCCCTCTCAACCCTCACGCACAAATTTTGTCATCTTTCCCTCTCAGGTTAACTGCTAACTGACTGCACTGGCTTTTGCTGGCGACAGAGCTAAGGGCGGGAGCCAAAGCTCCTTCAAATATTTGCATATGCTATTGGAGGTAGACGAACGTTATGGTCAGAAATCGACTACTACATTGACTTCCACTGACCATCACTATATTTCTGTTCGCACTCCATCAAATTTTAGGAATTTTAAGTTTTTTTTTCTCGTTCCAAAAATCGTTTTTCGTCATTGTTTCAATAAAGGCTTGAAGCTGGATGCAAATCTTCTTCTTCTTCTTCTTCTCTTCCAACTACGGTATTTCAAAATAGTCTCTATGAACTGTTGTTGCTTTTCCTCACCTCACTTTTCCCTTCAATGGATTTCGCATTAGAAATTTGTAAATATTTCTATTCGTCAGGCTGGCCTATCTGGCCCTCCTATTAAAGGATTATCGCACACTTCCCTTAAAGGGTACATATCGAAACGTAAATATGTAATCAATTCACCTTATTTACTATTCCTCCAATAGCAAATTTGAATATTAATTTTGTATTTTACTGACAGTTTAGTTACGAAGTTTTGCTTTTTTTTCTCATTTTCTCGTCTTCTCGTAATAGTCGTGTTGACCATGCTGAGCACAGGTTGGACAATACGAATGTCATGTCCACTTTGAACAAACTTTTTCAAAAGCAAAGATAAGTATCGAAGTCGTTTTCCTAAAGAGGCACATCGATCGAGCATCTTTCTTTTCATATAATTGCGTAATATTATTATTTTTTACAAACTTTTCATGATTTTCTTGAGTTCATCGTGATCGTCTCGTTTTCTCCTGTCCAACTCAATTGAAACTTTCTTTACAGGTAAAGCTGTTTTCAAATCGATGTCTCGCCAGACTCGATTTCCAGCTTTAGACCATGAGCCAAAAGCCAGCCAAGGTTTGTTTCTTCTTATTATTTATTCTATTAATTTGTGCTCATCTTCTGTAACCTTAGACCATCCAATCTTCCTAACGCTATAACCCATTGAACAGTGTGAAACTCAAATTTCAATGTATAAGCCGGTTTCTAAAATTTCTTATTAAATTTCGTCGCTAGAAAGATGTCTGACCCCCCGCTCTATGTGTTTATCTGTTGTTGCCTGTTTTGGCTCCAAAAGGGGTTAAATATTTAGGCGAAAGTGATTGGAAACGTGCCAGATCTATCATTGTTTCCATAGAAACTGCCTAATCATCATCGGTCTCTGTCCTTCATGTATGTGTTCGTTTAGGCTTTCATTTAGTGGGAACAGACCCCTGATTCTGACAAATCTGTAGCCACCTATTGGTCAGCTCTGCTAATCCGCATCAGCTCTATCCCTATCTCTCATTTTCTCTATTCCTCATCATTTCCATCGCATATATGGAATGATTTAGACTTGTTCTTCGTCTTCCACCCTCTAAATATCTACGCTTCTCGTAAAGGTCCCTCAATCTCTTACCAGTTCTTAATACCTGCTGAATCGGTCAATTGGAATAGAGCATTTGCTATATACATTTCGAGAGCTTGACCAACGCTTGCTGTATAACATTTTTTTCTTTCGTTTTGTCATCTTATAGAATGATAGAAACCAAAAACTATCGAAGATGTACATGATTCCTGTCACACAGCCTCACACAATTAAGAAAACGACCCTCGACGAAAGTAAGAGATTCCCCTTTAGCTTCTTTCCCGCTCCTAACTGTCCTTATCCTATGAACTTTCTCATTTCTAAGTAATTCCATATCTATAGGTCCTCCTCCAGCGTACAGGAGTGGAAGTGCCACTGTAACTGATTTTGACGTTTGGAGTCAATATTCAGATTCTTCAGGTATTATATACACAACAACAGGCATCGTACTAGATGTGTTTGTAGGGTTAGGCCGACGACGAGCAAGCTGGAGTAATCTGGTTGAATCGGACGAAAACCTAAACAAACATAAAGTCAATTGCTATCCAAAAGTTCATGCTCCTTTCAAAAATCAAGTAGGAAAATATGATGTTTGATATTTTCGCATCTCTCGAATTGTTTTAGGCATTAGCGGGATCAGCTTC